GTGCTATACCAGCTTTTGAGGGCCTCCTACCCGAGCCGCATAATAAAAACATACTCAACCTGCTATTTATTATGGCACAGTGGCATGGTCTTGCGAAGCTGCGAATGCACAGTGATGAAACTTTGGAATTCCTTGATCAAGCTACGACATTGCTCGGACACCAACTTCGCAAATTTCAGCAGGAAACATGTCCCGCTTTCAACACCAAGGAGCTTCAACGTGAAATTGATGCCCGAAACCGACGCCAGGCCAAGCAGCAATCAAGTAGTAGTAATGCACGCGCACCACTGTCAAATAACAACGCTCGACAACCAAAAGCATTTAATCTCAACACATACAAAGTTCATGCCCTTGGTGACTATGCTGCCACCATTAGAAGACTAGGCACAACAGATTCGTATTCCACACAAATTGTGAGTCAAAATTTTCCTATTTTAATACTGCAAATACTGCAAGCTCACAAATATTGGGTAGGGTGAACTTGAACACCGCACACCAAAAGCATCTTATTCTCGTACAAGCAAAAAGGTGTTTATCAAGCAAATTACAAAGATTGAACGACGTCAGGCTCGGCTCCGAAAAATCCATCTTAAATTGCTGAGTAGACAGCATCTAGATGAGAACATCCCCGCTTCACCTGAAACCCATCACCATATCGGAAAGGCACAGAACCATTCTATTGACATCCAGGGATTCTTACAGAAACAAACAGGCGACCCCGCTATCAAGGTAAATACATATATTATGTCTATATCTACCACATGTGACACCAATGTGCAGGAGTTTTTGACTAAACTCCGAGCGCACCTTCTTCCACGACTGAAGGTAGCTCTCCTCACAGACCAAAACAAGCCTGCCGCTACAAGCAGTGAAACGGGCACTTTTGCGGGAGATAACGCATTAGATGGAAGCTACATCATTTTCCATAATAATCGTATCTACCACCACAACATCATCCGCCTCAACTATACAACCTATGACATTCGACGGGCGCAGGACGTAGTGAACATAAACACATCACACAACAGTATTATGATGCTCTCTGACCGAGCTATAGACTCTGGCCATCCGTTCTTATATGCAAGGGTCCTAGGAATATACCATGCAAATGTTATTTATGCTGGACCTGGAAGTTACGACTACCAAGCTCACCGCATGGAGTTTCTCTGGGTTAGATGGTATGAGCCTCTCAGAGACAGTGACTGCAATACTGGCTGGCATCGTCGTCAGCTTGATTCATTTCAGTTCCTGCCCACTGACCACCAAGATGCATTTGGCTTTGTAGATCCAGCTGATATACTTCGTAGCTGTCATGTTATCCCCCGATTTTCAGAAGGGCCTTTGCATCCGCATAGGATTGGTACATCACTCTCTGCGAAAGACTCGGCAGACTGGAAGACATACTATGTGAATAGGTGAGCAACATTTTTTGATTCACTATGCCAGGCTAAACATCTAACAATAATAATCTACAGATTTGTTGACCGCGACATCATGATGCGCTATTATTATGGCTATGCTCCTGGCCACTTGTACGCTAAACGCTCACGAGGAAATACTGAGCCGCCCTGTGGAATACCAGATGAAATTGCCACAGCAACAGTCACAGATCCTGCAGATGAAGTTTCCAATCATGCACGCCAATCTGAAGCCCCGGATTTGCTTGGTTCGGATGCAGAAAACCATGAATATGAGGGCCGAGCCTCATCAGTGAGTGAAGATTCTCAATCAACCTCCTCCGACTTGCCTTCAGAAGAGGGAGATCAAGATGATGGATTGCAGGTCTACGGCCTCAATGATGAGAGTGACAGGAATTTTGATTAGGAAATAATGTTTACTTACAATATTTTTTATGCTATGATGTCTTTGTCTGTTAAATTGCAAGTATCTACCGGTGGGATCAATGCACACATACATCACACCGATAATTACAGAGGCAGACTAGCAAACTGGTTGTATATTAGAAGGCTAGATAAGCTCGCATGATAATTATACTATTCTATCCGACTACCCAACAGTGCCAGTAGTGTATAAAAGCTGATACAACTACATCAATCTTACTCCCATATTATAATCATAGATATGACCTGACAGTCGGATGCAAGACTTGGGACGGATTATAAACTCCGCCTGGTAATATCAGCACCTCACCATTTTCCTGATGCTCCAGGCCTAGGTTCATACGTACCCATCTGCTTCCACTGGTGGAATTTCTTCCATCCGCTCTTCCTTTCCACTGTCTTCAAGAACGAAAGGTACAGAAGGAGTAAATCTTGGATTGTGTTTCGTCACTTACTTACTCTTTACTACCAGTATTCATTCAAACGCGTCTCACCTTAACTCCCTTCAGTCAATAATGCCTAATACAGGATTTCGCCCCATTTCTGTGATTACAATTGTACCTATCATCTATTTTTCAGCCCCAGTAGTACCCACTGAGTATCTTAGTTTAGGATCCTAAAAATCACTATATAAGCTGCTGGATGAAACGTCAGTTCCCTCATCTCCTACCTTTTTCCTATCCAGTGAATACTCTGCTCGTTTAACATGAACGTGCACGGACACACCCCTGACCGTGACTACTATCCTATTATTGGGCGCAGGGGCACAGGAGCCAACTATAATCGCCTCTCTATCGAAGAGTTGCAGTCAAAGAATCCTCGTCAATTCACTCTGTTCATATTAGCCTTTCTCGTTGTTCAAGAGCGCCCCTTGACGGAAGCTCCCTTCACCAATGTCTTCCTGGAAACCCCAGCAGGTGCGTTTGGAGCAATAGCCAGCATACACGGCAAACCGTACCAAGAGTGGATCGGCGACAAAAGGAAACAACTTGATAAAATTGCTGATTTCAACAAGAACGACAGGAAGGACACAGATCCAGTACCTTCTAGGTTTGGAGGTGCGTTAAGCATGTTATTATGTGGTTATTACCTCTAACATATATTACAGGGTATTGCAAGTAAGCTAAATAACACCTTATGATCCACAAATACTTACTCTTACATCTACAGCCATGGTGCTGTATCGTTCCCGCCTTGGCACCGTCCTTATATGTTACTGGTTGAGGTAAAAATTCTATTGACCATTTTCGCACACCTTACCAATAGGACTGAAATTCACAGCAAATTATTGGCACCATAGCTGAAGAACTGGCGAAACAGATCGAGCAACGCAATTATAGCGAAAGGAATTTGTGGGTTCCAGCTGCGAGGCAGCTACGCTTCCCGTACGCTCTTCTTTTTCATAAACCTCACACCGTGTATTTGATGTAGGACGCCCTTATCAGATACTGGGATTGGGCAGCAGAAGATGTTGCGAGAAATGGTCTTCCCCGGGTCCTCAAGGAGGATAAACTGAAGGTTTTTATGGGAGGCCGTAACGAAATCGAGGTTGCGAATCCCCTCTCTTACTACCCGTATGTTGGTGAAATACCACCTGACTTTCAGGACGTGGAGAGTGTAGTGAGTTCTCGTTCTCGTTCTCTATTTATCACCAGGTGCTAATGTCTCTATGCTAGAATGGAGTTTCATATTTTTCTCAGTGGCGTCGCAGCTTCCGGTACGCAGAAAGCTCACCAGATGCAAAACGCAGTAACATACAGGCTCTTGAAAGGTGACTCACCTCCCATATCGAAACATCTGACTTATTTTGACTGTACGACAGGGTACTTAAAAGAAATGTACCTGACATGAGGCGCAAAATCGCGCTTCTATTCACATTTCCCAATGGAGAAGATTCTGCAAAAGCGTAAGCCGATCCATTTTAGGCTTGCAGATAACTGCCTCTGTGACACTGACTTTCAGCTGGGATGAGTTCTCCAACACTGCGATGGAGTCCAAAAGAGAAAATGATCAAACTCTTAGAGGCTCGCTTGAAGGTGTGCATAATAACGTGCACAGTTACCTAGTAATAATGTTCTTTTTACTTTGAACGTTCACACTGAGTACATCTGTGTTCAGGGCGGCAACGGGCATATGGTCAGTAGCTTCCTTGCTAAACCTTCCTTGTCTGATGTCATATGTTGCCGCGTCCCAGAGTGATCCTGACTACGCAAGTTTATCAATCTTACTCGAGATCCAATTCTGATTGAAACATTAAACAGGCGGCCTTCGACCCTATCTTCTTCCGTGTGTTATCCTCCAATTTATTCTGTTATCCTCCTATTGACTCTTCCCAGTTCACCACAGCAACGTTGATAGATTATGTGCGTCATGGTATCTTCTTGATACCACTTTGTGGTCCTAATCGTGCGGTGTCATTCAGTCTCCTTGTGGGAATGGTGCTACCCTAAGTATTGGATGCAAGACGGTTATACTTATGATGGTACAGCTTACCCCTGGACCCAGGTAGGTAGCCTTCCCAAAATTTTTGAAATATACTCGATTTGGGGCCGTACAGGATCGGGGTACTTATCATCAAGTGTACAATGAGCAAGTCCTCCCGAGAGGAAATTTAGCTCCCTTCAGAACCGAAAAGGGAGAGTATTGGACCTCCGAGCAAACACGTTTTCTGGATCCAAAAATTCCAGGCTTCCACCCTAAATGTACTGTCCAATCTCTATATTTGTTTTATGTAGTCGCCTTAGCTTGATTTGTCACAGATTACTCTTATCCGGAGTTCGAAGGCATCAAAGTCGACCTACCTGCTAATGATGCAATGCGTAATGCGGGCAGAAATAAGATAGCAAAGCACTATGGATTCAACCCCAGAGATTCCGCACACAGAGGCAGGGGAACACACCCATCATTCCCAATTCCCAGGAATATACCCGTCGGCATTCCTGACAATTATGAAATGATACCACAATATCGGTCTTTCGTAGTTCAGGTCAGACTCTTAGAACACGCTTACAACAGGTCGTACAGCTTCAACTTGACGTACAAAACGCCCTCCGGAAGTGAGGAGTACGTTGGTTCGGTATCTGTCTTTGCGCGAGCAGACCATTCGCCCTGTGCAGAGTGCGCTTCTCGACGTGCTTCCCGTTCAGTTGTCCGCGGAGTCATTCCTATACCCGACACCTTGGTGGAGAAGATCATCAGTCTGATCCTAGCTGCGGGATCCTTCGAAGCCATCTTGGGGAACATTAAGAAAGGTCTGACTGGAGAACTCGTCGACTCCACAGGCCAGAAACTAGCCACTGCAGAAGGCGGTGATGATGCAGAGGATGTACCAGCTGGCAGGTCAACGTCCGCGAAAGTGACTCCCCTCACTATCTCGCTCTTGTCTAGTGCCATTGCGGAAGATGCAGATGATTCGGTCTACATGCTAGACTCCAGCAACCATGGGGATATCTTTAGTGTAAGCTGGAACTTGAACTCTTTGTCAATCGCGGGCTCATCTCTCTTATTCTTAAGCACGGGTGGCTGGCCACGCACGAGGACTCTCGCCTGGAATGAACGAATATGCATCTACAACGTAAAAATAAATAAGGCCGTGTTGTGACTTGTACGATAGAGTTGATGGGTATTATCTGTTGATATGTCGAAGAATCTCTTGGTTCCATAAACGGTTTTAGTCTCATGTAATACGCGTACTATTCAATCAGCATTGGTGTTTCTTGGCTAGAGTGGAAAGGAGTCGGCGACTGGCGCAAGGGCGCCGCTACGATCATAAATAATCATACGTACATTTTCCGTCAGACGTTACGCGTTCCCTAGTACCGCTCTGACAGGTTCATCCAAGGCCATCTCCTGTGAGGAGAGCGATCATAGCTTTCATCACGTCATCATCTTGTCCGACTCTCAACACCGTGCCTTGGTCGATGCATTGCTGTAATTTCGCGTCTAGTAGCCGTCTATGATATGGAGGATTATTAAATTGCTCAACCAGGAGGGTCTGCCTAACACTTACCTGAGCTGATTTACTAAGATGCCGATCCGAGGCCAGGCCTTGAGATTGATACGACTTCCGTCACTATTGACACTGAGGCCGCCCTTGATATGATCCACAGAAAAAGCGCCACCAAAAAGGAGAAGAGCATACACGGGAACCTTCGTAAGGAACTTAGCTGTGACCAAACGTAGTAGCGGTTAACAACTACATACTTCCGAAGCACCCCTCAAGAACACCTTGCTTGTCCGTTGTTTTTGGAAGTACGCTATGAAGGGTGATTTCCATGCCGTCGTACCAAATAGCACGGAACTCGGGTGCAAAAATACACGTCCATCGCGAGAGTCGTATACCCTGTATTCTTTTGCTGTATTTTCCCGCTGTACAGTGCCAGCTTGTACTTTGTCGAATTTGATCGCGGATTTGGGAAGCTCTACGCGAGCAACTCGTGGCCACAGCCCGCCCAGAATTATAGCCTTTATGACATTTGTATTGGTGCTATTACTGTTGAGATCGGGAGATTTGGCATTGGACGACAGCGGTACGAAACCAAGATCGCAGAGACTAGAGAAGAAATCAAGCCGGAGGGTGGATATCTCACGTATTGTGGTGGGTGATATATAATTCTATGTCACGGTTAGGTTATTCAATTCCAATGTAAGGGAAAATACGGTACTTCTTCACAGAATAACTTCATAGAGTTTTGCGATTTACCCTCAGATCTAAGGCGCATGCACTCGTTATATGCGTTGACATCTGTAATAAAGTCACTGTTATGTGTATTAAATTTTAACTTTGCTCTACAAAGCAATGAGTAGACACTAAACGGTGAAATCATCAGAACCTCACTTTTCAGCTTGTTCTCGATCGTCCATTGGACTAAAAAACAGAGACTTCGAGGAAAGGGCGGCAACCACAGTGAGAATAGGATCAAGACATTGAAATATTGTTCCAAGAATAAGCATCTGTGAACCTACATAAAATGGTTATCCTATAACCTCACGCAGCATACGCACCTTTGCAAGGCGCAAATCCATGGGAAGCACTGACTTGAAGCACGTCAGCTTGTGAGTGACTTAAATAGTAGAGACTAGATTTACAATATGTCTTCCTAGTGCAGTAAGTCGGTCTGCTTCATCCACCGCGCCAAGTTCCTTCAAAACAGACCATGCCTTTTCCATTGCGGCAACTGGAGGAGGATCGATGGCGCGACTCAGGAAAAACTTCAAGAGTGTATGAGTGTATTATCTTTTACCTCCCACGAACGAACCCGTTCACCTTGATATCTTCGTTTTCCCTCGTGACCTTCACTTTCAGAGATATCGTTTCTAGTGGCACTCGGAGAATCTCTGGCACCTGATAGGACGCCATTTTTTCCTGCTGTTTCTTCGTGTAAAGTGCGTAATACTTTCCTGGTTGCGTTCTTCCCGCTCGACCTCTACGCTGTTTGGCTGCAGCACGGCTAATCCATATCTCTTCTAGCTTCCACAAACTACTCTCAGCATCGTACATGGTTTCTTTGGCTTTTCCAGAGTCAATGACATAAACTACGTCATCAATTGTAATGGAAGCCTGGAGATTATGAGTTCATACTATAACGGAGATCACATTGAGTTTCTCACCTCAGCAACATTAGTTGCAGCAATGACCTTCCATTTAGATGTGGGCTTAAATACTGCCCGTTGTTCATCATTAGATAAGTTAGCATGGAGAGGGAAAACATCGGCCTCTCCATTATTCACCGACTTGCGGACGGCTTCTATACATTGTCGGATTTCCTGCACCCCGGATAAGAATACCAAGATTCCTCCCTTAACTTTTGCACTGGACATAATATGATTAATAAGCGAGGCAATTAACTGCAAGAAGACCGCATAAGTGTGGTAGGGAATTATTGTTATAAATGTCAACATTACCTCGTAATCAATACGATCTGCATGAGTTATGCTTCGAATAGTGCTGATATCCTGATCACCAAGACCTCGAGTCTTGAGATTGGACAATGTTTCTGTATCTTTACTGTCCTGTTTGTATCCCTTGGAAGTACGAGGACGATAAGGAAGCAATGGGATATAATCCTCTAGATATCTGTGTCGTGATGGCAGTTAAGGCGCGATTGCGTTGAATAAAATAACATAGCAGCACATACAGGTCTGTAACTGGATGTGCAAATCCTGGGATGGTCAACATAGGAGCATTGTTAAAATACTTTACGAAAGCCTCGTGATTTATAGTTGCAGACATGAGTATAACTTTTAAACTTGGATGCGTTAATAGAAGCTCCTTAAGCTCGAGCAGCAGAAAATCGCCATCTACCGATCGTTCATGTACCTGTATATGCAATACAGTTGGCTGATTTTTTTGGTTTAAACTTAGCTTACCTCATCTACGATAACATGGGTGACGTCTTCCAGTTTGTCTCCCGAACTGAGACGTCGTAGGGTTACACCGGTAGTACAAAACAGGAGCTTTGTCTTCTTGCTTTGTTTGCTTTCCCCTCGAGTTGCATACCCGACACAACCATCATCAAGCCTTTCGGCGGAAACACGGGTTGCAACGGAAATAGCAGCGAGTCTGCGAGGCTGTGTGACAATGATAGAAGCCTTGGATCCCCGATTAGACATTATGAGAGAATCTAGAATAAACTGAGGCACTAGCATAGGGTAATAGTGAGCGCAAATTGCGAAAAACATTTACGAGCAAACATACATTGCGTTGTTTTTCCACAACCTGATAGATATTGAGCTTCAGCCACGCTATCTGTATCTGAGATAATCTTACCTGTGTCACCAACCACAACCATAACACGACTTTTCTGCAACTCGGTTAAGAATCGATCTTTCACTGCAAATGCAGGGAGTCGCTGCCTAGCTACGAAAAGTTCAGAATATTTGGGACTTTTGCATAACGCCTCAAAGTCTGTTCTGATTTGTGAATCAGTGCGACCATCTCGACCTCGAACTGATCTCCTGCTATCCTGATGTGACGAAGAGTGATGTGCGCGTATCTGTTTTGTTGACTCCACGAGGGGAGGCTTATCCATGATTGATGGTGTGGGAACTAGATGTTTCAGTACTTCTGACATCTCCGGAGGACCATTAGTCTCGACATTGGCCCATGTCTCTTCGAGTACGCGCATGGCCGCCATCAAAAACCCCTCTCCAGGTTCTAAGAAAGGCTCTTCATTCATTGCTCCGAGTAGTTCCGCAAGCAGATGCAGCCGAACGTAGGGCGAAACTGATGTCGATGTCATGTATACCGGAGGGTATCCATTTAGCGAATGTGAAGGATCCTGAGGAAGTAGAATGTGTAACTGAATCGGTGCGCTGAAAAGAGGCATGACGATATGAGACGAGTCCAGGTAATGGGCTCCTAGAGCCTCGAGTTCTTCAGGATTTTCTCGTAATTTATCTAATACATCTATTTGAGGAATAGTATAAGTAGCACGGTCTCCGATGAGTTTTCGATCCAGCATGGTGACCAGTAGTTCGACGTTTTGTACCAAAGGATTATGTTGGGTGCATTCCCGAACGGCATGACTTGGCCAACCGGCCTCTTTGATGACCTGATTCTCCATCCAACGTCTCTTGAGGTCATCTCCACTGGAGTGAAGGGAAGTTACAAAAGGATTGGACGAATTATTGCTGGGTAAGAAACGTTCGGGAAGATCACATTCCGGTACATGAAGAACAAGATACTCGATGCAAGCTTCGAGATGTGTCAAGTTGCTTAGAAGGTTGGCACCAAGTGATGAGGGGCGACAAAGATAATTTACAGCATTTTTTATTTGTGCCGGCTTGAACCCAAGAGTAGTAAGCTGCTTGCTAATCTGGGAAACTTCGTCGTCTGCAAGTATGGGTAGTGTCTCATCACCAGTCGAAAAGGAAGTAGCCTGCAAACAAGGTGAATGCAATTTTCAGGTAACGGGTTGAGGCTTACCCTTTTAACAGCATCTTCCACAAGATCGCGAAGGCTGCTCGCCATTTTGACTTCTGGTGCGCGACTAAATTCATTTGGCCCTGCAGCATTTTGTAAGCCGCTCGAAGCACCTGCCTCCCGTTTCTGAACTGCCTTTGCTTGACGTTCATCTACTTGTTTACGAGCTGCGAAAGGGTCTGTATCGTACATCCACTGCTGGTGTTCAGGAGCAGCCTTATGCTCTGCTGCTAGTTCATTCCAGTAATCACGAGGAGCTGGGGGAAGCACACGATTGAGCTGAATATTGTTACAAAACTGACGATGACTATATCTCAGTGTCGTGCTAAGTATCAGGATAAGGCATGGAAAAACGAACTCGATATAATGCGTAAGTCGCGCCCCAATGGCGCGCCTCTAGCTCGGTAGGTCTGACATATGGCGGATGAGGCTCCAAGTAGACACTGTCCGTCTGTGAAGTTTTCTTATTGACCCTACTCAAAGTGACCGCAAAAGAGAAGCCGCCATCCCGATGTTTCTGTACTAGGGCTCAGTTGTGGAAGGACAACTAAGAAGTCGAAGAAATATCATGGTGCTTACAGTAACAACTTTAGGTTTGTCCCATCCATTCTTTTGACACCTGGAAGCCAGTACAAATTAATAAAGACGCAAAGTGAAGAATTAAGACAAATCAAAAGGCTGCAGTCATCCAGCGCTGTCGCTGGCGTCTGCTTAGCTCCATTTTCGACAAATAATTAATATGAAGACTTGACTGTTGCCTAAGAAATAGAACTAGAAAAATGCGGTACGAACCTTTCATTAAGCAAACTCAACGGAAACTTGGAACCTGGCGGAAACAGGGATGTTTCTTTCTCTGAATTCGGAGTATTGGCCTGTGATGAGGACGACTTTGAGGAATTACCTGCATTGCCAGATTTCACAATGCCTTTCTTGGGGGGCATGGGCAAGAGGTAGTCTTTCAGCGGACCATGCTTCTAAGAGTTCTGTCATCTGAGTCCAGTTAGCCGACTCGGAGTGATGCCGAGTAAACGGGGGGGAACAATTCTTCAAAAACTGTCACCCGTGACACCCACAGCCACCTTCACAAGTGAAAATTCAGCTAGACTAACGCTCAGACATTTGAACTCATGACGCTCATCCTCTTCAGCGACTCAAGTCCACGCATCTCATTCGATTCACGGTCAGCTGCTTCACCACCGTGGCAGCAAAAATCTGGAAGAGTACTACACTCCCAACTGAAGTCATGGTTCACTACAATCCTTGGCGTTAGCTGATGCTAGAGGATATTGGACAGCGACTACAATCGAGTTCAAACTCGTATTAGCAAGTGGACCATCAGCAGCTAGTCGCATGATTGAGGTACTGACAGCTGAACTCATCGGGGCTGCCGGCGCCTCCCTTGGCGCTGAGCGTAGATTGTTGTCTCGCTCTCGTATCCAGGCTCGAATCCACGGTATCCATCACGTTCGAAAACGCCAAAGGTTGTGAAGAAACCACTGAAGTGGTTTATGGAGGGGAAGTGCTCTGGGTAGCTTGGCTTAGGACCGTCAGAACACCCAAGTATGTTGAAAGATGATTTGAGAGTCAATTTTGGTACGTCACGGCTACCAATAAATGAGTTTATGCTAACTATTTATGCATACCTCAGCAGATTTCAGTCATTTGCAGTTGTCAATACTATTCCAGCATTGATGTGATATTCAAGTTATGTGCGACTAACTGATGTTGGGCGACATTTCGATCGTGTGTTTACACATGGGGGAGGAACAGCTATTCAGATTATTTCACCCCGCCCCATGTTTAAGGTGAAAATCTATTTGAAAGCTTTGTCGCAATATCGTTTACAATGTGATTTCCGTGACGTGCTATACAGGTCGCAAAGCGAGACTCATCAAATGGTTATTCAGTTCCACTACACCATACCTGTCAAACGTTCCAACTCTTGATCGACGTACGGGACACACGGGTAAAACTTTAACTGCTTGGATGAAGTCGTCGTTATGCGATCTAGAGATGGCCAATATCGTTCTTCTGCATGTAACTTCGGGAAGGGAAACGGAATCATATGTGCGGTGGTACTCAACGCAGATCGCTCATTCATCGCAGCCTTTCCTCCTTCATTGTATGCTGCACCCTATGAACCATCATCCAGATATGGCACTTATACTATTTCATAAACACAGGATTTTGCGAGAAGGCGAGATCACAAAAAATAGTAATAGGTGTTGAGCATTATGGGCGTAATGTGAGCTTGAATTTAATTTTTTTTCCTCCGCAAAATCATATTATCGCAACTTGTACCCCCGTTCTCCCGATCCCCCCTCTTATTCCTCGGTGATGGCCCCTTTTCATTAATTTTTAACGCGCCAGCTATTATGTATTAACACATCAAGCCTACAATTCGTCCTTCCCGTAGCTGGAGGACTTATTCAACAGTCCTTCTCTCGGTGTGATAGGTTATGCAAATTAAGAAGAGGCAGGCAAGGTTGCTTTAATCACTGATTAATCCGTTATATTAATTCCCTAGTATAATTCTGCTATAAATACAGTGCCGAAATACGAATACAAGACAGTCCGCATGCCCCAGTTTCTCCTATACTCCGGACTCGCTAAGGTTTCCAAAGCAGACCGGAATTCTCGTACCTCCTCTCCACATACTGCCGCGTATCAGGAAGATTTCTCACACTGCTCAGTCCTGCAAGGTCATCCAGTGTCGCGTCTCTTTTACAATAACCATACCACTCTGGCCCTTGTGCCTCCCATCTTCGTTGTATGGCCCCGTGCGCCTCGGGAGGTGTTCTGGATATTTCCCGCCTCCCGTGTTCCATAGTCTGCCTCCTCCCATGCTCCCCGGTGCCAGGCACCACGTATGCCCCTCCATGTACCGACATAGCGAACACTGGCTGGTATAGCCTTGGTTGCATGTTCTGTGCAAAGTTCGTGTCAGAGTGCGTGGCAATGCTTGTGGACAAAACTTACATTTGGGAAATGTCTGTTCGTATGCATGTCTGCTGGAGCTCGCAGTTCTGGTAGGGGCTTCGTTCTCGGGCGTGGTGTAGGTGGGGGTAGAAAAGACATGTGTGGTGGTAATGAGCCAGACACTGACGTGTTTATACAGCTATAGAGCGCTCAACGGAAAATGGTGACAATAGTTTTGAGATCGGAGACCGGAGTAGGGGATGCGTGATAGAGCAGGGTGGCTGGAGATGAAGAGGATGATGTGTGTGTATGTGTGTGGTTCAAGATACAACTTTCACGGGCTTCAGAAAGGAGTCATGCAGACGAATGGGGATTGATGCCAGATCTCGGTGCCTTCTGTCAACCAAATTTAGTAACGCCTCTAGCTCCAGTTCAAGAGAGTATGTTTTAAGTTGACATATTCAGGTATTTGCTTTGGTTCACGCATTCCGCTTCTCTGCCTTGCTGAAGATCGAGATCGTATGGCTGTGCAGAAATTTTCAGTTCCCCACCTTCCTTCACTCGATAATGCGGCGACAACGACTCCGGATTCCGGGGCATTCCAAACTGATCAATACTGTGAGATCTATGATTTCGATAGATGAGTGAGTATATGTTTATATAACATGGAGGACGGTTATCTTGAACTGGATGACCTGGAATGTTCTTATTTTTTGCTAGATAAGTGCTGCGCATACGGAGGGCCGATGTCAATGCCGGTTATAAGAGCCTGTCAAAGCAGGAGGCACTGACACCTCTCTCATTTAACGGAATCGGATAATGTTTCTCGAAAATACCTCCGAGGTCGTGTCTTTCTTCATCTGTCTACATTGACTTGTTTCATGATCGCGTCTATCGTTACCTCTTTTGCTCGAGGCGTTGTTAAAATCACACTATCTTTCTCGATTTACATGTTGAGAGGCGTCTCTTACTTGTCAATCTTGCGCCGGTAACCCTGGGTAATGCGGCTATCCTCCTATTCTTGCTACACCGGCCATCTGTACGAGTGAGCTAAGCCCATCTATCCGTTATTGTCACGTCTGGCTCGGATGGCACACAGCCCTGCGTATACATACCCGTGCAGCCGCCTGTTGATCTTAGATCTTCTGTCATGTTGTTATGTCTCTCGAGAAACCTAGGATCAAGAATGCGATACTCCCTCTGACCAGAGATAGACAAGGTACCAGTTGCATTGAGTGGGGCTACGACGTCACTTGCTGTAGAGGCCATTATATCCATCCTCGGTTTTCTCAGATACCCCGCCATTCAGATAAGAAAATATTATTTCAGGCTTTAATGCTTGCGTCGGCTTAGTATGGTACTTATGGCCGGTCTTGTCCCCCGGGCGCACTTTCAAACTATTTTCATCCAGGATGGGGTGGTGAATGGCATGACAAGCGCTAAGTGTAAATATTTGTGGGGATGATGAAAACCTGGGACCGCCAAGGTGTTGTTGCTTTCACCAAGAATTCTTCTATAGTGTAGTAAGGGCAGGAATATACGATGTCGAATCGTTACGATAATCTCACCATCACATATATCTTATTCCCTGGGCGCAGATATCGCATCGACGGTCCGTGTTCCCTGTATTGAAATACATAGGCTTATATAATGTAATTATATTGAGATGGCATACTTTGTAGATTGGTCCGGGGTAGAGTGCTTGCTCCATACGGGTAAAGAGCGCCGACAACTGAAGAGAAGCTAGACGGCAAGAACTCAAAGTTGCGTACATGCTTGTTCGAATAGCTTATCGTGGCGTTTGCTATGTATTGATATTAATATGATACTATTGTTGTGGTCAAACATACATAGCCTACATTCCTGATCGGCCTATCCTTGGACAGGGTCCAACCAATTGAGCTCGAGGTGTGGTGTTGATTCGCAGATGGCACTATCAAACCGGGTGTAAGAATCGAGTGTGTGAGAGGAGATCGGTTAACCAGACTATAGATGAGCCGAGGGCTGTATCATGGAAGAGTTTTGAGGCAAAGAAAATAAACGACAGGTCCATTCTAGTGATAGAATCAGCTACAAGAATGTGATCTGTGGTGTGCATGCGCAAATTAAAATACCATCTTATCTTATCTTATCTGCTATTCCTTTTACGGCGCCTAACTTGGAACTCGACTCGGACTTTGTTTTTTCCTGTACCTCAGATTTTACTTCTTGTAATCGCAATCGTGTAAACCATAATTTTCCACATTTCCGGCATGTCAAAGAGGCGCGTAGCATATTACTATGACGGTAAGCCATTGTTTACTTTTTCTATGAGATTGCCTCAACCGTTCTGAGCAGGCGATGTTGGCTCGTTCACATACGGACTAGGACATCTCATGAAGCCGCACCGCATGCGCGTCGCTCATGACCTTATCACTGCATATGGAATGTTAGACAAGATGCATGTTCTGGTAAGGAATACACATTCCTTGTTAAATCTGCTCTTTGTGCCGAATACCTACATCAGCGGCCAAAACGCGCGTCTGCGAAGACAATGACCTCCTTTCACACTGACGAATATGTCCATTTTTTGAGCCGGGTGACGCCAGAGACAGCTGAAGAGCTTACGTATCATGGAACAAGATGTGAGTCGTATTGTTTGACCTGCCGGTGCGCTTTGCTAATACTGCCAAGTCTTGATGGGTGATGATAACCCTCCTTTCGAGGGTGTGTTCGATTTTTGCTCCATTTCTGCTGGAGGGTCTATATGTGCGTGCGCCACTTGACATATACGCAACTATACTACACTAAGTTCCGTATCAGGTGCCGCAGAACGCATCGCATCCGGCTCAGCAGATATCGCAATCAACTGGGCCGGCGGGCTACACCATGCGAAGAAGCGTGAGGCGGCTGGATTCTGCTATATTAACGACATCGTTCTCGGTATTCTCGAGCTTTTGCGGACGTTTCCGCGTGTTCTCTACGTTGACATCGACTGTCATCACGGGGATGGCGTGGAGGAAGCGTTTTATACGACCGACCGCGTGATGACGTGCTCGTTCCACAAGTTCGGAGAGTACTTCCCCGGAACTGGGACACAAGATGACAAGGGAAAAGGGAAGGGAAAGGGTTATGCAGTGAATGTGCCCTTCAAGGACGGTCTTACTGATGAAGCGTTCAAGAGTGTATTTGAGCCGGTGAGTAGGATTTTGTAGTTTCTTGTCGCTCCTCGAGCGAGCGTTCTATCATAGGTTGTGGCCAGATGTTTGGAGGTTTTTAGGCCTTCTGTTGTGGTACTCCAGTGCGGTGGGGACTCTATAGCCGGGGATAAGCTGGGATGCTTCAACATCACGATGCATGGACATGCACATTGCGTGCAGTTTATTCGAAAAAAGAATATACCACTCATCTTGTTGGGAGGCGGAGGGTACACTGTAAAGAATGTCGCACGAGCGTGGGCATACGAAACAGCATGCGCTCTGGGAATTGAAGACACTATCGACCCCAATCTGCCTTGGAACGAGTATTTCGAGTGGTTTGGTCCACGTTATCGACTTGAGGTGCTGCCTAATAATATGGAAGATTATAATGTGCGGGATGGGGCCTTGGATAAAGTTAGGTGAGCTATATATTTTGTACTGGCTGATGTATAGGGATACGATATTTGTTGTTCATTAGGACTACAGCACTTGAACAGCTTTCAGAATTAGCAGGCCCTCCCTCTGTGGGTATGCACGACGTGCCCAGACAAAGCTTAGGACATCACCTCGGTTTCAGGGGTGATACGGATAGCGAAGCGACAGACGAGCTGGACGAGCGTTTAGCACGTAGGTTCTATTCCTCGAGTCAAAACTCGTATAACCATTATATGTTATCAGAATATTCGCATTTCGTCTACAAACAGCAAGAAGAAGCGGAAGCGGAATCAGCAGAATCAGACGATGAGGATGAATGGGACTCTGATGGATCGACGAGAAGCCGGAGAAGACGGCAGAAGTCGCGCATGAGTATCGTCAGCAATAAGTACACGGATGGCATCGACGAACATCTTGGTGGCAAGAGCCGCAGACGGTTCTTCCAGAGTTCTGCGAAATGGGATGAGACGCAGCAATGTTTTCAACTAAAAAACGATATGGGGCTGATGGGACTTGGAGGGATGTCCGCATTGATGGAAGCGGGAGGGCGCATGAGTCGGATGCCATCAGTAGATGGAGAAATAAACATGGACGAGGACAGAGATTGGGAAGATAACGTGTCATTATGAGATTAATAAAAACGTATGTATAACTGTACTATGTAACTTATTTAACGGTACCGTAGATTTTCTCATCGTGGTTAACAAATGGCAGACATTTCTGGCACCCTGCACAAATTATGGTATGCAAACGTTAACGGGAATAGGTCATGCTGCCACATACAACAGTAGCTATAGCAAATGTGTTCAAAGTTTGTTTCCAAGCAGGAAAGTTTTGCAATGTTCATGAACCACCACGATCCGCAAGTCATCTGCAACGCTTTCAAGTTGGAGAGCGGACTCTTCGCCACATGAAATGGCGCATATTATAATGGGTAGACCTGGATCCAATGCCCTATCATCGTCTAATTCACAAGCAAATAACAACCGTTAACTACAGCACGAATGCCGGTATTAGCGGGGAGACTGGGGTGGGTTGGCCATCTTGGATCCGTAGCACCCATATATCTGTCAGGCGCATGCGGGGTAGGAAGAACTGGAGCGCCTCACGTGGGTCTAGAACAACGATGGATTTTGGTGCAAAGAGCAGCCATTTGACGCAACGAACGTTCGGTAGTGTAGTCCCGTGGCCACGTGTCTGTCTTATGGCATTGCTTGGATCAAAAAAATATCTCCAGGCACGCAAGGTTTGGTCATGATGCATTCGCAAAATCATGCATTCTTTCCCGAGGTCTCTCTGGAGACTTATCTACAACAACTATGTTGTTCAGTCTCATTGGACTGGCTGTTGCAGTTCTAGGGAATACCCACAGCGTCGCTGCATCTCACAACGATGTCGAAGGACTGTATAGTTTAGTCCAGAGACGTATCCCAGCCCATGCTGGAGCCTTCACCTTCAAGCTCTCTTCTGGCAATAGCTCCAACGTTACGGATACATTCACCCTCAGCGATCAAATTTCGGCCACTACTCAGGCTGGAGGTGCCAAAATACTCGTCGAATGTTCAACGATTAGTGCTTGCGCTCGTGGCTTGTATACGTCAGTCCTTCTTTCTCGCCATTTTCGCAGCTATCTTATTTGCACTGCGAACAGATATGTGACAGAGTTCGGTGGTGTAGACATATGGTGGACAGGCTCACGGCTCAACGAACTGCCATCCGAGTTACCATCAGTCGGGCAACCAGTCACTCGATCCTCACTCGTGCCCTATCGCTATCATTTCAATACAGTTACGTTCAGCTATACTGCAGCCTTTTATAACTTCGACGATTGGTCGCTCTTACTGGACTGGCTTGCCCTTCGCGGTGTAAACTTGCCTTTGGCTTGGGTCGGGAATGAGTATATTCTCGTACAAGTATTCCGAGAGGCAGGACTTTCCGACGCAGATATTGCCACATTTCTTTCCGGCCCTGCCTTTCAAGCATGGAACAGGTTTGGGAATATTCAAGCTAGTTGGGGTGGCGACTTGCCAGAGCAGTGGATCAATGACCAATTTGCTTTACAAAAGCAAATAATTAGCCGCATGGTCGAGCTTGGTATGACGCCTGTCCTACCATCTTTCACTGGTTTTGTGCCCCGAGCGATGCATACGCTTTATCCCAATGCTTCGATTGTTAATGGAAGTCAATGGAATGGCTTCACGATTCAGTATACTAACGATTCGTTCCTTGAACCATTCGATCCTCTGTTCAGCACTCTCCAAACCTCGTTCATCAGCAAACAGGTGGCTGCATACGGAAATGTATCGCACGTATACACGCTTGATCAGTATAACGAGAATTCCCCTTACAGTGGTGATACATCATACCTTGCAAACGTTACTGCAGCTACGTTTGCCAGTTTACGCGCCGCGGATCCTCAAGCCGTGTGGTTGATGCAGGGCTGGTTGTTTTACAGTGACTCTACATTCTGGACCACGGAACGTGTCGAAGCTTATCTTGGAGGCGTTCCAGGCAACGACAGCATGATCATCCTTGATCTGTACAGCGAAGCACAGCCTCAGTGGCAGCGTCTGAATTCTTACTTTGGAAAACAATGGATATGGTGCGAGCTTCACGATTATGGTGGGAATATGGGCTTTGAAGGGAACTTTGAGAACGTGACAACGCAGCCAATCAAGGCGTTAGCCACACCAGGAAACTCGATGGTCGGAATGGGACTGACGATGGAGGGTCAGGAGGGCAACGAAATCATATATGATGTCCTTCTCGACCAAGCTTGGTCATCCACACCGCTCAACCGAACGGCATACATATCAGCTTGGGCGTCCCGTCGGTACAATGTCCCCGATCTTCCCACTGCTGCCCTCGAAGCTTGGGAGATCCTTGGTGCGACTGTCTACAATAACCAGGACGTGACTACTCAGTCTACAGTCAAAAGCATTCTTGAGCTCAGTCCATCCATCACGGGGCTTGTCAACCGCACCGGGACTCACTCTACGAAGCTATTTTATGACACCAACACGACCATCGTTCCTGCGCTCAAGTTGCTATTGCAGGCTCGTCAGGAAGCCTCTGCACTCAGCAACATCCCAGAGTTTCAATACGATGTTGTTGACGTTACGCGCCAGCTTCTTGCAAATCGTTTCATCGATCTCTACACGTCGCTCATAGATACCTTTAGTTCGACGAGCTCAAGCAGTTCTGCCGTATCTGCAGCTGGCGCTCCACTTCTTGCCCTCTTACAAGACCTTGATTCTGTTCTGCTCACCGATACGCATTTCCTCCTCGCACGGTGGATCAGCGCAGCAAGAAACTGGACGCATGGCGATAACGCGACATACGCCGCATATCTTGAGTACAACGCTCGTAACCAGGTCACGTTGTGGGGTCCACGAGGGGAGGTCAACGACTACGCGTCCAAGCAGTGGGGTGGGCTTGTCGGTACTTATTATGTTCAGCGCTGGGAGACGTTTGTTGGATATCTCGCAGGGTCAAAAGAGAATGCGACGGTGTACAATGTATCAGCTGTCGCGGACATGATGCTCGATATTGGCCTGAGGTGGGACAGTGAGGTGTGGGGACAAACGAAGAACCAGACCTGGGGGACTGTCAGCAGTACTTGGGATGTTGTACAGCAGCTCGTTGAAAGATGGGCATGATTGCAGTATGGTGCAATGACCACTGCTTGTGATTTTTTTCCATTTCCAAAACCCTGGAGTCGTTTTCATACTGATCGTTTTCTTTGAATTTGTGTAGAGTTATATAATTATAATTTAAATTCGTATGTATAGATGTATGTTCGTTCCCTGCTAAGTGTTAATTCTGATTGTCATTGTTCGACAGTTTTTTTTTATTAGTATTACGGTGTTAGTCCCTTGAAGGCGAGATATAGTGCGATGTTCTCATTCTCTTGTGCAGCATCGTTCTCTACGTTCAACAGGACGTTCCAAGCAGGTTTGCAAGCTTTGGTACGTGCACAACAGTGTAATTAATTGATCTCAAGGGACACTGGGAAACCTAATGAGAGGGCGTCCTAGCGTTATCCTCTCGGGAACCAAACTTGCGGAGTATACTGGTAACATAGTATGTCAGTCAAGGATGGTGCGAGCAATGTGTTGTGGGCCTTACGGGCTATGCTTCTGTACTTGGGGATATAACTCAAACCAACAGGCCATTATAAAGCCCATGTCTATTTAAAAAATGACCGGCCCACTTGGTTCACAAAAGGGGTTGCCAGTGACAGGCGCACTAATAGTCCCTGGGCACCACACAACATTGCCATGTTCGAGGCAACTCCCTGTAACCGACAGAGTTTTTGTGAGTAAAATCAAATAGGACACGCATGGTCAACGCAAGATTGTTAGTCACTGATTACATACCAAAGTGATTCGGTCACAGCCTTGATATCAACCGATGCGACGTGTGTAGAGGAAGATTGTGATTGTGTTGCATTGTCCTCGCTGTGGCCTCGTGTGACCACGAACCACGCCCCTGATGCGATACCCCAACATCAGGATTACGAGTATTAGTGGTAAAATTATTAAACCGTCTCGAAGTCAAACTTAGGAATCGACGGTGAGGACCAGCTCAATCTATCTTGATCGTCTCATGCTTAATATCTTCCGGGTCCGACTGACATCAGGGCACATGCGTATTAATATATGGACTTGTAACAAGCTGGAAGACGTATCAGAACACGAAGCTCATAGATCGAAGCTTTACAAACCGAAATGAACACACAGCAGGAAGTAGCACAGAACTTAACTCTATTGAACACAGCAAATGGAAGGCGAATAAGAATTCAGACACGTTGTGAAGGCACCGGTTCTTTATGTCAATCACTGGCAGGATTCGTAGTACCAACCAGTACCTCACGTTCGAGGCTGCAGTATACCATTCAAGAAATAAAACAGAATAGATAGCATGGAAGAGAAGAGCCTGAGCATACTTGGCTGCAGCGAATGTTGTGGTACTGCAGGAAGGTGTTGTATTTAGAAAAGAAGTGAAATATAGGGGCCATTCAATTGGTCAGCGCTGCCAGTGGCTGAACGCGGCACGGCCCGTATCCGATCGTATATCATGCCAGGAATACTACTTTAACGCTCCCATCCAACGACCCGCCGAGTCACCCTTACAATCATGCCTGGCCCAGCAGTTTATGTGGTTGCCGTAGTAGTTGGCTTGGGTGCTTGCGTTATGTTCAAGGACGTACGTCTGTAGCTATATGTTGGAGACTTGGCATTGAACTGACCAATACCGTAATCCCCCTTACCCGCAGTTCGTCTACGAGCCACACATCGCACCAACTCTCGAGCGGTGGGCGCAAGATTTCGTTGAAAGGCGTAGAGCTAGACGTCAAAGGGAGCAAGTACCTGTTTCTGTATCAGTAAACCCTGGTCCATCCACGAGGAGGGCTCGCAGCAACGACGGCGACAGTGGAGCCGAAGGCGGATCTGTATATGAGTTAGAGGGGCTGATCTCTCGCGAGGTTGACGAGTGGAGGAATAAAGTCGACAGGAGTCAGAATCAGCTAAGATTTAGAAACAACGCTGCTTCAGAAGCAGAGCGATATAGCTTTTCCAGTAACACCCTTGACGAGGTGAGTTGTGACATCGCCCATATTTGTTATAGAGTTCTCAATTTCTTGTTCGTTGGAGAACGCTGATTTTCCCAGCATGTCTAGTTCTGCCACTTCCTTGCTTTCGATATTTATCTACCTGCATCACGCTGACTCGTTTCTCCGCAGTCCATCGCTTCTCTGCCCTACACCCCCATCGTGCCAACGCACGTAGTTAGCAATGATTCGTCCCCAATGACGGCTACGCTTTCTGATTTGCACGATGTCTTCGTTCCCACCACAAGTGGGGAGGATACCACACCATGGGACTTACATATTGGTTCTTCGTCATTATCGCGCACTGTGGCTCCTTCGGATGACCATCGCGCACAATCGCAGCCGTCTGCAGTGCCTCCCCCTTCTCTCATGCCGTCAGTGCGCTCACCGTTGTCCCAGACGCCCGTCATCCCCTCGCGAGCGTCTACATTAACGCCTACCTCGGCAGCTGCGCAAACTGTGTTGCCGATGGGTTCACAGCCTATCATTCTGTCACCAGCGCCGATAATAGCCTCGCCATCCGCAGGTTATCCTGCCTATGTTAACAGCCCGCATGACAACCCTTTCGAGTCTCCCTTTGATGCTGCCGTGTCGCCTTCGACTCCACGATCGCCAGGTCGAACTTTTTCGCAATCTCCAGAAATACTTTTCCGTAGCTCTCCTTCTCCACCTTTGGATTCTTTGCAACGTACTCCTCCCCAATACCTTGGTTCACTATCTGAGCGATATCCGGCACCTGTCTCGCCACCCATAGAGATATACACCCCAGTCCATTCGCCGATAGAGCTCGTGTCACCACCCTCAACAAGATCTGGCACACCTCCTGTTGATATATTTATGCCGATGTCTCCTGGTGCAGAAACCTTTTCTGATTTTCTCTCTCCTACGATGTCTTCTGTAGACTTCCTCTCTGCTGCGGAGGAGTGGGAAGAAGATTCAGACGATGAGGATCTGTCTGTTCGCTCACCTTCGCCAGAAGCCTCACCTAGACACAATAGTAATTCGGCATCGTTACTATGGAGTGAGTATCACCACCCCTCTGGTAGCGACGATGGACACGAGGGTAGTGTGAGCGAAGGTAGCGAGACGTCAAGTTGGGCAAGCGTCCCGCCTCGCCGTTGATCGTTTTCTAGCCAATGATCAAACTGACTGATACACGTGTCAGTGTGGCTTCAAGGCTGCCTACCTTGCTACTTGCCTCCAGGTGTTTAGCAAGACCCCGACCCTCTGGCTCCATCTCTGCGTGTGCCTGTCCTACCACCACATGTACATTTTCCTATTTAGATTCCTTTCTGTATTCTCTGGTTTCTCTTGCTCATATCTCTGTATTTCCCTCGTGTGTTGTACTTGTTATCAATTATTGGCTCTCGAATCACAAATGAATACTTGATTTCCACTAGTTAAGGTGTGGATCTAAACCTCTCTTCCATAGGCCATCCCACGGAACAACATCTCCAAAGTTTTACATTCGAACGAATCCAGTCTTTTCTCGTTAACCAGATCACGAAGAAAACCCATCCTGTCGACGTATGGCCAGCAAAAAATTGCATCAAGTCTCTCTTGACTGTTTATCCCAAGGGATACGAACAGTGGCAAGAGGTGCTCGAGTTGTGCTTTCCGGAGAAAGTATTCCACAGCGTAAGTATCTTGTGATCCGCTTTTACAAGCGCTGGGCACTAGCATCATGCTGGAAAGTTCAGGCGGTGTGGAAGAATATGATACTGAAGTGCTGGTACTAGTTTCCACAGAAGGGCACGGGCTCTGAGCTGGAGACCTTGGAGGAATAGCCTCCGCGGTAATGGCACGGTGATTTAAGTTGTCGGTGAGTTGTTGAACTCCTAAACGGCGCTTGCGATGCATGCAAGCTGTATTGGCAAGCATGCGGTCTATATATCTTCGCATGTGGTGAAGACGTTGTGTGTTGTCAGCATTGGGCGAATCAAAGATCGGCAGTGTATCTTTGACCTAAAGGTGAAGTCAAAATTGATTGATACAGATGCTGGGAATGAACCGACCGCTCTGACAAACTCAATCCATCTTTCCTCCCCTTGCTCACTACCTGTTAGTCCTCGCTCAAAATGGACCATCGCCAGTTCCCTTAAAGATGCCTTCAGTAACGGTAAATTAGTTTAAATTCTAAGCAGATCTAGCCGAAATTTAACTTCACTTTGATCAGGCTGAAATCCTCCTCGTTGTTTTGCACACCCAGGACATGCATGAATTCTATAGACGCCCTTCCCTTCGTTTTGGGACCGTTCTGTTTGTATGTTAGTGGTCTGTCCATGATGGATGATGGGGGCGCCAGTGAGTGAGACAGGCTTTTGATTGTTTTATACTGATATCGAAAGAGGACATCGATAAGATTAACTTCGTTAGTATTTAATATGCCTATTTTGACAAGGAGCTCGATAATGGTCTGTTTTGAGTTTGTCCTCTTGGTCCGATGGGGCAAACTTCTACAACGCTCCATCTTGCAGGCCTGCCTTTTTGGGCTTGTCAGTTTACCATAAATGCTGTACTATTACATACAAACCATTTTCTGTGGAAAATCGAGTTATCACTTGTTCATATGACTGATGTTTTTGAGTTCTTAGGCACATGTACAGCTGCGTTTACCCTGCAATTTATTATATGAAAAGTATCATCCAACGATGTAAATAAAATAAATAATTCAAGATGACTGAGTTATCTGTTAGATGCCGAGAATGGCACGCTGTCATTCTCGCCTTGCCACTGTGAAACACACCGTGGTTCTGATCCGTGCAAATGTGACCGTGCACCAGACGTCTGGCTGGGTTTAGTCCTGCTTGACCTCCTACTTGTCTTTTCGCAGTGCCGGCTCAGGCAGAAATTTGCACTAGGCAGCCACTGCAATCACTGCAACGTCGATCTGCGGACACACTCTTTCATCATTGTCATGCATGGCGTCGCCTCGCATTGTTGATTCTGCTCATAGTGCTCTGGCTGGCCCACTGTTCGTACCCTTGACAATGGGCCTTTGAGTAGGGTTATTGGTACCGTGGGAGTGAGAAAATAAGGTTTACTGGTCTGTGCGCGGGAAATGCTGTGACCAATGTGACCCAAATAATTGCAAGGTGGCAATTTTTCCGGGCTGTCTGTTGATTCGGCCCCGCCCGCTTCCTTTCGCTCCTTCACACTTGACAACTCGATCGCACCCTTGCTCGTCGACAGCCACAGCGAACAACCGCCTCTCCTCATCGTCCACCGCATCCTACTCCACTTCTTGTTCGCTGCCAGACACAGCGTCGGGCAATCTTTCTCGCTGTGTCCATCGTTCGCTCAGTGACATCCAGTACTTACTATTTATCCAATCCCACGCGTCGCGCGCCCATCCACAGCTCTCAAGTCTCTTGTCGCCCCACCTCACCACCATCGCTGCCATCTCTGCCTTCTTCTTACCCTTTCCCTTACCCTTAACAACATTTCTTGAGCATTCCTTGTCAATTTTTCACTCGTCTGTATCCATATCAGCAGTCGTCTCGCCTCGCGTCACCCCAACCCAACACATATCCAACTTCCCCCCCCTGGCTGTTGATGTCCAGATTTTAGTCCCATTATTATCACACCGACCTTCTGTAATCTGCAACACAGTTTTTCTCCAATCTGGCGTCCTCAGCTTCATCCGCTACTTCCTCTCGTCGACCAGCCTTCCCTGAAGAAGATTTCATCAATCGCTCCCTTCTAGACTCCCTTGACGCTCAAGCTGACGCTGAGCCCACGCCTGCATCATCTGAAGAGTCAGATTTATATCCGTTGAACCAGGTCAACATTTCGAATCAGGCTAGCACGTCTGCGTCAAATACAAATTCTGGGGCAGCATCACCTTCAATGTCTTTCCATCTCACCACCATGCAGCAGCATCAGCCGCAGCAGTTATCAGCACAGGGCCCTCCAAGGTCTGAATCGCCGAACAAACTAAGCCACAACACAAGTGATATTCAGCATCATTCCCTTCAATCATCGCAGTTTCCTCATCACGTCAGTCCAACCAATCTTATCCACGGTGATAGCCATAATGACATTCAGTATCAGCATCCCGAGTCACTATTCGCACCAGGCGTTAGTCACTCAATGTACAATAACAACAGCAGTATTCATCTTACTGGTGACTACATCTCCGACCCTGAGAATCTCAACATCAGCACCAAACAGGTCGGAGGGTTGAAACCTACGAACGGTTTTGGTGGAGGCTCATTTAGGCCCTCCACTTTCAACTCGTTCAACAACTTGAATCTTAACTCTGCTAACACTAATGGTGGTAATAACAACATCAACGCCACTACCAATGGGTCTCGCATGAGGCTTTCAACTGCTCCTCCCACCTCTCAGCCATTCGCTGCTGCTGCGGATCTCTTCGGAAGCCACCAGCCTTTCGGCTTGCAACCGCAGTCTTCCCAACAACCGCAGCCTCAGATGTCATCTTCTGCCTCGAACGGGTTTGAATCTCGAGGTTTTGACTTTGGAGTCGGTTCTTCCCAGCCTCCTTCTCTTGGAGCCATGTCAAGTAAGGCTCAGCAATATGGCTTGGACCCGTTCGCTCCACCTCTTCACTCGAACAAACCGCAGCAGCACCAACATGAGTCATTTCACTCGCTTTCACAGAACTCAACATCCCAATTGCAGTATCTGAACGGGATGCAAAGTCAGACTCCGTACGGACCCCATCTACATACCAACGGAGCAAATGCCACTATGACAGCTAGTAGAGGCTTAAGCGGCAGTGTTTCCCAAGGTGGGCTGGAAGTTCAAGGTGGAAATTCTAGTGCCAATAGCAATGGAGGTGGCGGCCAGCAGGAGGAGATATCAACCATTTTCGTAGTCGGATTCCCGGAAGATATGCAGGTTGGTTATCTCTTTCATTTGAAAGCTCTATTGCCGTATCTGATCATTCAATTTGGTTAGGAACGCGAGTTTCAAAACATGTTCACATTCTCTGCTGGATTTGAGGCAGCCACGCTCAAAATTCCCAATAAGGAATACACTGCCTACGGCTCTTCCAGTGGTTCAAATACTACGAACGTGACCCCTGGAGCCGGTCTTCCCCTTCGTGGATCATATGCTCAGTATTCAGGGTCGAACGATCCTTACAATCTTGTAACTGTGAATCAAGGGGGTGTACTTGTTGATAATGGCCGAGACGGTCCTACAACCTCCTGGCCAGCCCCTCCTCTACCACTCTCGTTATCTATGCAGCTCGGGGATGACCCAAGCGCCCATTTCGGACCTCCTCAGGTTCCTGGGCAGGGCCCAGGCGGAATGTTACCTCCTCGCAAGCAAATCATCGGCTTTGCCAAATTCCGCAGTAGGCAGGAAGCCTTGGATGCAAGAGATGTGCTGCAGGGACGAAGGGTCGACATTGAAAAAGGTGCAGTCCTGAAAGCAGAAATGGCAAAAAAGAATTTGCATACGAAACGAGGAGTTGGGATGGGTACCGGCATTGGTGGTGGTGTTGGCGAGAGGGGGAACTTGGGAGGGACCAACGGCCTTGGCGGGAGTTTGGGCTTAGCGGGAGCGATGGGGAGTGGTGGAGTTGGAGGCGCTCTCGGTAATCTTGGTGTCAACCCTGACACTTTGCCCGGCTTAGCTGCGCTGAACCTCAACCCAAACTTGAGTTCTCTTTCAGGCCTGGGCAGCGCTGATATAATTTTACGTGAGCGCGAGCTTGGGTCGCTAGGCGCCATAGGATACGGACAATCTGTAGGTGGCTGGCGCGAAGGACGTCTTGGGGACAGTAGTGAAGAAGAGAGAGACCGGGAGCGAGAGCAAAGGCGAAGGGATCGCGATGCCAGTGCCTTCGGTACCATGAATTTGGGACTTAGCGGAAACATGACGCGTGGAGCCCGAGAGCGTGCTCAGGCTGATGAAGAAGAGAAGCGGAAGAGGGAAAAAGAAGGGCGCCTAAGGTCGTCTAACTCTACTGCGTTCGATGCCTTCCACTCCGTCCCTGTCTCGCGCCAAATGCAAGGTGGCTTACTTTCGCCCACCACCGGTTCCATGTCTGTTCCAGGTCTTGGAGCAGGTATTGGGGAAGGTGGGAGTGCCGGTACGAGTCCGATGCTTGGTAATGGATACGGTGGTATCATCTCGCACGCGCCCAGAGATGATTACTCGAATATGAATATGAACGGTCAAGAGAATGGAGGTACATCTATTGGCCCCTGGGATCTGCCATCTCCTCGAGAACGTGAAGACAGCATGGCTCATCAGAGTCTCTCTTCACTTTCCTTTGGCCTTTCTGGTAGCCGCATGTCTTCAGTGGTGCCAATTGCTCGTCCACCATCGTCGTCTCGCATCTCTCATGATTCTCCACCCGACTCTGCGGCTTTCTCTCCAACCATGAACGATAGTGTAATGCTGCCTCCTCATCGCAGTGCTCCTTTCCGTCGCCCTATATCGCCTGCTGGACCCGGTTCGCTCCAAGTTCAGCTATCGCATCCACCCTCCAGTGCTTCTTCAAGCACTGGTCCTGGTTTGGAAGGTGAGCGTGCTGCCCCACTTGCCGTGAGTACTGCCGAACAGCAGAAGGTGAATAATGCTGGCAATACATCACCTCAGCTACCGTCGCCGGCTTCCAACTCAGGATCAGCTGTTAGCTCCTCCATTGGTGGTGGGGGTGTCGGCGGGAGCAGCGGTACTGGTAGCGTTACTAGTCATGGTGCTGCCAGTCATTCGGTGGGGGCTAACGGACCACGAAATACCGTGATTGACCAAAACCCACCCATTAATACGCTCTATGTCGGCAACCTACCTACTGTGGGCGGAGGGTACCCTTCGGGCTATCTCGAGGAAGCTTTAAGGGATTTGTTTTCGAGGAGGTCAGGATACCGGAAACTTTGTTTTAGGCAGAAAAGTAATGGCCCGATGTGCTTTGTTGAGGTAAGTTTCGTGTTTCACTCAAAAATAATTACGAAACTGATTCCTATGATTCTAGTTCGAGGATGTTAGTTTCGCGACCAAGGCGCTGAACGAGCTTTACGGCAATACCCTATCTGGTCTTGTCAAGAATGGTGGTATCCGCCTGTCGTATAGCAAGAATCCCCTTGGTGTTCGTACGCCGACCAGTGCTGGCAACGGGTCGACGTCGCTCCAGCAACAGCAGCAACAACATCAGTCCATCGTGTCCCCCTTCCCATCAGAGCCTTTCCCACCTCGACATGCCTTCGATGCAGACCCTAATCGCTCTTCAATTCTTAGGCGCGACAGCTCAACTGCCATGTCCTCTCCGATTCCTTCTGCGTTCGCCTATTCAAAATCACCACCGCCCCCTCGTTTCTTTTCTCCTTCCCCGCCGTCTTCTGCGACTTTTGGTTCCTTATCGACAGCGACGACGTTGCCAGCCTCATCCGCCACTTTTCCGCGTGGGTCGGGTTCATTCGCGCTCTCGTCTTCGAATGGTAATGGCACGACATCGTCCTTCTCACCATTCGGCATGCCTTTGTCTTCCAACCCTAGCACCAACATGCCTGGCCACTCAACTATACCCGAACAGATCAGCCCCGACGTCGAACGCCAGCATTTCTCTCACCGTACGCTGTCTCCTCATTCCAGTGCATTAGAGGCCGCCAGGGCCGGTTAAGAGAAACGAATTATTATCTCTCAACCTCTGCTCCCAACACGCATGCAATCATATACAGCACATTTGCACGTTATATATATGTACTAACGACATGTTTGATATCCTTTCCGATGTTTTCCCGACCGCATGCCACTTTTTTCTCAAAGCCTCCCGTCTGGACAGTCAACATGTCGTTGCCCTTCTATACACTTTTCTTCCCCTTGTGGCAATTATTAATCGCAATACGACCATTCTCTCCATACTACACAATTCATGACATCTGGTTTTTTTGTCTGCGTGCTCTTCATATGTCCCTACCATCTCACCATACTGAATGATCTATTTCTACTACCCCATCTGTTTTTTTCCATTTGCTCCTTGGTTTTCTCACATCGTTTTGCTGATATATCTCTACCTTAGTATTTTACCCAAATTTGTTGTTTCCTGCCGTTCCCAGTTTGCATCACTTGGCCTGATCTTTGACTTCTCTGTTTACTATCTTTGTCTCCTATCTCTCAGTATACAATTACACATATCAATCTTTGCCTACCTGCGGTATTACTCATATGAATTCCTCTTTGTTATATTGCCTGACAATTTCAGTTTCCTTTTTCTATTTACATTCCAATCTTTTTCAATCTACACGCTTGCGCTGATGATGTATACTACCTTCTACTTGTGAATCGTCTCATATTTGTTGGATCGATGGAATATAATTTTGCATTGCATGTTCATATGTCGTGGAAGTAACGTACCACAACTGGTAAGATAAGCATAAGATGCAGCGTGAGGGAGTTGGCACGAGCCCCCAGCCCAGGACCTGTGTGTAAGATGGCATGCCAAGTGTTTTCACTATATCCCAGAGCGACTAACACCGCTTGCTGTGCTCAGCCATCTTGGCAGACTTGTCTGCCAAACCCAGTTGAGATAAGCATCCAACGAAAAAAGGCAGGTCGCAACTGATGCGAAACCTCTAGTTGAGTTGGTCATCTTTTCTAAAATGGTGATGATTCTACTGCGATGGTGCTGAGATCCCTACTCCACGACGTCTAGCATCCGAAACGGTTACTAGACTTGATTAACCTTGACTCACCAGCACGGGGACTTAAAACCGAGCTAGTAGATTACTTCTATTTGAAAGTATACGGCCCCACATCGCCACAGATCGCATCGCTCACCCATGCAGATAGAGCGAGGTTGAGAAGCACTTGCATGCTGATATAGCGGTACCATACCCTATCCTGACGAATGTGCCAATGCATCATGACGGTACAGCCATAAACGAAACACTAAAGAGGTATTGAGTTGGCTGTTGTGATAATAAATGGTGACTTGCTGATATGTTCGAAGCAGACAATAAGAATAGACAATATGACCGCCAATATGAAAGCATTTCGTGGCGTCCGCATCTGACACTGTCTAAGACAATGGCGAGTAATGGTCGTCATTCACGGCATGGGTTCAAATTCGTTTGATGTTTACGAACCAGATAACGAAAGACCCAACACGTTTAAAATGCCTTTCAAGTTCAGAGCCGAACTTTACATTGACGCCCCCTCAACGTTGTCGACCACCACAGGACGCATTTAAAACAGGGCGCACTGGCATTCTTGCCTCCATTCAATTCTTACCGTGACCTTGTATTTTTCTTCACGACTCACAGCCACAGCCATCGGAAGTCCATCGGACTTTCGGAACGCGTAAACACTGAATATTTGTTGCAGCAATAACCGCCTCACCTTCTTGTTCCCTTCCCGTCGCCTCCTGGCATTTAGCTAGGCATCCTCAGCTCAGGATTGCCTTTCACGCACTTCTCTTCTCATTCACGACGAGTGTTCCCAGTCATTTATAATTTTCCGAGCCGCAGACAAGACGGGCCACTCTTATCACACATTTTGCCATTCTTTTATATATCCTGTCTCTTCTGAGCAAAAATCATGCATCCTAAATTCTTACAAAGGTGTGCTTATATTGCTTTCAATTATCTTTACATATGCTCAAACTTGTTGCTTGTCTGTCAGATCAAGTCCCATAGACTTATTTTCTCGTGGCAGCCCAAGCTGCGTATCTCCCAACCCGGATAACACACTCACAGACCGCCTCAATACGCTTCTAAACTCATCTGGTCCGGGTTACGTCCTGAGCTTATGTCCAGGTGAACAATACCTCATCCAAGCTCCTATACTCTTCGCTGCTTCCAACCAAGAAATCAGTACGGCTGGATATCCGACTGGAGACGAAAGGGCCACTCTCGTAGTGAATGGCCCTGTCTTTAATGGTACTGGGCACACTACTGCTGTAGACGGATCGTGCGGAAACTGCGATGGTGTCAAACTACGGAACATTCAGGTCAGTTATTCGGCACTGTCTCTTATCGGGTGTATTGACGCGATTTTAATAGATAAATGGTACACGGCTTGGTGGACCTCCTATTAATGGAGGAGCGAACATCGAGTTCGGAGGTCCGAACTCGAACCAGCTTATTGAATACGTACATTCATTCGATCCAAGAGGCTGGTCGTGTCTGCATGTCGCCGAAGGAACCTTGAATTGCAATAACGCTACTGTCCAGAACAACGATATCGGGCCCGCAGGTTCGGATGCCTTTCAGCAATGGGCTGACGGGATTAGCGTTGCATGTCGGAATAGTCTGGTCAGGAATAACATGATCAACAATCCCACTGATGGCGGGATAGTCCTCTTTGGATCACCTGGCACCCGAGTAGAAAATAACACTATTTGGGTCGAGACTGTGAGTCAGATTTTCCAATTTGATTCCTGTATGATGCTGAGGTATGCGCAGAACACTCTTCTTGGCGGCATCAATATGGTTGATGTTTCGCCGTTTGGCGGGGACTATGACGGCGTTGTTGTCACGAACAACTCTATTGCTGGTGGTTTTGCTTCACAGTCACCACAAGGCGCTGACAAGGACGGGACGAATATTGATGATGCGATCATCAAGTTAGTTTTTATTGATACATATAATAGATCGTCGTTGCTGACTAGTTTTAGGATTGGAATTGCCATAGGCCCTCGAACATGGTTCGGGAACGAGTACCGGAACAATGTCAGCACAGGCGGAACCGTCATAAACAATCAACTTACCGGTGCATTCAGTTTTGCCATAGCCATGAGCTCTGCCAATAATTTCACGGTGGAAAATAACGAGCTTGTGGGTAACACATCCTTTATCGGTGCACGCGGACCCAATTGCACTTCCAATGACCCGACACCGCCGCCATCGGCTTTCATCATCGACTTGAGTAACGTAGCCAAGTCGACTACTCAGACTAACTTCCTCAATGTATCTGACGGCGACAGTCTCACTTGCATTCTTCCTCCTGATGGCGGTAACTACTGGCCATATGGCGGGAATCCCGCGTCTAACTCGACACCACCCATTGGTCCACCTGAGCCGAACAAGATAACTTCCAGCCATTCGTCTACTGGAACGACAGTAGGACTTGTGGTTGGCATCATTGGCGGTATCATCTTCATTGGAGCAGCAACTTGGTTCATTCGCAAATGGGCACTGCGCCGGTCGGCAAATAACACGCATTTCAATTCCACGAGGAACAAAGGATATGTCCAGAGTAGAGATTTCTGAAAGTAACATCCCATGACATGATTGTACGGACTTCTATGTTCTCTGTTTGTGGTTTTTATTCCCATTTGTTCTTTGTGACTTACTTGCATACTATGATACCAAAATATCGGATTGTTACACAAATTATGGCTTTCGCACCTCTTCTTGTATAGTCCAGACTCACTTTCGTAGATCTAGTGTTTTGTCGTGTACCACGTCGAATAGAATAATTTGCTTAGTCTCGTCATGACCATGTGTCCACAGTCAGAAAGAGCTTGAAAGATCAAACTGATTCAAAGGGATAAAACTAGTCTGTGGTGGCTGAAACAACTTGAACCTGAGTTTCAAGTTCGGGTGTCCGCGCCCGCGTGATGACTAAGACAAGCGACTACAATACGCATGGAGCCTGTTCGGCGTTCACCGTGCACCATCTCAATCGTGACCAACAGCGTCGAGCTTGTTTTAGTTTATACACATCCACAGGTATCTCATAGCGCAATCCAATGGCAACAGAAGAAGGGTATATCTTTTTGAAAACACTGACCATGGCTAGTCTGATGACTGATTTTTTTAAACAGACATTTGGGTGTTACACCGCCTATCTCTACTGGTGAATCCACTAATCGTGAAAAGGAGGTCACAGCGACTCTGATGGAGGAGCTCAGAAGGCAAAATACTATTGAAACTGAAGAAGAGTCTAGAAGAAGGTGAGCGTCGTTTTATTGCCTCCAACGCAGCCGCCTTCGCAAGCAGAGTTTTAACACATTCTCAACAAACTCGCGGCCGCCTATCATCGGAGAGTTCATTCTCATCGTCCAAAAAAGCCGATCTCGCAAAACTTCACCGTCGTTGCGCCCTCCTTTTTCGTCGTTGGCACTGTTTGCGGGCGGCTCGTTCCCTTTCTTCGTCGTGCCTCGCGCGTATACGCACTTAAACGCTGATGATTCATCCGGCTCTGACTAATAGGGAGGTTGTGCTGGGGCGCGTTGCGGCTCTCGTTAAAAAATTCGTCCGCCAAGTTTCCATGGCTCGTGGACTTTCAGAAGCCGCAGCTACTGCTGCAGGTGGCAAGATCTTTACCTTTGGATCGTATCGATTAGGCGTACATGGGCCTGGAAGTGACATCGATACATTATGTGTCGTTCCAAAGCATGTATCTCGGGAAGACTTTTTCGAAGTTTTCGAGCCGATGCTCAAGGAGGCCGATGGAGCTTCAGAAGTATCGGTAAGTACTAGTATTCGTGTGTTTCAAAGGAAATATTAGCTGAAAGTTATGTCCTTTAGGGAGTTCCGGAAGCTTACGTTCCAATCATCAAGGCTAAACTTATGGGCATTCCATTTGACCTTCTGATGGCACGTTTAGCTTTGTCATCGATACCAGACGATTTATCATTGAAGGATGACAATCTCTTACGAAATTTGGATGAGAGATGCATACGAAGTCTCGGAGGTAAATACTCCCGCAGCATATCCTTGCAACAGCATGAAAGCTAAGCTTGATACCAGGTTCACGTGTGGTGGATGAGATTCTGCGTCTCGTGCCAAATGTACACGTTTTCAGAGATTCATTGCGATGTATTAAGTTATGGGCTCAACGTGCGGATTTCTACGCCATATCTTTGACTTCTTGTTCCCTTATTCGGTCAATCAGGGAGAGCCATCTATTCGAATGTAAATGGGTTCTTAGGTGGAGTAGCCTGGGCGATGCTTGTAGCTCGCATTTGTCAGTTATATCCTAATGCTATCGCCGGAGCGATAGTCAGTCGATTTTTCATCATTATGTATCAATGGTGCGTCCTATCATTTGTTACTGTTACATTTGCACAGACTATCTCTAGGTCATGGCCACAGCCCGTACTTCTGAAACAAATTGAGGAAGGACCTCTACAAGTTCGAGTATGGAATCCTAAAGTGCGTGCTATTGAAAAGCTGGGCTGCATACGAGTTGATAGTCGAACCAACTTAGCTATATCCTGCGGATCGATCTCATAGAATGCCTATTATAACACCCGCTTATCCCGCTATGTGCTCTACTCACAATGTTACAGCGTCAACGCAAATGATTATGACAGAAGAGTTTAAGAAAGGTTAGTCTCATCCCTACTCTCTTTTTACCTATAATAATATATATATATGTTTTTTTATCCCTAGGTGCCGACATTGTGGATAAGGTCATAGTCGGAACCGCAGAATGGTCTGAGCTTTTTGCAAAGCACGACTTTTTCCATAAATATCGCTACTATCTGCAAGTAATTGCTTCTACAGGAAGTGCAGACTTACAAATAAAATGGTGTGTGACTTGTCTACTAATGACGCATACTCTAGGCGTTAAGTAACCTTTTCTCCAGGTCAGGGACTGTAGAGTCCCGAATACGACAGCTGGTGATGAAGCTAGAATATGTCGACTCTTTAATTTTAGCGCATCCTTTCATTAAAGGATTTGAGCAAATAGCATATTGTACATCTGACGAGGAGGTCCGTGCTGTCGCGCAAGGTGAAACCTCCGATGCCATCACGAGACGAAAGAAGGAAGACATCGCAGGAGTTGAGGGAGCGACTGAGGTCCACACAACAACCTTTTATATCGGGCTCGCCATTGAACCTAAACAACGTGCGTTTGTTGTCTCGTAGGCCCTTATTTTGCTTTCCTGTTGACACCTGAGACTCCCCTTGCCGGACAACAAGCTGGTGCTGCTGGCCCTAGGCGATTAGATATATCGTATCCTACCACTGAGTTTACCAAGCTCGTCAAGATGTGGGAGAAATATGACGAACCCACGATGGGGATTGTTGTTCGACATATCAAAAGGTAGATCGGAGCGAACATGGCCAACAGTATCACCGCATCTCATGTACTACTTAGTGCTGCCCTTCCTGATTACGTCTTTGATGAGGGCGAGCGACAACCAAGGCAAGCATTGAAACGCCCGAAGACAGCGAAAGTGTGTAGTCACCTTTCTTCGGTGTGGCTCTTGTACCACTGACTTTCACTTTTTCTCAATTCTTTGAAAGGGGTCCGGCAAATCAAATCATACCTCACCTGACGTGCCCAACAAGAAACGACGGTTGGTGCATTATATATGTTCCTAAGTTTCTCTGATCTTGCGATGTATTATATCCTAGCAGGTCGTCTCACACAGTATCTGACATGCAAGCAGCGGCGCCTCTTCACGTGACCGAGAACGGAATATCATCAATGACGATGGTTCCAACGACGAATGGCAATAGCAATAATTTGTACGCTTCGGGTGTGAAGGCCTCGGCGGATATCAAGTCCCCTCAACTACCGTTTGGAGAAAACGTCGCTGTTGCTACTGGTGAAGTTGGCGCGCAATAGTATGGGCCACATGTTGTCCATGTTCGCTTCCTCTACACAACAACTGGGTGTTCAGGCCCACTCAGGAGTTCTCAAGGCTATGGCTGGCAACTTTTCTGCTAGCGAAGAAACAAAGCTGCCCTATCAAAAGACATGCGACACATAACATAAAATATTTTCTTAACCCCATGGCCAACTTTGAATCCTTTGGTTTATTCATCAATTCGTCCTTTTTTTTTAACAGGGATTCAATAATTTTTGCGAGGCAAGCCAGACTAGGCTAGAACATCCTCAGTCCTCGATGCATAGCGGCGGCGATGATGATTGGTGACTTGTTGCTGTTGTTTGAGGTGGATGGAGGATGATAGTATTGGATAATAATTCTTTTCTTGTTCTATGGCTTCTCTTGCTGATTATTTCCCTCCCTCACTTTCCGCTGCGAGTCCATGATCAGCCGTCGTTTGTTTGGTTAGGGTCGTCGAACATTATTCTGTATTCTTTCAATCCGTTACAACTTGAGAGCATGAAACATGTATTTTAATATACAATCTCTATAAACACTTTCGAGATTGAGTTGAATGGGATATCAATGAGACAAAGCTGGTGACTGCATATAAGATTGCCAATGTCAAAGTATAACCAAAGAGAAAGTGCTTGAGCAACACCAGGAAGACCATCATAATATGAATACAGATGCATGTGGATACCGATTGTTAAAATTTACTCATACAAGCCCACAAAGCTAGTCAATCAAATGAAAATCGGCTCTGTGCCACATCATCCTCTCCAGGATCGACGATCGTCCGTGGTCTTCTGTTCGGGAACAAACTCAGCGGCTGCGTCTCCCTCTCGATGGCTGGTGGCCCTGGGTCTCGCGTGGCGATTACGACCTTGCTCCCGAGTGCCTCGAAGTTGAGTCCCGCGCCGAGCTTGAAAGAGTCGGACTTCCATAGCCGTTGGTAGATGTACGACTCGGTCGGATGCGCATGGGAATTAACGGAAGAGGTTGGAGAGAGGGATGTGTAGGGTGTGCGTAGCCAGAAGCGGAGGCGGTGAGAAGCGCCTGCTGGGGTGGAGGATACGGGGATAGAACTATGAATGTAGGAGAGATCAAAGTGCAGATTAGAAGGTGAGGATTTAATGTAGGAAAGCTCCTTACTAGATCATGAATGATACTGTTTGTGGCTCGCAATCGAGCCTAAGTCGGTAGTCTTCGAAGAGGGGACGACCTGCGCCGCCGGCTTCATATTCGAAGGAGAGGCTGTATAAACCGACGGATACGAGATTCCATCTGCGATCGGTCAAGTCAATGTTTTGTTACTTCTAATTGCTCATTTTTTGCTATTTCTTTTTATTTTTTATATTTTTGGGACGAGAAAATGGGTTACATTACCTGACAATATAGCTAACATGGGCCTGCCCAACCATTCCCTGATAGATCAGCATGTCCTCTGTTGCGTTTCTGAGGACGGCGAACGAGGCGTCACCTATCGAGCGAAAGTCGGGGTCTTTCCCGACCCAGAGGTCGTTATCGGCGAATATGCGGTGGTCCATGCCTGCCGTTCTGAGCCAGACGCGAAGATTCTGCAGACATCCGTAAGGTAGACTTGATTTAGGTGGGAAGACACTGGAGAAGGAGATATAAGGAGAGGTTTGAAGTTTTGATGGCGATAGTGGAACTCACAAGACTGAGAAATCAAGCTTTGTCGGGTCGATGGACAGTCTCATTAGGATGGATTCACAGAGCGTGCGTTCGACATGGCCAGCTTTCATAGAGAGAGAGAACATATAATGATTTTGCCTATCCGGCTCTGCCTCGACACTAAATGGTATGGGGTGAATGTCTGATATGGGGTAGAATAAGCAGCTACGAACGTGACAAAGAACTGCAAAGGTGCGGACCCTGCTATCATGCGGTATGAGTAGACGATACCTTTTTTGGGCTCCATCCTCTGAGGTGTCCTAACATCAGCGCAAGGGAGCGTCAGCCTATATACACTAGGCACGAGACATGGGATAAAATCCTAATCAAACCTGGCAGTACTCGATCTGCCGGGAGGCAGTCCACTAGTATCGTCTTTGCAAGTGCTTTTGATAGGTATGATAGGAGCAGTGTAGGTGGAAGCTGTGCTATCAGCGGGAGAACGACACACGGGAGTCGCGTGGAAGTTTTGGGATGATGTATCAATCAAAATGGAAGCTGTGGTGAGCTTTTGTTGGAATTGGACGATTTTGAGAGTAGTCTTACGGTTTATAACTTGTTCCTAGCTGAGCAGCTGGCTGATAGCCTGAGCTGCCAAGTTCAGGTTCGTCATCCTCTATTGTGCCTACCGTACTGCCTTTTGGTGACGGTTGACGGATGTTGATGTCAGTTGACCGTGGCACAAGTCTGAGAGCTGGATAACGAAAAGGAATGGAGTAGCTCACCGACGTTGATGACTTGGAGAGTTCTGACCATGGTGGGTTAGAGAGGAAAGGAAGATAGATGTGGACTATAAATGTTATGCCAGTTCGCATGATCGACCTTTACGAAACTCAAGACTACACGGAACAACGTGACCCCCACAAGGGAAAATCCCAATAAGGAAGGTCTCCTTTCATGTTCCTCCAATGTCGCACTCTAACCTGCCCAGGGCGGTGGCTCTCCAGTCCCATACAACCTCTTTCTCCCAGATATATCCACCACAGTCACCGCGAACAACAAACGATAAATCAAGATAAAAGATGGCCAGGCTGGGAAGTTGTTGTAGGCATAGAGGTTCATGCACAGCTCAAGTCGCGGCAAAAACTGTTTTCTGGTCACTTTTTTACATCTTGTTGCTGGACTCGTGCTAAGGTGTTGTATACCAGATACGTGGACATCTGATCCAAGCGAAGCACCTAACACACGTGTATCATCATACGACGCTGCTTTTCCAGGGACATTGCCCGTGAGTACCGTCAGTCCGCGCTCTCTGAATGTGTCCTTATTTGATCGTCAGAAACTAAACACAAAATGTGTTCAACTTGCAATCAGGACTGCGCTGGCACTCAACTCTGATATCCAAACAAGGTCTACATTTGATAGGAAACATTACTTCTACCCTGACCTTCCTTCAGGCTACCAGATCACTCAGCGTTATGGTCAGTGTTCTCTCTCTTCATTTTCGCGTCTTTCACGTCTGTCCTCGCGCTTATCTTCGTCTCGCTACGTCTTCCAGCTCCGTTGGCAAAAGGTGGTCACCTTACCCTCCCAAAATCAAATATAGCAGTTCGCATCAATCAGATCCAGCTCGAACAGGTACGTTCCCACCCCATTCATAAGCCCATAGCTCTCTTCCCAGACTAAACTCCATCTGGCTTAACCTGATGATGGTTTCTAGGACACTGCCAAATCAACATTTGATCATCGCAGACGCGTCTCATATATCAACCTCAACAGAGCGGGCACAGGCCTGATGGAGATTGTGTCCGAGCCTGATATGCGGTGAGCTACTCATTTCCGTCACACTTCATTGACTTCCTGTATTAAGCTTTCTGACATCATATACACAGCTCCCCAGAAGAAGCCGGAGAGTATGTTCGGACTCTCCAAGCAGTCTTGCGTTCTGTAGGCTCAAGTGATGGGAATATGGAACAGGTGCACATCGTTTTCTCGTATCTTTAATCATTGACAGAGCAGAATATCTGACCGTTGCTGCTACTGCTCCACTACAAACAGGGATCATTGCGCTGCGACGTGAATGTATCCGTTAACCGTACGGGTAACCCTCCTGGAACCCGCTGCGAGATCAAAAATCTGAACAGCATCAAGTTTCTCATGATTGCTATCAGTATGGCACTTCACTCTAGACACATGTTCTCTCACTCATCTTATTCGCCTTTATCTTTATTTTGATACCCGTGATTTGTGCCACAACAGCCTCAGAAGTCTTCCGCCAGACCGAGCTACTCGAGAGCGGAGGTGTCGTCCAACAAGAAACACGTGGATTCGACGAGGCTAAGGCTGAGACGTTCAAGCTGAGGAGTAAAGAAGATGCCCCTGACTATCGATACATGCCCGATCCCAACGTACCACCTCTCCTCCTCACTGAGGTATGCATGGCTTCACCACATCCACCCCCAGGCTTGTGCTGACGTTCTTGGCTTGTAGGACTATATCCACACCATTCGAAAGTCTATGCCTGCCCTCCCTGACGCGACGCGCGCAAGGCTTCTCTTACAGGGCCTATCAGAAAGAGATGTCGACGTGCTTATGGCTATCGACTCTGGCCGCGAGGTCGGGTGGGATGGAGAGTTAGGGGGAGGGGCAGTCGCTTATTTTGACAGCCTCGCAAATGGACGAGAAGGAAGGGTCGTTGTTAATTGGTACGTTTTTTCTCTCATTCATCGATCTGTGCGTTTCGTCTTGTACTGATTAAACTTCTGTCCCTTGTTGATGGTCCCCCTTTCTGCATGTGCACGTACTATTCTTGCCATGGTTTGGGGCATTTAGGATGACCCACGAACTCCTGGGCCAGCTCACTGCATGCAATCAGACGTTTGCGGGTAACCCAGTTTCAGTTGCGCAATTGGGAGAGCTGATTGATATGGTGCAAGACGGGAGAATCACAGGTACGCGTTAACATCGCTATCGCCCCCCTTGCCCCCCTTGCCTCCCCCATACACCTCACAAACTAAACAACCGCACACAGGGACCTCCGGAAAAACTCTCCTCCGCCACATCATCACCCACCGGTCTTCGTCATCGCCTTCTCAGCTCGCTGCAGAGCTCGGGCTGAACGCGCTCGACGAAGGTGATGATGATTCAGTTTTGAGAAATCTGTGTCGGGATGCGATGAACGTGATGCCTGAGGAGGTGGGCGTGCTGAGGCGGGGTGGGAGCAGGGGTGTGTTGAATAAGATTGTGGGACGGGTGATGAAGGCGAGCCGGGGGAGGGCTGATGCGGTGAAGGTGAGGGAGATGTTGGAGGAGATATTGGCAAAGGAGGGATCGTGATGCATCAGTACAGCCATATTTCTATCTATGGTTCCTCTCCATCTCACCATGTAGCGATTGCACTGGTTGGAAATGGAAGGAAGCATGTGATGTGGGAAGGAATGACTCTTTGTGGTATCGTTGGGTATAGTGGGGTCGTGATTTGGTATAACAGCTATAAACATCATTACACCTTCGATAAACTGCCCAACACCAGCTAATGCATTACACGATTACTGTTATCTATTAATCAGTGTATCTACTTAGATATGTTTATACTTTTCAGTGATCAATGCTTCCTAACATCTAGCAATCGTCAACACGTCGACGAATGGTCTCGAAACCACTGCTCGCGAGCTTTCCGTCAGGCCAGGTCGTCAAGGAACGTTCGAAGATATTCAAGCATCTTCAAGGTCAAACCAGTGGAGAAGTTCCTCGTTTGGTCGTTAAAAATATCAGATACGACCCCTCAACGATAGAATGCACTGTCGATGTACGGCGTTATCTGGATATTTCAGATGTACCCGAGTCTTGTACAGGATATGACGCATCATACGTACACGCTTCAGAAGCTAGTGTCGCATTACAGCTTCATGCGGCTGTAGTCCCCAAAATATCGAACCTAGGGTACAAACACCGGTGCCCTCGCGGCCTTCCTCGACCGCACACCAGACAAAAACCTCGTCTCCTTCAAAACAGCGCTTGACCTATGAGCGGGAATTGTGCTCAGCTCCTGAACTCAGCCTTGGACTGGAAATACCTGAAGCTGTGCGGAGACGGCAATTTGACCCAGTCAAGAATTTGCTATATTTGATGCCTAAGAGACTGGATGGCGCAATTTTGGCTGCGATTTGTTTGAGGCATGGAATACTGGATCGAATAGAAAAGGTGAGCCAGGGACATAGTAAGGTAGAGACGAGTTTGCAATAGGTTTTTTTTTTCCAGTGACGAGCCAAGCAGGTTGGATGTCAAAGGCCAAGTGTTTCTGGTATTTGTGGACCGAACCAAGCAGGGATATGGGAAGACGTCGTTGGTGAGGACGACGTACGCGACTAATGTGCCACGATTGCTAATCTGGACGTGAGGAGCAACTCAATGTCCGTTTCTCCGTTCGGGCGCACAGTCGCATCTCTTTCAGCGTCTCTTTCAACGCTGTCAAAGTACTCGGCATGTTTAGAACCTTCGCAAAGGCAGCATGAATTCTGAGAAACTCGGGATCGGGGGCCTCGACGTCCGATTCTGTCAAAGTTCGAAACTCGACATCTGCCGAAGCCCGTCCGTTGCTCAATCTCAAGCCGTTTCGAGTCATTCGGACCTTGTACCTGTTAGGAGAATCAGGGTACTAGGGAACATAGCCATCGGGGGGAATGGATCGTCACGGAGGTGACTGACGGCTTCTTTGTCCAGATAAATGCTGTATCGTCCGAAGGAGGCATGCTCAGTAGTCGTCATGTAGATGGCATTTGCAGGAGAGCTGACACCTGATTCATCAATCTTCTGGATGTTGATTTGTGTCCAGGACTGAAGCATTTCCCAGGTGCGAACAGCATCTGTCTGTCTTGAAAGATGAGGTGAGACCTAAAGAAAGACAAGATGGTGACGCACAAGTTTCAGGGGTAACATTAGATGTGCTAATGAATTTGTTGGGCGGGAATGGGGTTATATGTGCCGCTTCCATTAAAACTTGAGGCGCATCGGGAACTTCGTGTGACCGCCCTTGCTGAATGAACTCTATCGCATGAGCTGCGTCAAAAGTTTGAGTGATCGCACAATGATATAGTTCGCGGATGGCGAGCTGTAAAAGTTTCTTAATACATTGAAGCAAGAAGACAAGTTCTTCTGAGTCGGCTCACTTTGTCTCTAAGATCACTTCGCTCTGATCCACTGGCGCTTTCGATATGTTTGCTGGACTATGTCGCCAATGTTGGGGGTTTGGCTACTGCTAGGCTCGGTGTTCGCGACGGCTCTGAACATTGCCAACACTGTACCGTCGAGAATTAATTGATGTATGTAAAGAGAGACAATCGAAGGACTGACGTGGGAGGAACGGATGGACCGTCCATGCATTCGAACCATTATTGAGCACCACATCTTTCCCCTTTCAAGGTGCAATGTGGAGAGCGACAGCGACATATCGTTTTCCAAAGATATAGTGCGTGCTCCAGCATGGCAGATAAGAGGCTGTCGAGGTTACTGGTGGTTAGCTACACGTAGGCATTCGCGGTTCAGACGAACGACGTTGTTGAGGTCGACGTCAGAGAGAGTATCGGTAGAGAGCCTATCGTTATCAAGTAAATCCCAGTACTCCTCAGACGTGCACGTCAGGACGGTGCAAATTGGATCGACAAATATCGTTCTCTAACGGAACATAACGAAACATGGCTGTCAATGAGAGGCAAGAAAATCAGTTTACAGCGCTGTCCGAAAACCTTGATCGCATTCTTTTCTTCATCGAGTTAGTGACCCACAACGCTTCTAATGGGTGATATCACATGAGGCAATTTAGCGGACGCAGACATTTTGTCTATGATCCAACATTTACCGATCTGCAAGGTATGCAAAAGGATTAGTAGAAACTATACTATAGTACAAGAGGCATATTACAACAAGTAGATTCGATATATACACACACCAATATCAGCGAGACCCCATCTTCTTCCTCTCTGCATCTTCCAAAACGCTCTTTGGCCCGCGTTTCGCCATTGCCCACAGGAAGACTAGGATGATGATCACAAATTGGAGCCACAACCACACTTCTAGCACAAACGACACGATGCCACCCTTCCTCTCCTCTTTAACCACCTCGCTCACGCGTAGGGTCACCGCAGATCCATTCTCGCGACCGAGTGTGGTAGGTGACCTTGCAGGACTAGCCTCCCCTGACTCGCGCCCCCCTGCAATCGTCTCTACCACCGCGTCAAACACATTTGCCAGCCTCTGTGGAATCGGTGTTAACGGACGGTCAGGCTCTATCCTTGAATCCGTCCGAGGTGGAGCTCTGTTCGTCAGTAACGATTCTGTGAATCGCCCTTCACCCCAACGAGTCGTACGCTGGCGGATCGTCTGTGACATTCGTCGCTTTTTCTCGGCTTGACTTTCGATATGAGGCGGTATTGGTGGTGTCTGACCACGCCAGGTTCCAGGGAGGAGAAGATCGTCACTCGGCATTGGTTTCGACGATACATCAGTCAGTGTGGGTGTAGTCTCGTCGGAGGAGATCTGAGAATGTGAATCGGCTGATACTGTGGTATCCATATCAGTGGTCGTGGTACATCTACTATGAAGCTCTTCAAATGACGGATTGGGCTGGCGTATGGATCCAAACCCAGATCCCGACGACGCAGCAGGAGTGATTGCAGTCAGATTGTACAGACTACTGGTCCTGAAGTGGTGATTCCCAGCGCTGAAACCCCAGTCCTCTCCGATCTGACTACCGAGTTCACTGTCCAGCGTCCGAGCAGTATGTTCTATAGGTGATACATCCACAGAAGCGGGTGAGATCGACGTGGATGAGGTAGGCGTCTCAGCTGCATTTGTCGAAAACGGGATGGGAAGGCCGGGAATGGTCAGAGACAGAGGCGGTTGATGTCCAGAATCGCGATCTATGGACCCTGGCGAATCAAACAGGCCAACAACAGATTTCCGCGACTTGTGCATGTGAGCAGCAGGGACAGGAATATGTTGAGGTACAAGGGCATTACGCAGAGTACCTTGGATGTCTGCGTTGATCCCAGCTTCAAACTCGAGGGATGGCTCGTTGTCGAGGGACCGTCGCAGGTTTCTGAACCGAATTGTTTCGTCGCCCGTGGTATCTCCATCTGTATCATCCATTCCGTCTTCTACTACCCGCCATTCAACGTCGTCTGCCTCACCGAGGCTTTCGTATACACGTCTGATGCTTTCTGCGTCCATTTTTACGGAAAGCATCTGCGCTGCGGTCTTGGCTTGTTGTTCTGTGATCTGTGAGTTAGTCTCCTCAAGTTCTCGGATCTTCAAAAGCAGCTGAGAGACCAGCGCATATTCATGAGCAGGGGGGAACTGAGATGGCTGAGAGACAGATCGGCCAATGGATGCTGTCGGGGGATAATCATCCAGATCATCCATTGCATCGCGCCTGGACGTAGAACCAGGGATACACTCGGACGCATATCGGTGAGAAGTAAACCTGAACCTGAACGAAGAAGGTAGGCCAAGGCCTAGTTTCGACGAACCATTGGCTGACAATGCTCCTCCAGGGGCAAAGTCTCTGACTTCGTCGATTTCCGGGTCATAGTCTGGTTTTCCCCGTAAAGCTCTAAGCCTCTCCTCTCTCTCCAGCTTTTTCCTCGATATCTCGTCTGCATCTTTGGCCCGCCCCTTGAGCGCATTTCGCGCCGTCTCTTCCAGTTCCTCGCTCCGTGCCCTGGTCTCGTCAAGTTCGTCGCGAAGGCCCTGGATCTCCTGTTCTAGTTTACGGAGCTTGCGCCGGCCGGCTTGGTCAGCCTGAATAGACTCGGACTCGAGTTTTTCCAGCTTGTATAGAAGCTCTGCATTCTGGTCCGAAAGAAGAGCTATATCAGATGGAGACACCGAAATCCGTCGGTGATGACGCGAGCGGGGTGCCTCTAGCGAACTTGTGCTCATGCGAGAAGAGGACCGAGATATGGTAGCGCCATAATACTGCGGAGAATGAAGCAGAGGAGGGGAAGATGATACCGGAGAGGTGGATGCAGAGCAAGGAGGCGAGATGGAGGGGGAAACAGGCAGACGTGCGAGAAGGGCCTGATGTCTGTTCTTGAGCTCCATATTATTTTCGTATAAGCTCTTGCACACGGCAGTGGTCATGGTGAGCTCTGCATAAAGGGCTTGACCGTTCAGCGACATTGTGAGGTATTTATCACGAAGAATGACGCACCGCTCTCGCGCTCCTTGATGAGCCCATCGGCTTTCAAGAGTAATTCTGAGAGCTCCTCTCTAGACTTCTCGTTGGTCCAATCGTCGGCAAGTGGTGACATTGGCTGAGCTTCCCATCCTCCAAGCATCTGGACGGTGTTTAGGATGGGCGAACCAAGCAAGGTATTCTTTCTTGGATCTGGTAGCTCATTCGTGGTAGGAGAAGCGATGGCATAGGGAGGTGGTGGAGAAGACTTGACCAGAGAAGAGACACGGCGGGCCTTGGCAGGAGGGCGAGGTCGCGGAGCAGCGGAGAAGTTATTTGCCAGCATATGACAGAAGAAACGAGTAAAGTAAGGCAAGAACGATATGGAGTCAGATGTCCAGCAAATGTCAGTGATAGTAGTAGATGGTGTGAGATGCAGTTAGAAAGCGTATGGGTGTTTTGCGAGATATCGATGGGTTGTGTTCTCTTAAGTAGCCAGCATCAGTCTGAATCGCAAGCCAAAAGCACGATATGGGCATCGATGGTGTTGCCAGAATGTCGCTAGAGTCCAGGCAAGATATCAACGGAAACCATTCGCTGTTCGTTCCAGTTTCGTCTCGGGCTGGCATTATTACTTCGTTATTAACCCACGTGGCATCACATCACCGTTTTCCCCAGAAAGCCCCACCAGCACACTTGCTCGCTCACATGGTACAAAGGGGACATTATGAAGGCGACCTTCAATTCGAGCTCGAGTATGGTAAGACAAACAATCAAAGAAACATGCAAAAAGAGACATAGCATGAAAATCGAAAAAAAAATCTGGGTAATGCGTAGTGTACAATTATTTGAGTGAAAAATTAGTCCTCAACACCTCTTCTAATGCCAATGAGTTGAATATCCTACTTATTGTTTTTGCTGCTGATTTTGGCCAGAGGCAGAAGGCTGGCCAAATGCGAACGCGCTGCCTCCCGATGGCTTGCCAAACCCGAAGGAACTCGGTGTGGGCTGTGATGGTTTACCAAATATCGACTGCGAGGCAGTAGACGAAGAAGATGGGGCCCCAGAAGGTGGCTGTCCGAATCCCGCACCGCTAAAGGTGAAGCCACCCCCAACGGGTTTGCTTGCGCCTCCCATCGCCGAAGACATTGGCACTGATGAGGCATTCGACCCACCGAATCCGCTTGTACCACTAACACCGAATGCAAACGGACTGGATGATGCTTTGGTTGCAGATGGTGCAAAAGGAGATGCTTTCGACTCCTCAGCAGGCTGATTACCACCACTCGATGATGCAGTAGGATTTCCAAACGTAAAAGGCTTCACGGACGCAGGCGATCCAGCAGGAGTAGTCGAAAATGCAGAGGTGGACGTTGCACCACTACCAAAACCACTGAACGCAGTCTTTGGCATAGATAATGGCGTAGCGTTAGAATTGCTGGTAGCCGTTGGGGCACCAGTTGCGCCAAAGACACTCGTCGCATTGTTACCACCAAATCCACCAAAGGCAGGAGGAGCAGTCGAAGCAGCAGCACTTTTTCTTGAATCATCATTCACAGCATTTGCAGCACCGAATATTGATGTAGGCGTAGATGACATGGCCGACTGATTGGCGCCTGAATTGGCAGTATTAGTACCAAATGGTGAACTCTTTGACGTCGCATCAGATCCAAAGCCACCAAATGCCGACTTTGGTGTGGTAGACGAGGTCATACTCGAACTGCCCGGTGGCCCAAACACGGACCCTGTCCCAGCACTTGGCTGTCCAAATGCAAACTTTGGCGGTTCGGTCGACCCAGAAGGTCCCGATGAACTTGCCGCAGCATTCGCAGCAGGAGTAGGACTAGCGAAAGAGAAAGACGGAGCTGACGTTGAAGCAGCAGGCTTCGAGCCCTCAGAGGCTGTGTTGGCTGAAATAGTCGAAGGGAACGCAGACATTGAATTCGGGGCCGTCATTGGCGGCTTTGGCGTCGAACCCACTGGCTTAGCCTTGACACCAAAATCAAACTTCAAAGGGGCAGAGTCGTCAGTCTTGGTCGTACTTGACGCGGCAGGTGCCGAAGTGAATACACTACTTGGCGTGCTCGTATTGTTTCCAAAGACTGATAGTGGTTTGTCTGCCTGCTGGCCAGTGGTTGTAGACGTGGTAGGAGTAGGGACTGTGGCCTTTCCAAAGCTGAAAGGGCTACTGGCAGGAGCACCGGCAGGTTTAGAAGAATCGGCGGCGGCTTGAGGAGCAAATCCTCCAAGCCTCGCCGTCAACGAACTGCCACCAGTGCTCGAGACCTCAGCCGGTTTCTTCTGTTCAGAATTAGAAACCCCGAACCCAGCAAATGAAGGCGCAGTGGAGGCACCTGAAGCTGCAGCACCAGTTGAAAACGGCGCAAAGGTTTTTGGGGGGGCCTCGGGTTGTGATGTAGCTGCAGGCTTTGAAGAGAAGAAATTAGGAATGGAAGTAGATGGTGGGACACTGGATGCCGCAGATAATGATGCTAGACTTGGGCTGCTCTCAGATTGTTTAGGTGGTGGAGCAAACGAGAACGAGGGAACAGACGACGACGGTCCAGCAGGTTGGCTGGGAGCAGCCGTTGGCCCCCCGGTAGCAGGAGGGAATAAATTCCACTTTGGCTTCTCCCCTGCGCCTGTAGAGGTAGGTTCAGGGAGGTTTGACGACGGAGTAGGAAGACCACTGGTGACAGTATTAAGACCAGAAGTTTGCTTGGATACATCAGCAGTACTCGATGTAGCCCCGAATGAGAAGGGAGTCGAGGCAGCTGCCTTGTTCTCCGAAACCTGCGCTGGCTTATCCGCAGGCTTCGTAAAGCTGATACTATTGACGGGAGTAGGCGCGGGTGCGGTAAACAAAGGAGTAGGAACAGCCGCCTTAGCGCCCAACTCTGGGGCAGTCACACTCGTAGGCAGTTCACCCGCCTTCTTTTGGGGACCAGACAGTTTCTTCTGCTCCTGCACCTTGGCACGCATCTTTGCCATCGCCTCAGCCTCAAGGTCCTGTTTTTCCCACTTTGAGAACCGAGATGAGCGCCGAGTAGGACTATCGCCCACCCCTCCGAAAAGTGCCGGTGTCGGCAGATTGTACGACGAAGCGACACGACGTCCCGGAACGTTTTGCGATTGCTGGAAAGGGTTGATGCGGATACCGACGTTAGTGGCGATTGACTGGCGGAAAGGGCGACGAGCGATAGGACTATCCTTTGTCGATTCCCAGAGCAAATTTTTACCCGTCTTTGAAGGCGAATCAGGAACATCACCTGGCGTCTGGGGCTCAACAGATACCCTAGGAGTATCCTGCCAGACAAGTTCATGTCGGTCTTCAGCCAGCTTGTGCTGTTCTTCAGTCATCCAAGTTTCAACGTAGATTTCTAAATTCGCGGAACGATCAGGATGCTGCGAGTCCTTGGGCTGAGGGGAAGGTCAGATTATTGCCTTGGATATCTAGCATTTACGTACCATGGGGAATTTACTTCGTGCTTTCTTGACTAGCGTGAGCTGCAAACGCTCGCCCGAGCTGCCAACCTTGTATTGAACACCGTTTGCTTCCCATTCTTCTCCTATTTTCCTGCCTTTACATAGTGGATCCTTGGACATAGAGCTATCCATTGAGATATCACTTTGAGTTTCTTCAGACACTGCCTTCTTCCCTCTCTTTTTCCTCGATGATCGCTCTTTATGTTTGTGCGATCCGGGAGAACCTTCGCCCTCGCTGTCCACAGCGTCAGTGTCCCGATTGCGTTTGCTCCCGCGCAAAGTAACCTCCGATTTCCGTTTCGATACCGTACGGCGCTTGTGATGACGCAGAGCCTTGTCATCTGGCGCTGCCGTCACCTCGTCCTCGTCGTCTCCACCAAAGGTTGATCCGGCCTCAGTTCGGTCACGTTTTTTCCCTCGAGGAATCGATCGTAGCTCAGTTAATTCATCCTCCTCAACATCATCTGTTTCCATGAGATCGTCCTGATCTTCCGAAGATTTGTCCTGCGATGCCTTACGAGAGCGCTTATCCCTACCGTTGACTCGTGGGTAGTTATCTTCATCTACCTCTGAGCCATAGCTTCTCTTTGATCCCCGTGCTAGCTGCCTACTTTTGTCCCGTTGTTCAAACCACCCAGCATCCTCGTCACCATCAATGAGTTCATCGCCTTCTACACGTGACTTTTTAGCGCTCTCGAGCTCAAATTCGCTTTCATTATCCCAAGACCTCTTCTTGGTCTCCTCATTGGGCGCATTCCCATTGAGATGAAGAGTTTTGCGGCTGACTCGGCGGGATGATACCTTTGTTCGAGGCGGAGCAGACTCGTCATCATGTTCAACAGCATGCTCTTGTATTCTACGAGGATTTGGATCATAACGGTCAGCGAAGTCGAGTGCGTCGCGATCAGCACGTTGCTGGGTATAAGTCGATCCAGAGCGATCTTCTCGTGGCTGATGGGTTGTGCCCTGAATAGACGGCACGTTTTGAGCTTGAGCTATAGATTTCAAACGTGCAATCCGATAAGATCAATCAATGAAATGAAGTAACGCTATGCAATACGCACCTGCATTGGCAAATCGTTGTCTCAGTCGCAGTCCATCAGCCAACGCGTTGCGCTGTGTCCAAGCAGGAAGCTGATCGGGAAACTGTTTTTCTTTCGACTTTCCCTGTGCCTCACGCTCGGCGCGAGCACGCGTAGCCGCAGCATACGCAACGGTGAACGGCCGATTGTCGTTGTCTGGTATTCCATGTCGTCTACGCATAGCCCTAACACACACAACAGAGATGAGTTACTGGGGGAAAGACGTGATGTGCACACGCAGAAGGGAGCACGAACTTTTTGTAGGAATACTCCTGCCATTTGAAAACCGTGTCGCGAGCGTGTATTAAAAGTAACCACGCCAAAAAACCTAGTCCAAGGACGAGCGTGGCCTTGAACGATAGTGAAAGAGTAGCCCATTTGCTGAAAAAGCCTACAGATTTATTTTGGAGAATGGGACCGCCCAGGATGTCGGCGGTTTCGTCGTCGAAGGCCATGGTGGGGACGACGTCTTGAGGGAGCGAAGGAGGCGTAGGTGCGGGATCAATCTGCAGAAACGGCAGCGTGTCCGTCGGAACACGGGCTTTCCCGCGTTCTTGTTCTTCGGACTTTGAATTGTTCCACAGGTTATATTGCGCAAACTTTATTTTGGATGATGTTTTTATCACTGCGTCTTCAAACGTTAACGATCTCTGTAGAGGCAGGACGTCGCTGTCCTCACGAGTCCACATGTCCTCATGATGGCTGCGACGTCCTCAGCCTTGTCGCACATTATTCTCCATCGGTGGAGTCCCACACGCTTATGCCTAGGGACACGGTTTACAGTGCCTTCGTTCCTTTACTAGTGCAGTGGAAGATCTAGCTTCTGTGGCATGCTTGGTCCACGCTTGAGTGCCCTACTGGTTATATATTCAGTACATACTGTGGTCATTCGAGTACTAAACCGCGCAGACATGTTCTATTGCAAAATACACGTTGTTGTCCCATCTATCTCCATTAGAGTGCAACTAAGACTTGAGTCATTCTCCACCTCCAACGGCCGTCGGTGCCAGTGGGAGGCAAATCATTCGACCCAGTGCATTTTAGGTGGCGGTTCTGCGGCTAGAGATGCATTTCTCCTTCAAACAACGATCTGGTCAGCGTTGATGACTTGTGTAAGCAAAAAAAAAGGACCTGATATGTGTGAGAAAATTCAAAGTTGCCGACTGTTTTTATACGAAGGGCTTTAGCCGGGTAAGGACAGACGCCCTTCGTTTCCGTCTTACCTTTACTTATCGTCCACGTCCTCACCACCATATCCATCATGTCCAGAATTATCACCCTCGACGAGCTGAAGGCAAACACAAAAAAGGACAGCTTCTACGTCCTCCTCCACGAAAAGGGTTCGTACTTGTTCTCTATCCTCACCACAACCAGAAGGCCAATCGGCTGACGCGGATTTCTTACGTCCTGTTAAAAACAGTTTACGACGTCTCAAAATTCATTGATGAGGTATGCACACTCAGTATAGTTGTGTTAACCTCCATCTTAACACTCTTTGTCGCCAATCTAGCACCCAGGAGGCGACGAGGTCATTTTGTCGGAGGGTGGTACGTGATAAGGTTCCACTACAAATAATATCTACGTTGCTTATTTCATAATACAGGTCAGGATGCCACTGAGGCTTTCGAGGATGTCGGCCACTCCGACGAGGCGCGTGCCCTCCTCCCGGACATGTTTGTTGGTGACTTCGAGAAGGGCAGTGTATGTATCTAGCCTCTATCCCGTCCCTCCGCGAATCTATGCTCACTGGCTACAGGACCTCAAGACTAAATCTGCGGTCCGCAACGCTCCCTCGGACAACAAAGTTAGCACTGCTGTCGAGCAGGGTTCGAAGTAAGTACCATTAAATACCATATATCTATACTTGTTTAACAACACTTTTCAGCTTGATGTACTTTGTGCCTCTGGGTCTCTTAGGCGCGTACTTTGCATGGCGTTTTTACGGTGCATGAGCATCTTTTAAGCTCAACCACACCTGCTAACTTTGGCCTACGACGTACTCATCTATATATCACCCATTTCCCACTCTTAAACTACCCTTACTCTTGCACGATATGACTCGATACTTCTTGAGGCTTTTGCCCACCATGTTGCTTAACTTTATCGCCTTTTATCGCTGGATATATAGAAGTTTTTATAGCGCCGTATACTGAGATGCACGGTGTAGGTTAATTAATGCTACTGTCAAAGTTGTTGTGCAATCGACTTTTACTGCTATGATACAGTGTTCCGCTTGAAACACCACACGTACAGTTGTCCTGTACCGCAGCTCAGTCTAAGCGCTTAGTATTTGGATGTCATTAAAATGTTGAGCGCAGCTATAACCTTTCGACTGTAAATATAGATAGAAGTCTATGGAACCTTGCCCGAAGCCGAGGTGTCATTATGATTGACTCAGATATGTATGGAATGTGTTCACAATTCGAATAGTCTTAACAGGAATTGCAATGTAATCATGGGAAGTGAAGATTGTACATTATAAAATGTGAGTTTGCCGATCCTTTACGGTCCGTTCAAGCTAATAGCAATGCATTGTGGTTCATCACCAAATGTGTTGGCCTCACCTTTATGTGCGAAGAGATGAGACAGCTTAATAGCACTCGCATGGGAAGCCACCATGACGTCGTACAAGGTTGCGCTATCCTGGCAATCATGATATGCCGTGGTAATGAAAGTTGGCTATCTAGAGATCGTTTCTGTTCGTCTACAAAGCGATCCGAGAAGTAGTAGCAAGGTAGGTCCGTAATAATGATCCGAACGTGAGACGCATTGATAGGAAAGTACATGAAAGCTATTAGATGTAAGCGACAATGAGTAATAAGGTCCTTGGAAAACGCAGCGGACATTTGTACTCTAGATTCTGGAACCTACGGGTCCAGGAATGGAATACCTGTAAATTGCCAATATTAACATGTTCGTAAAGTACTCATTATAATTAGTTATAATTCAAAGGACTGAGTAAGATATGAGAGCGCGATAAGAGCAATAGCGGGTGATCATGAATGAGCCCGCATTCTCAGCACCCAACTCGCGAGCCACTCTCGGCAAGCATAGACTTCCCCCAGTGAATACCTGGCAAATGGCGGCATAAGAAGCATTCAATGTTCGTTACCGTTGCCGATTGCGCCAGCGCTATCGCCTTCTACTTGGAAGCTCTATGTGGGCACGTTCCTCCAGAAGCGGCATGCAGATTATCGGCGGTGCGGGTGCGTGGGGCAATTGGAGAGGACGGTCTGACTCCTGCGCGGCTGGCGTCGAAATGCCAAGCTCACAATGGCTTGGATCAGCAAGCTGTTCATTCCTGTATAGAGAAAATAATGAAAATAATCAGCGGAGCTGGGATATGACAAACACCCAAACGCAACTCAGACCTTGCCTCTGGAGCGCCCGACACCTCCAGCTCGCGAGGACGCCCCGCCATAAAGTTGAAAAGAAGACTATAACTCTTCTTTGCTCCCGTGGTGAATCCAAACAGGGCAAAGAAAATGATGGCGTACACTACAAAGACCCATCTCTGCAGCTCTACATGTACGACGTACCCGGGCCCGAGTGTCTGCCAGCCATGAGTGGTGTGTTGCGAAATTTGGGAAATGTTGGCATGCACGTAATCCCAGCCAGGCCATGGAGTCATCGTTCCGTCGGTTGCGCTGAACACAATCGTCCATACGCCCGGCGTGACTGAGCATACGACCATCACAAGGACCAAAGCCAGTAATCGAACAAAGTGCTCGTTAAGCTGTGCCCATCCTTTTAGGTGTGACCTAAGTTGTATCGATTTTCATATAATCAAGCCTGGATTGTGCGTGAGTGTCAGGTCGTAAGATGCGGCAAGACGACTGAACGGTACACTCACTTGCGTAGACAGCAATGGCAACCGTCACCACCGCAAGTGGCCCTATAAGCACTGGGAACAAAAGCTGTGTCTTTTCTAACGCGGGTAAACAGCCTATTGTTTCTAAAATTCGAAAGCGCTCAAATTGGACGATATATGCTGAGCAAAGTCAGCAGCTAACTGTGAAACGTTCGGGTGCAACCTACACAGTATGACTCTAATCACTGGTAGGCCCACAACAAGAAGTCAGTCACACAAAGTGCTACGCCAATGCTACAGGTTGAAGTTAGTAAATTGATTGGAGGACCGAAAATTGCGACGTACCCTAGATTCACTCTGATCATGCATAACCACGCTTATGACTAGATATAGACGACGAGCAATGCATAAATATGCTGAGTTCACGCCAACTGGTCCAGCTATAATCAAACGAGATGCTACCCAGCTATGAGAGAGTGCGATTACCCTAGGAAAGATCCACTAACATATATCGCACCATACAGGTGCCCAGTTGGTCACATTATCATTCCATATAATGGAGTTGATGAAGCCATTGAAACATAGCAGGCTCGTCCAGATGATAAAGCTGCATTTACCGATGTTTCTCGCTATATCAAGAGAGCATCAGGTTACTGTAACATAGAGAATAAACAGGACCGCTGACCTTTAATATGGAGTGGCAAAAGTACGATGACCAGGATAAATCCGATAAATGAGAACCCAGAGAAAACAAGATTGGTAGAGACCATTCCGTCAAAGACCCATTGCTGGGATAAAGCCTCGTCTCGACACCTACATTTGTATTGCAGACCAGTATGTCGTGCGAGAGAGAGAAACTAGTGCGCTAGTTCAACAGGATTCAGTGGTAAAGGTCCCAAAGGTACCACGACGTCGAATGAGTGAATGTCTGGGAAGCTGTGAAGGTATGGGAGGATCGTGATCTACAAGTATGAAGGACGCCATGTCGATGTCGTCGGATCCATGTTAATGGTAGACGCGAGTTAAGTCAACGGTCGGACCATGACTTAAAGGCCGTGCTGCTTGGAAGATTTGGACTGTTACAGCAACATCTTGCCATCCTGGACATGACAGGGAAGGGAAAATCTGGTCCTAGTTGCGCATGCTCATTGAGTGAAGTACAGCGCAGAAAGGTACTCAAGAGGCTACGCGGTTTTCTCCTAGTTTTCTTCAGTTTTTCAAAATTACGCGTACGTTCTCTGCATATGCACACATACAGCAAACTGAGCGATTTCATGCCTCATGCATGCCAATTTCGTTATCACACACGGCTTTACTTCGCCTGATTTCCTGTCTTCCTTTCTCAACTACACTCCGACTAACCTACACGCTACCAGCCAACTGCACTGGTAGATGTTTTCGTGAATGCTGAGGAGCTTGAAATTAATAGAGTCAAGCGACCACTTTGGCAGCAAGGAACTCAGTCCACTCTTTCTCTCCCCACGAACTTGATATTTCATTCGCGACGAGACCATCCCAGAGCACGGTTGGCGAAACATGAACACCATTCTGTCTTGAGAACTTGACTGCAGTCGCGTCTCAGTACTCGAGGATCAAGGTGAGAGGCTGCGAGAGAACGCACCCATATACTTCAGGTCGTCCGTAACCCCCACCCCGCCATTCCCACCCGCTCCCTCCTTGATCGCGAGCAGACCGTTATACTCGTCGATTTTGCTAGGCGGGATGACTTGGGCAGCAAGCGAGGCGAGCTGGGCGCGGATCTGGAGAGGCGTGAGTGTGGAGGATGGGACGTCGAAGAAGGAAGTTTGGGATTTGAAGAGCTGTAGGGTGGTTAGTGTTTTAACATAACAGTGAAGTGAGTTTGGAGGACTCACGAGCACCGAGAAAGGCCAGAAATTCTCTGGTGACACGCGAGCGACCTAGTAAGAGCGTAAATCAACGCTAACATATGGTAGGCAAAGAACTCACAGCAAGCCCTGCTTCATGCGTGAACGTCGACGAAGCGTGCCATGGCTGCACCTGGAGTCTGATAATCGCTTTTACCTTCCCATCGTACTTTCCGCCTGCATCGAGAAGAGGCTTGAGGACATTATTTATGGCCAAGGAGAGTTTGGCACTGCAGAAGGGTATATAATCCTGGCTAGTCCACACGAAGGAGAAGTTTACCTGTATGGACAAACATAGTCCACTGGTACAACATGTCGAGTGACGATCAAGGGGGAGGTTAGGCTGATAACTTACGGAATATGTCGAGCGTGTGTGGGGCATCGTGACTTCCTGCGATGATAAGCGGACGGAGAGAGGGCTGGAGAGCCATTATTGTCTTCGTAGATCGATGTGAAGGTGAAAGTGCTCGATAAAGTCCAAGCTTGAGGGGATCACTGGGCCAGGAATCGCGTCATTCCGCACAGATGATCACACTATATATATCACTGGTGCCATGGCATGTTAGTCGTACACTTCGATTGACTTGGTAGAGCGTTATTACTTATGTATGTATATAGAATCTTACTATCGAACGTAAATGCGAATGGATGGAAAAGAAAGAGAAATACGGAACCTTAGCGTCATGACAAAAATGTTAAAGGGGAAAAAATGGAGGCCACCTCTAAACAGGCTCCTCAATCAATAGCCCCGACAATGTCATCTCGATAACTTTCCCCTCAAATGCATCCAGTTTATTTGCATTTACCAACTTCGCAATGAACTTCTCCACCTCCACCCTAGGCCATTCCGCCATCGAGTCGAGCCGAGCCTGGTTGTTGATCCCAAGTGAAAGGAAGAGAGGAAGGAGATGCGAGAGCGCGGGCACCGGTCGCGAGAGAAATTGTAAGATCGCAATCCGATCGGTGTATTGCACCGGAGTGCGGGGCTGGGCACGCAAGGCGTGTACACGAGGGGGTATGGGAAGAGGATGTGTCCTTTTCGCAGAGGTGGAAGCAGACGGTCTGGAGGTAGGTTGAGTCATTGACTCCGAGGTGCTTTTGTGACTGGTGATGGAACTCGACGGTGCGGTGGACTGGGATGATGTGGATGAAGAAGTAGAAGGGGAGGAATCGGTGGTTGTTGGCGAAGATGAGCGGCCGGAGTTTGGAGGAAAGCGCGAGTGTGTAGATACCTGGACGGGCACCTCCCCTTCCTCCTCTTCATTCGTATCGGTATCATCCCGCTCATTTTCAGACCGTTTTACCTTGCTTCGAAGGTATCTCTGACAGGAGAACCATTTGCAAATATAACTATGCGCGAGGTCGAGGCCACTACGGGGGTTGTTACTGAACTCAGGAAAACGAGCGATCACCTATGTTTCGAGTATGATGATGTCAATGAGTAATGTCAACGGGAGTGTCGTGTGGATATACCTCGCGATCAAAATTTATCCAGGATCCAGGTGGTTGTTGCCTTGCCGTCAAGCCCCTGTTGAGGGTACTCAACGCGATAGTCTTCAATGCAGGCTACAACGTTCCATATGCGGATCAAGAAAAGTAGCGTAGCAGTGAAATAATCGATTCGTCAAATCAGCAGTACTAGTAAGTCGAACGAACAGAGGTGACGCCTTACCGTCAATCTCGAGTAAAATTGTTTGCCCCTTTCGGCTGGGATATCGAGGGCTGTTATAAACGCGCGTGCTTGCTTACCAAGGAGAACCCCTCTCCCTAATCTGGTACGTTTTCTAGGCATATAAAGTGAGAGTTAGGTTCGATGTTTGGTGGGATGAGATGAAGTTCAAGCTCTGAGGGGGGTGAATATATAGAAAACTATGGAGGGGAACTGAAATCCATGGTGCTACGATCCGATCGATGCGTTGATGACGAGATAAAACCAGACTGGCCCGAATATGAGTCGTATCGATACGAGAAGCCTCGCTGGTTGTACTGTATTTCCCGCGTCTCAGATGTCAGCTCTCTCGCACCGGCGTCAACGAATTCACAAGACGATACAGCAATGGCATTTGTATGTTCATATCAGTCCGCATCACTAACAACGTGTTTTGCAATAACTTGAAAAGGACAAAGAGATTAGAATAACAGAATAGATAGCGATCATCCAAAATCAACCTATGATAAATTACCTGAATGAGAGCCTCGAGTAGCCTCAGGTAGATTCCCCTCAACCCTCCCATTCTCCCTCTGTGGCTGTGGCTCTAGCGCTGCCTTACTCGCCCCTAACGTCTCTCATATCTCACATCTCCTATCTCATACAACAACCCGTCCCCATGCCCCCACTCCTATCTCATACGTCAACCCGTCCCCATGCCCCCAATCCTATCGCAAACGCAATAATCATCACCGCCCATAACGCAGCGCCCACGAAACGCCACCTCGCCCTCGACGCAGCAGCCGCCACCGCATAGGGCGAGCGCGGGTCGTAATATGGCAGGAGCCCCAGCGTCGGCTGGTCCTGTCCCAGCGGTGTCGGGCCAAAGAGAGGCGGATTGGGATATGGCGGGCCTGGTGCGAGGCGGTGAGACTGAGATTGAAAATAGCTGGGTGCACCAGAAAAGGGCGGTGGGGGCGTGGAAGAGGAGCCTGAGCCTGAGGGCTGGCTTTCCTCTGGTATGTAGTCGGTGTAAGCGGGAGGTGGTGTATCTGGTTTCACAGGCTGAGTTGGTGGTGGTTGCGAGGACATGGTGAGGACGTTGTGGTTGGGGATGCGTGGAAGACGTTTGTTGTACAGGTATTCGTGCGTCGTGCTCTAGTCCAAATGGAGGGATGGAGTGCGTTATGGGTCGTGGTGGATGAACGGTTCAAATATTCGTTAGACACGCCGCTTCTGCAATGCTGCTTGGGCGATGGCGGGCTTATGCACTCGTTATTGTAAACCAAGCGTAAAAAGATAAGCTGAAAAAACACGTTCTTGCCATTCCCCACGTCCGATCATAGGCGCCACGTGAGCTATATATGGATTGACACTGCACCTGGAGGGATCTCCAAATAATATAGATATATGGTTCAGCAACAATATACGAGTCCAGTGCACTTCATATGACCATATGAAATAAATTTCAGTGTGAGCGATGTGTAAGAGGGACATATGGAGTGATATGGGAACAGCGAGTTGTATTTCTTCTGAAAAAGCATAAATGTCTACATAGTATCGCGTACGGTATCAATCCACTTTCATGTACAACAGATGAACACGACAATAAAGCAAAACCAGCACAGTCCCAACATCTAGTTACAATATCACAATTAACCAAAAAGTTTCTGCCACCCTTAGGCGCTCATCATTCTTGAGGTACCGTTTTCCTGATGAACTCCTTCAGATCGTCCAACTCCTTGGCACACGTAGAGTGTCCCATCCCCTCATACGACCGGAAGTCCAGCCCTGCATTCACGCCCTTGCCTTGCTCCGCTATCGAAATGCCCAGCTGCCCAGTGAGGAACTCGGCAGAGTCACGCCCCAGTTGGTACTTCACGAGCGGATCGAGGGTGCCATGACCCCAGAAAAGAGGAGTGGAAGATATGTAAGGGGAGGCGAACTGAAAGCCAGTACACGAGAGCGAGTTACTTGGTACAGCTCCAGATAAGATAACAATACCGACTCACCCTCTTGAACTGATCTTTCAACGGCAACCACCCGCTCATGACAGCAACGCCTGCCAACTTCCAGCCCTCTCCTCCCCATGCCTCCCGCGCCCCCCGGCCCGTGAGGCCCGTGAGAAGCGACATTGCGCCGCCTTGGCTGAATCCTCCTACGACAATGCGCGAGGGGGGTATGCCTGCGTCAACCTCTGCCTTGATGAGCGCGTCGAGGGCGCGGAGGGAGACGAGCATGCCGGCAGCGTCTTCAGTGGTATTGAATCCAAACGAGTAGACGTCAAACCAGGAGGGCATTTCAATGCCCATGTTCGCGGTGACGGCACGTTCTGGGCTAAAGGAGGGGGAAAAGGTCAGATCAGAAAGGTGGAGAAAAGGCGCCAAGTACCTGTGTGGTAAAACCCATTTGACGTGACTCAGTTCGGGCCTGAACATATCTGCGACGGGTTTCCAGCCATGACCAGAGTCACCGAGGCCCTATACACGTTTCGCGTCATAAAAGATGATGTTCGTACCGAGGTCAAGAATGGCAGAATAGCAATTCAGTATGATAAGCAGGGATGTAGAAATAAGGCACGCAATAAAGATATGCGTAAGAAAATGCGAGAACAAACGAATGAGTATGTTAAAGAAACGCGGTCACAGGGCGGGTAGCTCACATGAATAAATATGACTGTGGCAGTGTGCTTAGAGAGCGGGGAGACGGTAAGGAACTTGAGAGGAGCTAGTGCCATTTTGTGTGTTTCAACTTTGGGTTCAGGCGTTGATTTAACTGGAAAAGGATGCTTTATGTCGTGAGATGCTGCCCTGCGTTGTCGTGAACGTTGCTCGGGCGATATCTGGGCGTTGAGGAAGAGTGCGTAGACGATGGCGAAGACGGCGGCTACGACAGGAGCGGCGACGAGCAACTTCTTCAAGTTGGTGGTTTGGAGTCTTCTCGGCATTGGCGCAATCGATACGCGTGCCGGCATTGACCGGTCCGTCCATTCTTCCCTTGGATCTGTTACTCTGCTGTATGTCTTCAGCTGGCTCACACGATGGACTCGCAAGTAACTTCATTTTCTCCACCGTCTGTCGCCGAGGAAAATACCGGTGGACAGACTGGGGATAATCAGGGAGATGTCGTGCACTTGATAGATTCAGCGGATAAGGAGCCTGAACAAGAGCCTCTATCGAAGAAAGCGCGGAAGAAGGCTGCAAAGGCGGCCTATCTTGCGTCTGTAAAGCTTGAGCGTAGGGCTCGAGAAAAGGAGGCGAAAAAGAGGAAGAAACAAGCAGAGAGAGAACGAAAGATGGCGCAGGGTGAGGTGGGAGATGGGAAGAGCAGTGCAGAGGCCAGTTCTGGTCCTGGCGAGAGGCGGAGAAAAAGACGCAAACTAGGGCAGGGTGACGAGGGCGAAGGCGTCAACGTATTCGCTGCGAAAGTCGTGGTCGACCTAGGGTTTGATGAGCTGATGTCCGAAAAGGTGGGCGTTGTATCTGGTTTATTCGTATTTCTTTCTGGTTTTTCTCTTTCCTGCCAGTCAGTTGTCGGCATCTTTTCGCTTTTTCTCTGAAGGTTTGGGCGTTTGATGCAAGTTCGTGTGAGAGATTGGCCTGCATGCTGGCGATATTCGTTTTCCATTTGAGACTGTTGTTTTGTCCGTTCTACTTTTATCTTTCATTTTTCTGATTTTCTGATGCAATCCTCTGACCGGTTATGTCTTATCTGCGTCTTTTTCCGGAAACCCCATTTTGTCTCTATTTTTGCCTGTCGAGCTTGAAAGGTTTTATTTCAGTTAATACCTTAAGTACTAACTCGGAACAAAACTCAATCACATAGGAAATTACGTCCCTCACATCGCAGCTCGCATATACTTATAGCGCGAATAGACATGCCGCACGTCCATTCTCCGGTTTAATATTCAGTTCGTTGGGAGGACGGACGCGGACGCGACTCGATGCTATGAACGACGCGGGATACAGACGGTGGATAGGTACGGAGTGGTGGGAGGAGGGATATGAGCGGCTGTGGACCGATGGTGACATAGTTAAAGAGCAGAACTCAGTAGAAGGTGACGGGTCTCTGGAAACGCCAGGACTTCCAGAGCATCTCCCTGAGAAAAAAACGGAGAAGGAAGTGGATGATGCCCGAGAGAGCGTGGTGTACCTCACAGCCGATTCCGTAGACGAGCTGGAAGAGCTTAAAGAAGGGGAGACGTATATTATAGGGGGTATATGCGATCACAATCGGTATAAAGTGCGCTCAAGGGTTTCTCTCTTGGTCCCTTTCATGTTTGTTAGTTGCCGCTGACACTCACCTCGAACGTCTACAGAATCTCTGTCTGAATAAGGCTAGCGAGTCAAAAATCCGACATGCGCGACTGCCGATTGGGCGATACATTGCCTCTCTCACAACGCGTAAGGTGTTAACGGTGAATCAGGTATGTCGGTATTCATTATCCAGTTCGAGCTCTGGGCTCCACCCACCGCTATTCCATGGTTGATGCTAATCTCTTCGAGAAAAGGTATTCGAGATCCTAGTGAAGTGGGTGGAAGGAAGGGACTGGGAAGAGGCATTTTGGAGCGTTATCCCACGGCGGAAGTTCCAGAATGGAGCAGAAAGGGACGAGGAAAACAAGGGTGTTGATGGCGGTGGTGATGCGGAGGGGAAGGGCGATGGTGGTCACGAGGTTGAAGAGGCCCTTGACGGATGAACCAGTGATGTGCCAATACAGCGGTAAAGAACCTCCGGCACTCCAGTAAGGGATCTAGAGATGGATGAACTTGTAGGACGATCTTGATCGTTGTCTGTCGCGTCGATGCACCCCAAAAAAATTCCTGCCTTCCTAATCACGTGCTTAACGCAGCATACACATCTGCTGGTCTGAATGTCGGGTTGTGTAAAAAATGGTCGACTTTTTATACTTAAATAAAACATGGTTCTGTAAAAGTATGGATGTATTATAGGACCTCCTGCAGGTTCGTCTGCGCGGTGCCTCGTTCAAGGGGTTTTGGCTGGGTCGGGGCAGGTTTCCAGCCAATCTAGAACAGATAACAGCCCTAAGCCATTCTGGAAAGGATAACACAGTGGTCAGCAGTGAGACGTACCACGTAGATGACCTGGAAGGTCGCAGGAATTGTACCATCTTCATTGCCGTGTAGCTCTGTATGTGTCACAAATAGAGTTGGTGAAGTGCCTAATAGCAATGAACAATCTGACCTTTGTAGATAGCAGAAGCTGCGGCCAGTGTATCGCGATGCAGGAAGTGTCTCCTAAAATGAGGAAGTGCAAAAAAGTGAGGCGTGGCGAAACTAGGATTAGGGATGGCGCGTACCGTCCTATGACGGCATTACTCTCGCCCATATCGCGCAAGTCCTCGACGAGCTCCCACATGCTAGGGAAGGCCACTTTGACTTCGTCGACGTCAACGGTAAGGAGGGTGAAGCCCGCACGAGAAAGGAGGTTGGACATGTCTCTGGTGTCTACAATAATATTCAAGGTGAGTATGGGGCAATGAAAGTTGGAGGGTGTAGGTAGACTAGAAAGTGCAACGGACCGGTCATGGGAGAGATGTGTGGTGATATGCCACCTTCTAGGTCAACTTCTGCGAGCTGAAGAGATGTCCTGTTTGATAGACCATGGTTTAGAGTACGAGATGTTTGTTCTTCAAACTTACCTCAGCTCGAATAGTGTGTCACCACCGAATAGAGCGGCAAGAAATAGCCCGTCTGGCTGAAGTGCTTCTTTTATCTGTATGAGCACGCCTGTGTGGATATGGTAGGTAATGAAAGTGGATGTTCCATTCGTTGGGATACTGACCGGGAAGATCGTTGACCCATTGTAAACTGAGACAGGAGACTATAGCTTCCTGCGAATTACGGGGTAAGGCATCAAGGAGATGCTCTTCATCTGCATGTACTCTTTCTACTTCGACTGAAAAAGTAAGGAAAATTAGTAGCATACAGGCCACACTTATAATATGAATCTACCATCAAAGTCTTCGTCAGGATCACGATTGAGCGTCTTTTCTGGTGAGAATAGCATCGTCATCAGACTTCTGAGCAGTGTAAATCAAACATACCGCTGGAGTCCATCATTATAACCTTGCGCGTCTTTTCGGGTTCTAGCAGCTTAGAAAAATGGCCTGCACCTGAGCCGAGGTCGACAATCGTGTCGAACTTGCGTTTAATATCCTACGAGAGGATGTGTAGTAAGAATAATATATTTCGACAGTAACGGCAGAACCTCAAGAGTAATATAGGGTGTAAGATAGAACAAAGTAAACACACCAGCAGTCTCTCCATCATTCTGTCCGCAACCTCATCTCGGACATAGTCCACGGTCCTGCTCCTAACACCAGCATCACGAGATACGGCTCGGTCCTTCTGGAGGCGTTTTGCGTTTCGGTCAAAGACCTCATAGGGGCCTACTGAGCCCAAGCGGGGTGGTGGGGACGATGAGGATTCTGCAGCGAATGTGCGGATGTGCACGGGCCAGCGCTGGAGCAGGCGCGTAGACCGGATGAGGCTGAAAGACATGGGAAAAGCAAGAACGCGACGCGCTCAAGACGCGCTGATTCGCAGCCACACACGTGTACACTCACGCCACCAGCGCTTACCAATGACCATCCCTTTTGTCTTCTAAACATTCTTTCGGTCCACTGGTCCCTCTGCATTCTTTGGGACTTTTTATTCGTATCTAACTCGTAAACAGACGCTTGGTTTTTTGGTTTTTGGGTTCATTCACAACAACAAACCTTCGGCTACTTGTTAGAAGGGCGTTCCAGAAGGACGATGGACAGGGCTCATCAAAATGGTGTGAATTTGAGCCAAGCTCTGAATCTGTTTCGTCAAAACGCGGTCGTACCGGGAGATCAGTATCGTACGAACCAAGCACAAATCGAAGAGGCTCGCGCTCTTATCGATTCACTCGAGGCAAGGAATCAAGCAGGTTATAAGCGCTACATGGAGCAAGAACTACTGCAGCGTGTACAAGAGGGTGAAGAGGCCAAGTGAGTGCTTCCGATATGTATCAATTTCGTCTTTGGTCTGTGTATCACTAACGCCTTTTGCCTTCATTTCAGGCGGATGTTGGCATCTTTGGGCGGAAACGGAGGCCCACCGTAAGCACCCGCCCGCCGTTTTTTTGGGGATGATTGGTATCCATCATATGTAACATTGTTATATTCTAGACCTACGTCTCAATATCGCTCAAGTTCAGCTACTTTCCCAACGCCCCCAGTCCCTGCGGGCCTTCAGGCCTTCGATAGGCAGGATGTGTTGCCCAGTTCTGCACGTATAGTAGAAATACCAGCTTTCCAGCGCACGTCTCCACCCGTATGCATATTCGAATGCCTTATCCTTTTTATGGACTGATGTTATCTTCTTAGATCACAAGTTCAAAGGGATCTTCGTCATCGTCTGCACACTACAGTCCCAACGTCACAAGCTCATCACATACAACGCAGCATAGCCATATATATTCAAGCTCGAACACTCAGCCTTTTGGATACGAACCATCACCTTTCGGCTCTTCCCATACAGAACCTCAGGCAGCTTCGCAACCTGCGCTCCGAGCTATAAATCCCTATACAAGCTCGAATGCTTCTATGTTTTCCAAGTTCTCTGCGGGTACGAGTAATTATCAACAAACGCAGCCACAGCAGCCATCACAGTTACAATCGAGCAGTGCTAGCCATTATAAACAGCCAGATTCTCGTCCCCAGTCTACCGCGTCTTCCAGCCACATCAGCACTAATGAAACTCAGGCCGTTTTTCAGCAGCCTTATTCTTCCAATCAGTTCGGTCAGTACGGAACTGCACCATCGCCTATAGGTTCTCACTCCCAGAAAACTCTCCGCACGACAGGCCAGAGCCTTCAGAATCAGAATCGGGCTACGTACCAGGCGTCAGCGCCTGTAACCATCTCATCGAGTTTGGATGGGGCACTCGGCCAACCTGAACACAGTTCCAGTTCTGGAAACCTCAGGACTTATGCACGGAAGACTTCTCCTTCCCATGCTCCAAATACCGTTGGAGATTCCAGGTCAGTTTCAAGGCAGGACTTGCCCCATGTAGAGTCGCATGTGACTAAAGAGATGCTTCTTCAACGCGCTCAACAATTTGGCAGTGTGAGTTTTTATCATAACTGTTTAATACAATGAAATCTCACTGCGCGTATCTAGGCTCAGGGTATGGTTCTTGATCCGAAGCTAAACAAAGAGGCGCTCTTCAAATCCGCTGCATATCTTCAGCAAGTGAGTTTATCCTACTCAGTGCTTTATCACACGATGTTCAATATCCTGATAATGTATAAAGCAATATGGCCCAGATTTTACAAGAAATTTTCTACAGGAAGCCCTTGCGTTATTGAACGAAGGTCAAGCATCGAAATTGAACGCGACTGCGGATAAGGCGTCGGTGGAAACATCTTGGAGCTCGGCATCTGCGCAAGCGACGTCACAGGCTTCTACGTCCGCACAGCCAATACCTCAAACTACGCCTCAGAGCAATTCATTCGAAGCTATCCGAACGCGAGAAGGTACAACTGTAAATGCAGCAAGCTCCACTCAGCAGGCAGCGCCTTCGCAGTCGGTTGATCCCGCTCACACTTTCACCAATGTGCCCATCTCTCTCACATCTCGTGCTTCGCAGCACTCAGCACCACCGTCGGAAAGTAAACCTCCACGGGAAGCTCAATTCCAAAGTCAGGCCCAGAACAAGCCAATGAATCAGACTCCGACTCATGTTCAGGCGCAAATTCAGGCAGAAATGCAGGCTCAAGCTCAGATGCAAGCTCAGCTTCGAGTACAACTTGATGCCCAAACTCGAGCGCAGTCACATGCCCAAACCTCTACTCGTAATCAAGCTACGGTTTTTGCGGGCACTACACAGCCTGCATTCGTGTCTACTCCTGGATTTACGGCGCACAACGCTACAGCCTTGCCACAGGGTTATTATAGTCGTACACCCGTACTAGGATCGACTCCGGTTTACGCAAACCTCAAAAACCCATTTGATCAAGTCTACTGGATCCCTACACCGGGTCCTGCAACCATACCTGCCCCTCCTTACGCTCCATATAATGTCCAAATGCGCCAATATCAACCACCAGTTTCGTCTCCAGTGCCGAATCCATTAGCACAGGCAATCAACAGCGTTAAGGCTGCTACTCAGGCCAGGTCTCAGCCAGGTCCACCTAATGCGAACGCCTCATCGTCAGCTGCTGTGGGGGGACCTGTAAATGTCCCTCTTCCTAATCCCATTAGAAGGGACAACGTCAATAAACCTCGTACCCCAGCAGAGGCCGACAAGAAACGCCTTGCCAGGGATATATTGCGCTCATTGGGAAGATCGTCCAGCACAACTAGTCAGTCAGGAAGGCAACGGGCAACGAAGCATGCAGCCCAGTCTCAAGCCATTGGTGGATCTAGCACGACTAGTCTGTCAGGAAGGCAACAGGAAATGGAGTATCCAGCCCAGCCCAAAGCCATTGGTAACACGGTGGTCTCCGCGATGGATAAAAGACCAGTTGGTGGGTAAACTAATCACATCTTCTCGTACACTCTTGATTTAACGTTGAAGTAGCGGCGGCCCCCGAACACCAGGACAGAAACATAAATGCCCCATCAGCACAAACCCAAAATTTGTCACATGTACAGTCAAATCAAATGCATCCCATAAATGCTGCAGATGTGCCGGTGGTACCTCAAGTATCTGGCCCCTCATTGGCCCCAAGAGCGCCCCATGATGGTCTCTCGTCAACGGCCCCGCCATCACAAACAGACCTTCCCATGGAGACACAACCACCCTCGCAGGAACTAGCCGAACTTACGATATCGGAGTCTCAAAGTGAAGACGTATCGGTCATTGAAGATGCGACGAGGATGCCAAGCCCATCGAACAAGGCTTTAGAGGAGCCAGAAATTCTTGAACTGACTACGCCTGCTGCTGAGGAGTACCGCACGACACAGGTCGCTTCTTCACCCGTGTCGTCAACTTTCGACCTCCATCCACAACAATCGGAGTCCAACTACGTTGAGGAGGGTGTTCCATTATTCCTACCATCACCATCGTCATCACCATCACCTCCACCAGTTGGTCCATCACACGCCCTGCCAGGAGTGGATGATGACGTGATGATAATTGACGATCCACAGGCGTCGGTGAAGAGTCTGGTGGCGGATGTCGAGGCTATGAATGTGGGTGATGTCGATGCACCTTCGGAATTAAAGAGAGGGAAAAAGAGAAAGCAAATGGCATATGTACTTGTTCCTTCTGCTCCTTCATGGGTGACGCAAGCTATCAAGAAAAGAAAAAAACAACATGCTTCGAGACAAATGCTTAGTGATCAAGCTTTGAACGACGAAGGTACGTGTCAGCTCTTTGTGATAACATATGGTGTCTTATGTCTTATGTTTTATTAGATTCTTATGCTCCTCTTGAAAAATATGTGATGGATCAAGCGTTGTCTAAAATATCAGAGAACCCTTGCCGGTGGCAAAACTGTAATGCTATACTGAACAGTGGTGAAAAATTGGGTGTACATCTTTTATTACATACAAAAGACATAGATAAAAAGGTATGTTGTCTATACTGAGCGGCCCTCTGTCATTTTCACCGGAATCTATAACAGAGTCCTTTTCTCTGCCGTTGGCAAGATTGCGGGATGAAGTTTTCTTCGTTATTGAAACTTCGAACACACGTTGAGAAACATCCCAAGTCTTCTTTACCTTGTTCGATATTAGGTAAGAGATTCATAGTCCTACGGTGAAGAGGTATCTTGACATCATATTGTAGGCTGTCTTCAGCACTTTACGACGCCCATTGATGTTATGCAACACGAAGTCTTGCATCAAGCCCCAGGTTCAGACGTAGCGATTCCTGTAAAATCAACTACGCAGCCCTACACTCCAAGATTGCCTTCATCGCTTGGACCGATTCCCGAAATTCTCCCATCTTATAGAGTAGAACCACGACATGTGCGACAAGCTATTATTTCAGCCCAGCGCCATGCCGTACTCGGGCCATGGGTAAGTGTCTGCTGCTATTCTAGTTTTCTTTCAAAAGTTTAGCGAAAACTTCTTGACAATCAGGTACTGCGAAACATATTTGGCCCAGTGGAATTAGGCATGAAAAAACCAAATGCCGCAGTTCCTCTCCGTTACTACTCTCGACCTTCTGGTGTTCCAGAAGACGTACCGCAGCCAATGCAAGACGATTATGATTTCCTGATTCCGTTGTCTTCTGGGGTACCGAAATCACTGGTACTAGACGATCTGCCGTCGGCGCCGATATCGCAAATGATTCAGGCTGGCCTTGTTTTTTTCGACACAGCAAAAATCACAAATAAGACAGGACCAGTGCCAGACGCGGCAGGAGGAGCTGTGACACACTATACCGCATCTTCCAATGCATCAGATGCAGCTTTACATCACGATGGACAGCCAGGATCTTTGGTGGTGGACAGACAAGAATTCTCATCTATATCTGTTGGACCTGTTGATGAGGTTGCTGAAGCTGATTGGCCGAAACACAAGAATTCTGGCGAGGAAGAAGCTGTGGAAAAGATGCTGCTGTGAATCACGGCGTGCACTGTTACCCACGCACACGGGTCATCATATATGCATCATACATGTAGCATTGTCGTGGAAAGGTTGTTTTTGTACTTTTCTTCACAAGTGGGGGTCACGTTCTCGTATTCTCGCAGAACTACATAGATCAAATGGAGTGGGAGGCCATTCTAGCTCACCTAGATACAGAGAAATTAGATGACGGTGATGATCGCAATGCTGTACTTAAAAAAGGAATATTTTGATGCCAACTGAGGAAGCAATAAAATTGGCGAGTTTGAATCAGCAAATATATACCCTGTAAAAAGTTCGGGATCTGATCTCATTTTTGGTAGCACGGTACCTGTGGCTGCCGTATTCCTGTTGCAGTTATCGTCCTCTTCGCTCTCTCCTTCCTGTACAACATTATGGCGGGTCCCACTCAGGTTCACGGTCAGTCTCCACATTTTCGCTGCTCTTGTCATCTCTGTTCACAACTCTTCAATAGCTCCTTTGTACATTTCCTCACGTTCAGCCGATGTTATTTTGTCCGATATTCGTCCCACAAAGCTCAATATCGACGCTCTTCAATCTATCAACGTTCTTCTCGACGAATTTCTTTATAATATACTCAGCGTCGCTCGTTCTCTAGCGACAGATCAACTCAGAGCAGGCTTGCACAAGGTGTTGCCAACAGCGCTAGGGAAGGAGGCGCTCTTGGAAGCTGAGGTGGAGTTGAGGGCACACTGGGAGCGCACTGGGAGCGCCGCAGGCTCTGGCTCTTCGCATAGCAGAAATGCAGAGAAGGGTGCCAACTTTCATCTGCAATGGATGTTTGAAGTAATTATATTTATTTCATTCTTATCAACTGCAACGCTGCATCTCTTACGACATTTTTGCAGCTATTGAGGTTAAAGTGCGAAGCATATTCGACTCTGAGTGATACAGACGAAGACCCAGAGGCGGAGTCGCGATTGTATGAGCGTATGGACGTTGACGGTGTCACTCCTCCAAAAGAAGCGCTGCTCACGCCAGCTGCTTTGTACCTGACCGCAATTTTGGAGTACGTTTGTCCTCCTATTCTCCATGTGCTGTCGCTGATAAGACAATGGAAAATAGATCTGTTTGCGAGTATGTTACTCTATTGCACGACGATTCATTACTGAAGATAATTGTCTAGAAACGTGTTATCAAATGTAGGGCGTGTTGCGACCCGGGATAGCAGTCGAACCACGGCAAACGTACAAGACCTTTTTGTTGCACTCTGCGAAGATGGATCGATATATAACCTTTTCAAGAGTATGAAAGGTCCGTATTCATTAAATATACTGATGCTTGTGTTTTGATCTTTTCACGCCAAATCCGCAGTTTACGAGCAAATCGAGAATCTTTCCAAGATGACAAGGCCGCGACGAAGCAAGTCATTTTCCCGTGAAAAGCAAGGCGAACAGCGTACTCCAGCATCTCATGACTCCGAACTGCCTCCTAAACAAACCACTGGCAATGGGAATGGGACGCGCTCGCGCATATCTACTGATTCTCCCAACAACGGTCCGAACGCAGTGGCCACGCCTGTTGCTCATTCGTCCAGGACCTCATTTGAGAAGGCGAGGGCGATGAAAATGTTTGTTGCAAATAGCCGAACTTCAAGTGACTATCCTACAGGCAATGACCATGGCAACGGACATAAAAAAGCAGAATCCGTAGGAAGTGTTGTTGCAAAGCAATCAATCTATAGTGACAAGTCGCCGGTATCGTCGACGTTTAGTGTAAGGAATTCTGATATTGTGCAATCAGTCAACTACTTACCTGGACATACAGGACGACTCTCGGTCTCAAGACTTTGACAACATGATGCGTTCTGGTTCTACCATGAAGGTCTCGCTAACTCCTGACCGGCTCAAAACCATGGAGGTACAGCTGTTTCCATATACTCTCAACAGAATAATATTGATGGTTGGCCCAGGTCTTCAACAGAGAGAAGGAGCGTTTGCGTCAAAAGTCTGGTGCCCGCGCTTTGACGCAAACACCCGACCCTGACACCACGCAGAAACTGCCGACGCCAGCGAAGTTGGAGCCAATCAAGCAGCGGACCAAAAGACCATCGTTGCGCCACGTCGACTCAATTATTGAAGACGAAGAGTTTGTACAAGATCCAGCCTCCGCCAAGCCCCCAGTTAGTCGACCTCGGCAAATGAGCTCGGCTTCAGCCGCGCCTCAAATTAGCGAGTCTTTTACTCGTTTCCGTTCGGCCTCTACTTCGAGCCCAGTCGTAAAATCTTCAGCTTTTCCAGTACGTCAATCTTCGCGCAGCGAAACTGCTCCTTTCCCTATGCCACCGGCTTCAACCACCAACATGGCCCAAAATCGCGAAAAGCATCTCCCAAAACAATTTAACGTGGATGGCACTAAACCCCGCCGTGTAATCGCGCGGAATCGAGAATCATTGGACCTCGACGATGTTATGGGCACGGGTAGTTCTGATATGGACGAGGTTGAAGAAGAGAAGGGTCCTTCACAAAAAACCTCTAACCCCAAGATATCTGCCAGCGCCCAAGAATTGATTGAATTTTTGGCAGAGGGCCCACCTGACATCCCAGAAGTGGCAAGGGCAAATGACAGTATATCGTCTTTGACCACTCCTAAAAAGTCAGGTCGACTGCAGAAGATGATTTCTAGGCTGACCTTGAACGGTTCGGCGGAAAAAGTGCGTTTGGATGGTAATTTTGAAGTTCATACCAAAGGACCGCACCGCAAGCATACCATTAGTGGCTCTCAATCACCACAAGTCCCACTTCTACCCAGTAAATCCATGACCAGTCTTGCTCCCTTGGTGAATAAACCTGTGCCTCCGCGCTATCCTCCTGCTTCACCATCTTCCTCTGACACCCATATTTCTGTTGAGAACCAACCCGCATCGGATTATCGTCCACAAGGTCCTATTCCTAGAAAAGCCGTCCCAAGCTGGGACCAGAAATCATCAGCAGAGCCTCCCGTCCCTAGTTTACCTACTGCGATCAACGACGAGGCAGAGAGGGGAGTTACGCGTACATCTCCTGTGATTGAAGTCGACGCTGTTAAGAAGAGTCTGTCATCGTCCAGCTCTCAGCTTATAAACACGGAACTCGATTCAGCACGTGCCACTATCCCCATTCAGATAACTACCGTTAAACCCGTGCAGTCCACCGTCCAGGCCCCTGAGCGTAGATCTTCAAAAGGTGCTTTTGCTTCGCTGACCAAAACGGCGACCAGTGTACGGTCTGTCACGCCTGCTGCATCGCTGGGCGAACATGCACGCGACATGCGCCGGTTGCTTTCGCATGCAACCAGTGCCGAAGAATGTCGCCTTCTTGTTGATATATTCCTGACTCGGTCCAACCTACTCACCGAAGCAATGGACTTCAGTAATCCTTATCCATCACCTCCCCCAGATGTTCAGACGCAAACATCGCCGGCACCTGACGCCGAGTTGCAAAGCTCTCTTGTTGAGTTTCTTTTGGAGGGTGGGCAGGAACACCTATCTACCACAAATGAACCTGAGGTTCAATTATTAAACGCAGATTCTGTCACTTCCACATCCATTTCTATCTCAACTACTGGCTCGGATTAAATCCGCCTATACCCTTTTTTGGAACTACTTTTATTCTGGGAGCGATACTAGCCCATACCTACTAAGTAATGTAAGAAGGGACATTTCACCATACTTCCTTTCGCCTGTTTATAAAGTGTTTATATTCATGTCTTTTGTGGTATTATTGTAACGCACACATTGTGCTTGATATCTTTACTTTTCGTATGGGAATCCGAATATACATGCAATTATGAGATATGTCCATACCCAGATCAGTTCGGTAACTTCAACGAACTTCTAGCGAAATGGCGATACCCATCGAAGCCAACTCAGCACAGAGATAACGGAAAACGTAAGGAACTGCGACCACATCCAGATCCCCACCCTTTGTTGACCGTCCTAATACATTTTGAGAACTGATAGCGACAGTAATGTCGGAATGGGTGCCATGTCGAGGATTTTGGCCAGTCGCCAATGCTTGACGAGCGCGGTCCTCTTCCTCCTCTGCGGTAGCACGACAAACTCTGCAGTATTCGCCACCTGGGCCAGTCGATCGTATCCCTCCAGATGAGCCAACAGACATTTCACCTAAGCTGATATCGTCGTAGCCGAGAGATATCAGACTACCACAGGTACGGCAGACCCATGCTGTCGAGTAATCGGAGCAATTCATCAGACGGTCTTGTAATAGGAACGAGGTTCCGTGGGCAATAAGAGCATCACGCTCCATTTCTCCAAAACGGATACCACCTGCGCGCTTACGACCCTAAAAGCAGCACAATGGAGGAAGTGTCACAAACAAAATCAATAGGCACATACCTTTACTGGCTGGTGGGTGACAGGATCCACCGGGCCTGTTGTTCGCACTTGGAATTTGTCTAACACCATGTGTCGCAATCTCTGGTAGTAGACAACACCGATGTAGATGTCGGCAGCGAACTCTTTGCCAGTTATGCCGGAATACATAGGCTCGTTACCGTAGTAGTTATAACCTGCAGCAAGTAGTTGCTCTCCGAAATAATCGACAGCAGTATCTTCCTCAGAGAATCTGCCAAATCCCGTCAACTCAATTGAAAAGATCAAAACAACATGTCTCACTGGAAAGGTGTGGCATCTTGAGCTAAGCCGTGCATGGCGCCAGCTTTTCCTGCCATACTCTCTACCAACATGCCGATGGTCATACGACTTGGGAAAGCATGCGGGTTGATGATAACATCAGGTTGCATCCCGCTCTCTGTGAACGGCATGTCGACTGCTGGCCATTTCTGCGAACAAACACCTTTCTGTCCGTGGCGCGATGAGAATTTGTCGCCAATAACAGGAGACCGAGTGATCCTTAATGTTATATGAAGTTTTTGTAGTTCAGTATCACCTGCGTCGCCACCTAGCACGGCAAGTCAGCCCAGTTTTGAGGGAAATATATAGTGGAAAATCTTACCTAACAGACGAACTTCGTCCACGAGAGCTTGCTCATCACCCTTGTACTTGACAAACTTAGTACGACCGGTAGTGTCGTCAACATACGCAGCGATTGGATCGCCGGAATCTAGTTTAGTCCCTATATAAGGTAAACCATCCCGGTCCAGGAAGTGGCAGCAGGCATGTTGACGACTTCCTTCTTCTGTGCGGATGTCGTCACCAAGACCAAAATGCAGGGTTGGGGCAGTTGTCGACTTGGAAGCTCCTCGCATATCCTTGAGGTCAACAATCTGTGACTTGTACACAGTGCCGTAACCAAACCCGCGCTCATGGGCCGATTTATTAAGGATCATGGCATCTTCCATGTCATAGCCAGTGTAAGAAATGACGGCGACAATTGCGTTGGTGCCATTAGGGAAAGAATCCATGGCATAAGTGTTATGTAGTCGCGGTCGAACAACAGGGCTTTGTCCTGTTTGTAGTTTGTACAGCTTATTATCTGTCCGGTGTTTGAGAGCTGTTGATGGCGTCCCCATCGTTTGTTTACCCATCTAAGCAATTTGAATTTGGTGTATGCGTTAGCAAAAATTTAAGACACACCTGACACTGATAGATATTTCGCGGACTCTGTTATATAGTTGAGTATGGTACAGACGCAAGAAAAGGACGCATCGTACCTGATTAAAATCAGAAAATGGCGTGAGGTTCGCAAGGATAGACAAGAAGTTCGTTGGGGCATGTTCTACGTGTGATGATACGCCTTCCTCAATCTCCTCCGGCTTTACAGCGATATTCATATACACTTGCTCGAAAGGGCCGATCTGATCATCCTTTCCATTCGCCAGATACTTCACTGGACGCATCATTCTTGCACGACTGGAGAACAGGAAGAGTCCTGGGTACTGGCCCCCCTTTGACTCGGGGACATACCCTATCTCTAGATCAAGTGGTACTTTGTGCCTCCCTTCCGTTTTCCACGTGCGAAGATGGTTGGCGAGCTGTCGAGCAACTGCAGGTTTCGCCCAACCTATCACACGCCCATCGAGCTGAACACATAAATTTCTTCTGCCATCTATTGATGATGAGAAGGCTCGTGTCATCCCATGGCCCACCAGGAGAGCAGGTATGTGAGCAACCGCTAGGGGCGAAGTAACAATGCGACATGTTCGTGAAAGATGATTTAGCAGACCACACGGAGACCCATCGGGCGTATGGACCGGACAGAGGAAACCTGAAAAGAGCATAAATACATGGCCGCACAGGGGACAAGATATGAGCATACCCCATGCTTCAGGAAGCAGTTTACGAACGGTGGTGGTTTTCAGTTCTGCGAAGAAAGCACCACGATGTATACACCTGAAATGACTGATATACCGTTGCCAGTTAAGTTTCTCTGCTACAATCGTAAACCCAGACGCCTGTTGTAAATCGAGACCCGAAGGTGATGTGAGATTGCCAGTGGCCAAGAAGTTGGACATTTTTGCCCCAATATCCCAGTTGACTCTGTTAATAATTTTAGTGATGTAGCGTTCTATAAGGGGTAAAGGTTATAAACGTGGAGAGCTTCCAGTAAACACATCTTAATGCTCACTATCCAAAAAGTCCGGTGGGGGCTCTGCCCTTCGCACATCTGTAGCAATCTGGTTCCTCACTTGGTTCAAGGCTTCTTCCAAACGCTCCTTGATGATCATTCCATACAAGGATCCGGGAAGCAGAACCTCCTGATGTTGCGGCGAGTCGGGGTTGTCGGAGCAACAAGAGGAGGATACCACTGCATAAAGCTTCCGCAGCATAAATCTAGAGATATACTATGATTACGGACAAGTGAAGATGAGAGTGTTAGATCCTTACAGTAGCATGCGAAATTTTTCTCGTGGTGTTTCCAAATGGACAAGAATCATCTTTTGAATCAGCCAGACACCCAATGCTTGGTTTGTCCAGTCTTCTGGCATGCCCAATACAACGCGGAATTTGTCACCGAGATACTCAAGACATTGATCCCCCGTGTAGAGATTGTACATCTTGAAACTGCGTAATAACAGTTCGACTCGATCAGTCAGGAATGTGTTGTCGTAATCCTGCATCATGACGCCTTCAAAGATTTCTTTGTCAGATGCTCCAACAAGAGCCTTGAGAATAAGCATGATGGGAATAACATATTCTTGTTTTCGCCAGCTGAATCGAAGTGTCGCACTGCCGTTCGAGAGGTAATGCAGGCTGTTGGTGGCACTTGACTGGTCGGGACGAACACATCTAATTTGAACTGCATACTGAGTATATGAAGGTCCACGATTACTAAATGAGGGACGGATGAGAGAGATGACGTGATTGCGTCTAGGGAGGATGAGATAGCGTATTAATCGCTCATTCCCGTTGATGATGAAATACCCTCCAAACTCCTCGGGTTCCTCATTGTGTTGGACGAGTTCTGCGGAGGAAAGAGATCGAAGGTTGCATCTGACCGACTAGTGATAAAATTTATGTTATGAAAAGATTTATTTGACGGATTGGATCCACTTACTCGAACCATTACTGGCACAAGACCGCAGTCTCTCATTACGTGTTGATTGGGATGGGTGTCATTGTTCAGTTTCCAGCAAACTTTGGCCTGCATACGCCCTCGATAAGATGTCAAACGCTCCCGCGCCTATAAACGAAATCAGTATATATCAATCGTCAAGTAAGCACTTTGTAATATAAACTGGGGGGAAAAGCCGTGTAAGGATCTTGAAGCACTTCTCCATGTCTCCAAGCATGTGCAAAGAAAATAACAAGGGATTCCAGATTCATAACGAGCGAATATGGCTATGCGATAAAACAGAAAATACTCACCTCAGAAGGATATACCCTCCTTTCTGTACTGAGCGTATCTCTCTCCGGCACCTGAGGTTTCGCGATCGATACTTCCTCGATCCAAACTTCAAAAGGTTATCAGCAAAAGTGTAGAGCAGGTATCATGAGCTAAATGACACTTACAGCTCAATCTGTTTCCCCAGCCACTGGGACCGCTTTCTGATCCCACCACCCCAGTTCCATCAAAAACGACGCGTTCGCCTATGTCTTTCAGTCCAAGAGAAAGAAGACCCCGACCGTCGCCGTCGCCTTTTGGCAGTCCTGAATCGTCGAAGAGAGCATTGAAAGATTCGATGTGGGGGGTAACGAATTCGTTGAGGATGGGATAGGTGGATCCTGTTTTCGAGGGATTTCTGAATGACTCCTCTCTTGCTAGTGTATTGAACGTTGGCGTTCTTTTCGTGCGCTCTGAACCGTCTGGCATTTCAGTCCCACCGAGTCCGTTTCTAAAATTTCTCCTATACGCGCCTACACCATATCGTGGGAATGTACTTCCATTAAAGGAGCATTGGAAAAGCCTGTAATTGAAACTCCGCTCTGTTATAGGCGTCCAGCTCAGCTTTCTCGACGACAGCGACGACGAGAACGGCCACAAACGACAAAAGGGCATCAAACAATGTTTGGCAACAACACTGTTCAGTCTTCCTGGGCCAATCCACAGCAGAACCAGCAGCAGCAACAGCCCCAGCAAGGTGCTTCTGCTTTTGGACAGCCCAACACTTTCGGTAGCGGAGGAGGTCAGTCAAGTCATTTGGCGCGGTTCAAGTCACGTCTGAACACCTATTTAAACTCCACCATTATTTAGCCTTTGGTTCAACAGGTGCTTTTGGCCAGCCTCAGCAGCAACCTCAGGCAAACCCAATGTTTGGCAACTTGGGCACACCTACCACAAATGCAAATACTGGCTCTGGCTTTGGTTTGTTTTTTCTGCCTCGCCTACCCCACTCAATAACTAACTGTTATCTTTAGGCACATTTGGTTCCACTCCTGCACAAACCGGAACTACCAACTCCATCTTTAGTGCTCCTAAGCCTGCCACTGGCTTTGGTGCTTTTGGAGGCGCTCCCTCGACATTTGGCGGAGGTGGGGGTGGAGGGACATTTGGATCAACTGCAAACAATGCTGCAGGACCATCCGGAACCACATCCAGCATTTTTGGTTCTTCCACAAACACCGCAAACGCTGCAAGTCCCTTTGGTGGTGGTGGAAGCCTGTTTTCACAGAATAAACCTGCAACTGGTTTTGGGACGACCCCAAGTAGGTTTTGGTTTCGTCCACGCGAACTTAGCTCAAGCTCATGTATTCTCTCATAATAGCAACTTCGCAGCAAGGAGCATTCGAAGGCGTAACGCCAGTCACAACGGGAACAGCCAATCCACCATTCAGTGTATTTAACGAAAAAGATCAGGCAAACCAAAATGTACAGTATCAGAGTATGACTGCTATGCCTCATTATCGTGGCTCTTCCTTCGAGGTACGTTATGGAGGAAGTACTTCCCTTACGTCTTACCACACCAGCTCAGCTCAGCGCGCTTTTCTGACTCAGCACAATTCTATTTGTCCGGATATAGGAACTTCGAGTGCAAGATTATCAGCAGGGCCGTAAAACTGCAGGTGCTTTTGGCCAAACATCCTTCGGTTCGACCACAACCACGCAACCTTCGACAGGTGCTTTTGGTGCTTCAGCACAAACAGGAAACTCCATGTTCGGCAACGCCAACAACACATTCGGAAATACGAATCCTGCCCAACCTAGCACGACGACAGGTGGCGCTTTCGGGTCGTTTGGTCAGACTGCGAATGCTCCAAATACAACTGGAAGCCTCTTCGGTGGTGGCGCTTTCGGTCAAACACAACAACACCAACAACAACAACAACAACAGCAGCAGCAGCAGCAGCAACAGCAGCCTACCACAGGCTTTGGTACCTTTGGGCAAACTCAACAACCCGCTACCGGAGCAGGTACTTTCGGTTCAGGATTTGGACAACAGAATAAGCCCACCACTGGCTTTGGGACCTTCGGGACAAGTTCGTTTTCGTCTTCTCTTAAGTTCTTAATCCTCATTACCTTTTTCCAGATAACAATGCCCTCGGTGGCACCAATACCTTTGGTCAGCCAGCTAATCAGCAACAAACCAACACGACAGGGACCAGCTTGTTTGGTCAGCCACAGCAGTCGCAGCCTGCAGGTGGTTTCGGTAGTTTCGGTGAGTTCTATTTCGTACAGTTGAACTAGAAACTGAAGGTCATTGGTATCGAAGGTACCAACAATGCCAATAATGCCGCCAAACCATCAATATTCGGCGCACCATCTCAACCGGCAGCACCAACTACTGGCTTCAGCGGATTTGGTCAGACACAGCCCCAGGGGCAGCAGACCCAACCGGCAGGAAACCTATTTGGGAATACTGGTGGGAGCATTTTCGGTCAACCCCAACAAAATCAAGGCAACCAACAACAACCGAATCAAACACAACCAACTAGCTGTACGCTTATTATTACCCTCCCAGTTCTCTTCACACTGCTGATACCTCAGTGCTAGTGTTTAACCCACCTTCGACCCAACCAAATACTGGGCTTTTTGGCAATACTGGAGGTTTGTTTGGAAATAACCAACAGACTCAGCAACAACCTGCCCAAAACACCAGTTTGTTCGCGCCAAAGCCTGCTACAACCACCCCAGGGTCAGGAGGATTGTTTAGTAGTGGCTTTGGTCAGACAGGAGCGAATACAACGACGGCAGGAGCTGGTCAGCAAACAAGCATATTTGGACAACCTTTAGGGCAGTCAACCGCGCAGCAACCTGCGGCTGGCACAAACACGTTTGGGTCTTCCTTGTTCAATGCGCCTAAACCCACTGCCCCTACCCTTGGCATGTCAACCTCTACGGGTCAAACAGGAGGCAGCACGTTATTTGGAAACACATTCGGGCAGTCAGGGATGTTAAATGCGTCTGCAAGTGCTCCAGGTGCTCAAGGCACACTAACGGCATCTATCAATCAACCAATCGGGAGCAACCTGCCCATATTCTCCATGTTGCCACCTGGCCCTCGAGCAGTTACACTTGAACAGCAACCCAAAAAGAAACCCGGCTTTTTCGTCGATGTACCGACCCGATCAGTTGTGCCACGTTTACAATTGGGTTACACCCCCGCCAACTCCAAACTACGTGGGTTCGCATCGTCGGCGTCCATGTCGAATATGGGAGGACAAGGCATTAATGGTTTCTCCGGTGGTTTATCACTCACATCTGGGAAACCTAATGCCCTGTCCCTCAGCCGTATGGATGGCAGGGCATCTGTGGGACCTGATGCGTTTTTGAATAGAAGTTCCAGTCCCTCACTTGGTAGTGGGGGAAGGCAGAGCGTGAAGAAGCTGATATTGGATAAGAAAGTAGAACCTTCAGATCTGTTTAGCAAATCGGGTGGATCACCAGGGATGCGAAGCAGCCCTGGAAAAATCACATTTAGTCCCGCTCTGAGCCAGGCTGCTCGAGAAAAGGAAGTCATGCGAGAGAAGGAATTGGCATCATCGACTACGATATCACCAGCACCTAATCGAACTGCAGAATCTCCAACTCCAGCTGCCCGCAATATGCCAAACCGCTTCACGGCACAAAGTTCGAGTTCACTAATCAACGACAGTCGTACAAAGTCGCCAGCCAAAGCTGACAAGGAGAGCGCGCCACTACAGCACGGAGACTACTGGGTTAAGCCTGACCTACAGACACTCGTTCATGCTGGATATGAGGAGCTGGTAGCGTTCGAGAAGCTTGTAGTCGGACGTGTTGGTTACGGTGAAATACAGTTTTTGGAGCCGGTGGATCTCACGGGTCTCCCCAAACTTGGCGCATTGCTGGGCGAGCTCGTGCGATTCGACGACAAAGAATGTAGCGTCTACCCTGACAGTGACGATGCTGACAAACCGCCTGCTGGGACTGGGCTGAATGTACGCGCAATGATTGTGCTACTGCGATGCTGGGCTGTGGATAAGGCGACGAGGGAACCCATCAAAGACGAGAAGCAACCAAGCGCAGTGAAGCACTTGAAGAGGCTGAAAGCCATGAAGGATACGCATTTCGAAAGCTTTGATATTACTGAGGGTAAATGGACATTTACTGTGGAGCACTTTTGAGTGCATGATCATTGATGTTCGAAATTGATGCATGCATGGCATGTCTATATATGTAGCTGATTTTGGCCTGTTATTATAGTACGTACGTAGCTACCTGTTCTGAACATGTATGTGATAGTTTTGAAACAATGCGATGGGAGTTTGTTTGTTTTGTCTTCAAAGCTCAAATTTAGCACGCTAGATTTTGATGGAAGCTTTGCTTTGCTAGTAGTCTCCCCTACTTTACATATCAGACTAATATACATAAAATCCTTGGATCCAGAAGACTGCAGACCATAAAAGAATAATAAGATAAGATAATACAGAACGAATTAACAGCCCAGGCTACAGTCACAATTGTACCAGTCCAGACCTGCAAGTAAATCCAAGCAAAATAAGAGAGGTCGGGACGTTTCAAAAGCAGTCTGCAACGGTGATAACCAAAACTAGATACAACGCAAAAAGTTCTAGCAAAAGTTCCGTAATCAAGCCAACCAACACCCAGTGCTGTTTCTTGTAGTCTAGACACCCAGATCATCAATCCATCGTCCAACCATCAACGGGACGAACGATTGGGGAAAAAAGTAGTAAAACGATGGCGGGGGTCGATAACGCTCGGCGCTCAATCGCCCCGGGCGGTCCGTACAAGTTGGGTGTTTTGGCTGTATGAGCTAGGCCTAACCTAGCCGTGGCCGGGGCGGAAGGCCCAGCGGTCTTCCCGTGCGTGATCTATCAGGCCCCGATGATGAGCTGACCGTGAGCATCGGAGCAGGTGATGTGGATGGCACGGCAACTGGTGGAGTGTGAGGCCTGACGTTCTCTGTCTCTTCTTCCGGTAATGTATCGATCACTGAAAGCTTTGACAGCGGAGAAAGCTTCATCCTGTCGTTCGCAGGAGAGGTTGGAAGACCGGTCAACCTCGCCCTACGCGGTACGAGGGGGGATGTCGCATTCGGGGGTAAGCGTGGCTGGGAAATGAATGTGGGAGGTTTGAGGAGGGAGGAAGTAGGATTGGGCCTGGGCCTGTTGACGATAGACCCGGTACCCATGTCCGTTTCAGCAAATGACTCCTTATCTATGATTCCTGATCCTTTTCTTTGACCGCCCGGAGATGTGAGATCTTCACACACACAAGTCAGTTACGATCATGAAACACGAGTAAGAAAATAAATTACTCACCGCCAATGAAGGACGTGACATCGTATTGAGTACCTCCAGAATCGAATCTGGGTGTTCGAACCGCCTTCGTGGTCGTAAACTCGTCCTCTCCACAGGGAGACTCGGGTAGCAGCTGAGATTGACTGGAGCTATACACATCGTCCTGGGCAGCAGGCATCCTCGGTGGATACGGGACTGCTGTGGAGCTATTTTCAGACATGAGTGTCAAGCGCGAACGGCGGTCTTCCATTGCCCGCAGGAGGGGTATCGGGCGTGGGGACGGTAAAGCAGGAATAGGCGTGGTTAACCAAGGCGGATCCGGGAAATGGCTCAGAGAGATAGTGGAATTTGTACGTAGTCCCGTAGAGGCTGAATGGCGAGGTGCATCACGACCACTTGGGCTTGGGCTCTCGGAGAGGGATTTATCCTCAGTTGACCCGGTAGTAGAGCTACGAGGAGAAAAGAGACGGAGGGCCGCAATGCTCTTGTCCAAGTCATTTTGCTGGCGCAAAAGCTCCTCCAGAGAGACGCTAGTACTGCGAGTACCAGGAACGCTCTGATTGGTGTCCGTCGTTCGAAGAATAGAACGAGAAATCCCGTCTAAACCATAGATGGGGGAATCCTGTGATTGTGTATCGGCTGGGGCTGTCATGACCACTGTCAGGTCACCTTCGAGATCTTGAGACAGCACGGAAGGATAAGACGGCGCAATTTTGATGCCAAGGTTGGTCGTCAATAATTTTCGAGAACTGGCGCTCTGCGACGAACTGTCAAGCACTCGACTGCTTCCCGCTGACCTTTCCCCTATGATTGGAATATCGGCCTCACTGTGAACAGGCTGAGCAGCCGACGGAGTTTCCGGATGCAATCCAGTCGAGTAAGACATGCTATCCCACTTGGCACTCTCTTTGTAAGCTTCTGAGAGGACAGAGTCTATACTGTCCCTACGGCGTAAACTGTCCGCTGGCTGGTTAGGCAAGGGGCTGTCTCCAGCGACCTTTTGGCTCCATAGCTGGACTTTGTCCTCCTTTATCGAGCGTTGCCTGGAGATCCTGGCAGAAACCCAGGACGAGACACGGGAAGCACGCCGGATGGCCTCTGTACTAGCATTCCTAGCCTGATTCAGTGACGAAGAGTTGAATATCATGGATATGGTCGGTGTGGGTACGATTGGAGGGGTAATCCGGAACGTGGATTCACGGGCTTTCTCCGGTATCATGATATTTTGCTGCACTGGCGGAGCAGGTCTTTGGATGCCACTCTCATAGCGATGGAAAGCAACTACCAAGATGAAGACGATGAGGATGAAGTATTCGATAGCCTGTAAGAAGCGGCCTAAAGTTGATTCGGTAAAAGCGACTAGGCGAGAAATGCAGCGTGGCAGCATTCAATTAGATACTGATTACTTCTTGATTTTTGAAGAAAGAACTCACAGCATATAAGATTCCCAATGGCAATACCAGCATTCAAGAACAAGGCAACGATGGGGACGGAGTATTCTCTGAGTGTACGCCATCGGGGTGTCACGGGCGAAATTGACGTGTTCAAGATAAGTTTTAGAATAAATAGGATTGAGGCCACGAGTTCAAGGGAAGTATCCGCTGCATATATGGGGCCATAATAGTGAAACGAGCTTACGATACGCCACAAGATCTGCAGTACGAGAATGGCGATTGACGCTGCGAATAGAACAAGTTTAAGAATGTGACCGGTCAGCCCCCAACGGTCCCAGCTTCCGCTGTGACATCCTTCCTTAGCTTCAATCACAAGAAAGTCTGTCCAACTTCTGTTTGGTACAGGATTGGGTTGCGACTCTCCTCTCGGTGCTTCAGCAACGAAGATCCAGTAGAAAAGAAAGCGAAGGCCGACAGAAATTGCCAGAAAGACTTCCCGCCCTTGCAATAAAGGCCTTGTAGCACCAATATCTGCCGGCTCTACACCCTTCAGACCATGTGCGACAAGCTGCCCTAGGTCTAATATTGATGCAGAAAAGGCGAAGAAAACCGAGAAGTAAATGCAGATAGCAACCCTATGAAAAATGTCAAACAGGCGTCTAATGAAATACATAAGAAATAGACGCACAGCACAAAGCGCTTGACCAGGATAAAAAAGAAAGAGATACCGAAAGCTAATATACCGATGGATATGAATGGGATGTCAGAGAAGATAAGATTGATCTAGATAGACGATTAAGGAACTTGAGTACTAATGGGAGACAAATAGGACTGACCGCACAACTATCGCTGATAGTGAGTGAAGGAGAAAAGGTATAGGCATCGCTTCCCCACTGGCATGGAGTGGTCGATGCATTGAACATGGCGAAGTGAGAGCAACGGCAGATGGAGAGTACAGCTCGTGCCGAGTTCGAGCTCTACAGAGGCAGACCTCCGCGATGAATGAGGTGTTTGCTAGAAAGACGACGAACAAAGGCGGGTGTGTGGGTAAGAAGGGTCAAAGATGAAAGCCAGCTGGCGGTGCAGGCTGCAGCCTGTGATGATCTCTTAAGGTGCAGATGCCAGTGCAGTGTGAGACAGGGGAATGAAGTGCAACCACAGTTCGTCGAACAACGAATGTCGAATTAAGCACACCTTTCCGCTGAGAGAAGAGAAAGTGAAAGAGAAGGAAAAAGAAGAATAAAAAGGCCGTATGCATTCGAGAGCTTGAGAAAACGGAGGTCTCTATTTCGAACATTTACCAGATACAAACACAATGCGCTTGACAACAGCAACTATCACGATCCCTCCTCAAGATCTATCCACTTAGTCAGCAGCGATCTGCCGGCAGTCCCCGCTCTTTCTTTCCGCGACTGTCTCATCTTACTACCCAGAACATAGGGGAACGCAAATGCTAATGCCTATTTCCTCCGGTGCCACACCCTATCAGGGGATCTCATCTCAGCAACTTCTATAACCACTCAATTGCTCAGAGTATGTCTTTACTGCAGACATGTACCGCTGCTGACACCATACTGTCGCTCGAAACACGGCGATTACATATAGCTTCTACTTTGGCAAATCCGAATCTGGGCCGCATCAATTAGGGTGTCAACATGCAGGAAAATTCTTTGCTTTTCTCATTTTTAGTGGGCGGCTATTCAGGACCAAGCCGGCCCGCGCCGCTCACTCCTTTCTGATGCGGCACATAAATTTGTAGCTATATAGGAGCTCGGTATGTGCAATTGGCAACACCTCATCCACTGTCTTGGTCAAAACTAACGTGAGCCCGGATCACCTACTCGATCGTGAAGCTTTGGCCAAACCATCATTTTCCTCTTCGCACCCGAAGTTCGTCCACTACACCTTTGCATCCATGCCTACCATTATTTCTCAAGCGTTCGTCTGAATCATATCTTCATCCACTGAATGACACCCTTTCTGGCAAGAACCGCCCTGCCGTTGCAGCTGTTAAGAACCTCAATCGTTCACCAATTCTACCACTTGCAATATCGGGGATATTGACAGGTTAGGAAAAACAAATTCGCAATGCGAGACACATGGATCATGTACACCACTTGAAATAAAAGAAGCCGTACCCTTAAAGACTTCGAGTGTTCTAAATTATTTACACTACGAGCAATTGCCAAAATAGCAAGTTGCAACAGTCTAACACCAGAGATGCAAATGGAAAACTTTCACCGGTGTGCTCCAAGATTGAACAAAGAATCAAAAGGTAAAAATATACATGTTTGGTCTTTATCTATTCTTCACTGCTAGTCTTTGTGGGATTGCATTTCCCTGTCGCACAAAGGGAAAGATAAGTGGCAGCTCTGGAACAGCCAAAATTATCTGCAACAGTCAAAGAATAGGCTTACTGTGATTATGATGTTACGGTCATATCCTAGAACGGGATGGTTTGGCTCATCCCATAAAGGAATAGTTATGCGATATTAGACCCATTGTTTACCTTTTCACTCCCAATTATGGTCCGGAGCATAGCCATAGTAGGCTTTCAGTCAGCGCTGTGCTTTTGGTATGTCGCACCAAGTGATTTCGGCGAATGCTCGTAGTGTTACTTGCTATTAAAGCAAATCTTCTATGTAGTGCACGTGCTGTCGTGCGATAAATACCACTCCAAAGAAAGGGAATGACCCTGGGCTTAATTTTTGACGAAACTGTGGGCACTACTATTGAGAGGTAAAAAGCACCCTGTAGGATTCCTCCCCACAGGGCCTTTCTTAAGTTTTCAGTCTGGCGAAAACTAGCGCCCAAGAACGGACTGCAGCACTGTGATCACTAAGCTAAGGCTCATGCACACACCACTAACGTCACATGATTACCTGTGACTTTCTTGTATATATCTAATGGCACGCACAAAACCTTATTTTTGTTTTAAAAATTTGCACAGAAAGTTTTGCAGCTTGATTCCGCCCAACTCCGTGTGAGCCGATTGTCAGAAATATGCGATGTGCAGTTGCCATTAAGAAAATGGAGTCGGACGCAGTGTCACAACAAGCATGGATTTGAGTGGATCACAGGCTGTCACAGATCACCTGACGTTAGTGGTGTGTGCATGAAGCCTACCTTACCAGTTTCGGTTGAGCGCTTATCTCAGCGTCAACAGGTATCCCCACATGGGTGGCGCTATGATCGAATGGCTACTGACGGCTTGGACAGGCTACATTCTTTTCCTTGCTTCTTAGGCTAGGCATGTCAGCCTCATCCAGTCGTAAACCTGATGAGATCGTCTTCTGCGACCCGTCACGCAAGGGCGCACAGTCAAATCCGACACTGAAAGCTCAGAAAAAAGCGTTCATGGTACGAAATCCTCCTAAACCCTCAGACTCGCTCTCCAGTCTCACATGATCGCAGTCATCCAGGATAGCAAAAGTCACGACCGACATTGTTGCAGATGCGGCACAAGCAGCAGCAGACGAGAAAAATGACGATGAATTGTGAGTTGGGATACATATTGCGTTTTATCTATTTCTGACCGAACTCGTCGTACAGCACACACGCACAAAATGATGCCATACTTCATCGCTTACTTCACACGAAGCTACTTTCCGGCTCACTGAACCCCGAATTGAACCTCACGCACGCTCAACGAGAAAAAGCGCTTGCGGGGCGTGTCCTGGAGCTTTCCGGCCACGCATCTCTAGGCGCAGGTGAAAAAGCTACTCGCAAAAGGGAGCACAATAACGCTGCAAAGCACGTACGGGACGGGCTTCAAAGGAAGAAGAAAGAGCGAGAGAAGCAAGATCTGGAAGAGGTGCGTGCCAATCCGCTCCCTGTCGTAAATGAGCTTACGTCTGCCCCCTTAGGCCAAGAACTTGGGGAACTATCACCCAAGTCTGAAGAAGGTGCTGGACCCTGACTCGAAGCCGTCGCGTGCAAAGAGAGAGAGGGGGCTCAAGATGGGAGTTGGTAGATTCAGTGGAGGGATTTTAAAAATCAGCAAGAAGGATCTTGGGGCCATTAGAGGCGGATGAATAGCTGCGTGTCTATTGATGGGAGTCCTTGGATCACCGAGCTATGATATCTGGATATGCGATGTCCAACTTTTTCGACACCTGATTTATGGCCGCAAAGTAAGCATCGCCCGGAAGCCCCGTGTCTCATTTGCACAGTACATTAGCTAGTCTCGTCAGTATGTACCGTCGTGATGCATACGCGTTGAGCGATACAATAAGTTGTGGTGGATAGAGGACCTGCTTTTACCAAATAGTATGACAGAAGCGCCCGTAGTCCGAGTCAGCCACACGATCAAGAGATATGTCGTCACTGAGCTGATTCGAATTCCTGGCCTGAGAGAAATGCTACTCCCAAACAAACACTAACCTCCCCACCTCGTTTGTTGATTATCTGGAGATATAATGAAGGCAAATCATTCAAATAACAAGGGTAAACCTGTATTCGCTAACATACACCTTGAATCACGCAGATTCTGAGCGAAAAAGAAGTCAAGGAGCACAATGCTGTCACCACGAAAGGGGCACTTGAAGGGGCGCTGATGGGCTCAGCTATAGCATTGCCAGGCTTTTACTACCTCAACCGTCGCTGGGCTTACTACCGAGCACTCCCGCCCTCTCTCAAGGCGCTGGGTGTCGTGATCATAGTAGCGCCACTGGTGTCCATCAGAGCTGAACATCGTGGCTTGGAGTATGACAGGGAGCACTGGTCTGTCTCATTAAATTATTGCTGCATTTCGTCATCATTAATGTTTGAGCCTGGCTTCTAATCTCCGTTTAGGACTGGTGCTGGAAAGATGGAGCTGGATAGAAAGGCGGAGGCGGAACGACAAAGGTGGGGAGAGATGAATGTGAAAGATAAGGTCGCAGAGTGGGCTTCCAAACATCAGCTTAGTGTCATTGCTGGGAGCTGGGCATTGTCCATGGCTGTTGCAGGGAATATCATCATGCGTGATAAGTGCGTGATTCTCGTCGTCCTTCATTATTGCACTTTAGCACGACCGAGCACATATACTCAATATTTTCTCGCTTTGACAGATTGGTACCAACGCCACACAAGGTACGGTACTTGGGTTGTATTGTATGCGCTTGGAATGATGAGGAGCTTACCATGTCGTGATGCGTCGGCGTGTCGGACTGTTGTAGGTGGTCCAGGTCCGTATGTGGGCTCAAGGCTTGACTATAGGGGTTTTGATCGCTGCTGGTGCCTTGACCCACGCTCACCGAGCACAGGCAGTAGCTATACGACATGTACGTCCCCTCGTGCCTATGGACGTAATATACTAAAACGTATAATCCTTTTTTCTTGCAGCTTCCCGCAGACCATTCTTGGGCCAATCTAGTACGTCGATCACCTAGGCTCGTGATACTTGACTTGTTCCATTGCTAACATGTTCGTCACGAACTTCTTCATCGTTAGTTGGAGGAGCAGAGGATAGAAAAGGAGCTGGCTCAGCAAGCCAAGGAAGCACTTTGAGCCAAGTGTGTCAAAAAACGGTGTTGTGGTATTCCCTTCAATTTTTTTTCATTGTTCTGGGCGCTATGCCTGAAGAGTTCGGCTATTTTTCTCTGTACATCATCCATTGTAGCTATCCTCTTTCGTGCGTTTTGTTGTACCAACTCGATTATATATTTTCAGACTGTCCGTTCCCGTGTTATTCCAAGCGTAGTGTACAAACGACAGATTGTAAACGGCAGGACGCCGATGTTGTCCACGAGATATCTCGATCATCAGCACCGAGGGTCAAAAAAATGAAAACTCATCTGATTGACTCTAGCCTTATAAGGGCAGGTGCTTGATTCCAAGTATTTCTGGTAGTGGAACGAGAGAGATACGTGCGATGTGGGAAGATAGAGTTGGTGGGGACGATGTATACGGCGTTGCAGACTTGAAAAGAAGGTCTAGAAAGAGCTGTCGATCACTCTCGACGTCGCCCAGCTTACAGTGTGGAGATGCAAGGAACCAGCATTGTTCGCAGGCAAGGAACAACTTGAACTAGAAGAGATCATGAAGAATATTGACTTCTCTGACAAGACCAAAGCCGTGAAACTTGGCGTTATCCATCGCATGAAACAGCCAGGACTCTCTGACAATGGGGTATTGCTCGTGCAAGCACTACGTGCGTATTGCCAGAAACAAGGAACGGAAACATACAAGAGAAACCTGCCAGTGTAGGACACGTTGATGGAAAGTTTGCGCGATATCCGATGGCTATATCCCATTTTCACTTTGTTGATGGGGATGGGGGCAGATCTGGACGAGGGTGCAACCCATATGCTGCCGATGTATTGTCTTGAGATGAGACTTTCCTAAAAGATCTCCAAGAACTCGAAGATTCCGTTCGATCCCAGTTTCCAAAATAGGTATCTTCTTGTCCGAGATTGGGAGATTGAATCTGTCCACGCAGAACGATGAACACATCGAACCGGGCGTACTCATTTCCTCCGCCGCCCATGACTTACTGCTAACACCAAATTATTATGACGTCCTCGTCAAAAGTCTCTGATCAAAGGAAACATTCATTTTACATCGCATCAATGGACTACCCTGTCATTGTGCATCGCCCTGAAGGGCTGCAAGAGCCCGCTCAGACGCTGCCCGGGTAGCTGACTTGTCAGCCCAGTGTGGAAGGTCGTCACAAATCCTCTCAAGCCTGGCCACATACAAGCATGGCAATATCCAGTTTCCAGGGAGAAGTATTCATTAGTCGGTCAATATTCACAGAACTACGCCATCATGAGATAGCACACTAACTTATGGTGAATAGGTGATAACTTAGCTCGACCGCACTGTTTCAGGGAGATACATTAGCCCCCGATAAATCGTGCCGTCCACCCTTGCAATGATAAAGTGCTAAACAGTAAAGCATCAGTAGAGAGCTTCTCAATTCCACGATGCGCTGGTTAGGGCTAAAACCTAGTACGTGCATCAAAGCTTTAGGGTGTGTGAAATTGATAGGTTGAACGAATCTTACCCCATTCAAACTGGACTTGATGTGGAATGCTGTCGATAAAGGCTATACGTTTATGCGAGGCTGCGCTGATGAATCAAAATGCGTCATGATCCCAGCTAGCGGCATAAGCACAGGTACATCAAGCTCATGCCAACGTCTCGGTGTATTGCGACAATTGCTTTCGTCCGTTGACAGCTGACACTGGAGTAAGATATTTCCATGCGCAATGAACGGTAGGGGAGTAACCGAGGTGAATTACACATTGCTTGGGCCCTAAGGAGGTGACCACGAACCGTCATCAGTGATAGTGTCCATCATGATAATGAGAATCCTCGCCTGATCTGGAAAGAGACTGGAAGATATTTACGATCGTGAGTCATGCGATGCGAGGGTGAAGGGCAAAATATTCCCTACAGTAACCGTGATTCGACACGTCCGAGTCATACCTTCCCGCAAGCCCCTGACTGGCTTTGGTGCTATTTGTTCACTATTGAGGGCCTCTGTAAACGAATCAGTGTTCTATGACTATAAGTTGATGTAATGAATGCTTGACTATGTCAGTCCATCGAGTCGATTGAGATGTCTGGATTTGCTCTGATATATATACCAGGCCACTTGTTCAGAAGCCGTGTGCCGCTCCATTGATTCACGGGTGACCAGTGAAAAGCTTAAGGTGATTTTGTGGTAGCATGACCCAAGCACGACCTACTCGGTTGATAATTTATCTTCTGGGTTTGAAGTGTGCAGGCCGTTGAAGGCGAGTATTCAGACTGTCATTGAAGCATGGACCCCAGGAGAATGATTGGTGTAGGGTGTGATGGATTACTTGCACCGAGTCCGAACAGGATGTTCAAGTTGCCCATATGTAGACATCGTGAACATTCTCACGGCAATTTACTGGACCTTATGGGCGCTTATGTACGAGACATGTGTAGTACACGAGCTTGTTAGAAGTTTGATTTGATAGACTCTCATATCATAGCATTGCCAGCGCCATTGAAGACGGTCAGACCCTCTGGAACTTGAAACACCCTCAGCCCTTACAGCCCTCACCAGCTACAGATTAAAGATGGGTTCAGGTCGTTTTTCTCTTATTCTCCATAACATCTACTCGACTCTTTTTCGACCACATATGCCTTATCCAAACGACATTTTTGGCATATTCCAGGAGGGCGTCATCGGGCCTATGGGACCTGAGTCATGGGAGCGGCAGCTTTGCTTAGACGATAGGTCCACAAATTGTTATATCGACCACATCGTGTTTTGTAAATGCAAAGACGACAAGAAACACGAATTCTTGTTGATTTCCGTTCGCTACCCGGACCCAAACATCACGAACAAGGCACTTGTGGTCGTCGACCGTTCACCCTCCGCTCCGTCACCCAACTCGTCTGTTCATACCCCTCTAGGCTCTGCCATTGTGTCACCGTCAGTCTCCGATACTCCTGCCCATGATCGTATTGTCATCACCAAAGAAGACGATAAAACGGAGTTGACTAAACCGTATAAACCATACAGGGAGCTCTGTACCCTTACATTCTCCGAGTCTTGTCCCTCCAATATCACCGGAAATTATTTATCGCCTTCTGTTCGGCAGCTATGCATCCTGTTGAAAGTCATCAACAAACACGCCCCGCTCTACAATCTTTATGAGCACCAGTGCTACTGGTTTGCGAATACCGTGTTTGACACGTTGAAGAAACTATTTCCAAATGCAGAGGAGAAGTGTAGTTCACACGACATGCGCGCCAACTATCACGGGTTGAAATTCGACCATCGTAACAGTATAGAGACGATAACTGAAGAATATAACAGGTCATGGCGCGAGGCGTGTGACAGGGTGAGGGAGGAACAGAGAAAACGAGAAGAAAGTCGACGTAAAGTGAGTAAACTCTCGCTGTCGTATTTTGCTATCTATTACTTAATTTGTTTAAACCCATCGACAGTTGATTCAAACTGGGAGAGACGAAGGTAATGCGGAACGAGAGCAACTCAAGGCTGAAATGGAACACCAGAAGGCTGACAGTGCCCAACGCGAGGCTGAAAGTGCCCGACGCGAGGCTGAAAGTGTCCGACGTGAGGCTGAAAGTGCCCGACGCGAGGCTGAAAAACAGGCTGAATTGGACCAACTCAAAGCGAGAATGCGTGAAGACGAAAACCGTCAGTCTGACAATGCGGCCTTCGCAGCTTGAAGAAGGGATGCCAAGTTTGTTCGTGAGTCTATTTGAGCATTACTACTTTCAAAACTAACAAGTATCTGTATCACAGTCGTAGCCAGGAAGACAGCAAAGCTGTCAAACATGTCATATTCTTCCCATTATTTATTTTCATGGAGCAGACAGAGCGGCGTCTATTACCCGCCACCCCCAACATGTCTGCATATTCTAGTACACTGTTTCAGCTGTAAGTACCGTGCCAGGCCTCTAGTGTAGCTAAATCATCATGACGGTTCGAAAGTGGGTAGTTTGATGGTGCCACTTAAATTAGACTCCCATGCTGCTATGTTGTAACGATCCCCAGATAGTTGCCAAATGATTATGGAGAATGTCGCTGCGAATGATGATGAAGAAGTCTATAAGCATGATTCCGACGGCCTCACCGTGGTCCGTAATAACCGTTTCCCAAGTCCTGTGGAAGACCTTGTGACTCTTTTCTTCCATCCTCGTGAGCATCGTAGGCTTCGCTGCCAAAAGTCCATGGGATATATCATGAAATGCATTCTATCACAAGGCCCATATTATTCCTCGTGATCCCCATCCGAACATACACCGTGACCATCCAGCACTTGTGATCTCTTTTTACCGTTCAGCTATATAGATGGAGGTGGAAGGAGCGGCAGCGTTCTCAAGGTTTTCTCATCTGCTCTCTTCTGAAATTCTCAATGTCGCCCTTTTTCTTCTGGGCTTGGTGTTCAGCAGCGACGTGCTCGCGTCATCAGCGCCCAACATCGTCGACGTCGGCTATGCGAGATATCTAGGAAACAAGTCGTATCCCAACACAGTAGCCTACCTGGGCATTCCCTATGCCGAACCTCCTCTGGCCGAATTACGATGGCGCGCACCGCTACCTCTGAACACGACTCGCATCTCCCAAGAAGCAAACGGACAGGTCATCAACGCCACCACGTACCCCATGTTCTGTGTCCAAGGTACGTCCTGACCGCGCCAAGTTCCCATGCGTATGGTCCTTGACTGGTGGCAGGTGGGGATCACGGAGGAGCTGGCTCGGAAGATTGTCTCTCAAGGTGAATATCTACGCACCTACTGGAGCAAAGGAAGGAGATAACCGTGCGTGCGTCCTTGCCGTTCACTTCGTCTCCAATGCTTAATCCAGAGTGCATAAAACAGTGCCTGTCCTGTTTTATATACATGGTACGTTGCATTGCTCGCATTGTAAAAAAATTAACTTTTTATTGCACATCCACTTGACTGGCAATCACTGTCTATTGGACCAACTGGGCTACCCCAGACGTCAAGTTCGAAAGTACTTCTGGCACCGCAACAAAGCGCTGTCTCTCTGGCACAGTACCTTGGTTTCTCCTAGACATTTTCTCGGACAGTCGGAATTCACGGCTGAACTCCAACCATACACTTATCAATGTCGAGTCACGGTACTCCTCCTGGACTGCCACTACCATTCGAGGGCGTACCTGACCACGAATTTGGCCTTTCTCAGGGGTTGCCCTGTAATGAGTTCCGTGACAATCTTTGAAGGTTTTACTATCAAAATAGGTGTATCAAGGGCCGTTCGAGAATGTAATTATACAATAGAATACTTCTCTCTACAGTGAAACGATTGGTCTCTCGTCAGATTCATACTATCCGGGCACCGTAACGCAAAATAGTGTCCTCTTCTCACTCAACTTGTTCAAATATTCATATCTCCAGGCCCCAAGCTCAGCGTCGCTATAGAGACTCATAGCTACATGCTCGGAGCCGTATCTAAAAGGTATGCCTTGTTCACCCACTCTAAACATTGCAACAGTCATGTCATAACCAGCCGCGTTTGTAGATCCGTACGACGCCACATATACAGGTGTTAATGACAAGTGTCATTTCTAGCCGTTAGTGATAAATATCCCTGATCGATCCTGCTTGAACACGTTAGCCGCTTCTATTCCTATTTCACCTTATCGTTGGGCGGCGATTTTCATGACTGTGGTCCTTAGATCTTCCTCGATTTAATACTTCCCCTGGGCTCATCCAGCGAGCCTCACTTATACGTTGTAGCATGTGATTCGAAGACCAGCCAAAGGTTCTGTACGATATTGCCTATCTAAGTATGGGCCACCCCCGGGTCCATGCACTTCTTTTGTCTAGCCTCCTTGGAGCCTCCAAAATCATGCAAGATAGCTCTAAAAAAGCACATGGATGCATGTCGCGAAGGGATGGTGTGATATGTAGTCATTCCCCTCCAGTCAGGACACGGATGGGCATAAATGATAGTGGTAAATTCGCATTGAGATTGCTGGAGCTCTAAGCTTTATTGCAGCTGGATTAACGACCTTTTTCTCTCTACGATCAAAGCGGACAAGAGGATATGGTCGAGGTGTTGATGCCCGTCGGGGAAAACAGTGAGCTGAGCTGGTGGAAGAGGGGGAGAGGCGTCAATCGGAGGAGGAACGAACGATGCTAATTGTACATCGGAATTGGAGATTCCGTCGTAGCACTATATCATAAGGGAAAGCATATTAATAGGAAAGGCCGCGCCCAACAAAATTACACTTACTACACACATCGGCGAACCATCATCCAATGTCGAATGACAATCCCAGCGGAGGTCAACGGGCCCGCAAGGCCAACCCCAGGCCCGCTATATCAAACAAGTGCCATATTGTCTCAGAGAAGCGCAGAAGATGTAAAGAAAGATGCGAACTAACATCTACGCCGCCAATATTCCACATAACATTCTTCAAACGAGTGGTGCTATCGCCCATAGTCAAAATAGCTACTCTTTGGTTGGTCGACAGCCTAAATAACAATAACAATATTAGTTACATGATGTTACGGGTAAGAGATCTTGAATGTCATTCGCACTCGAAACTACCGACAAACTGCCCCTGCATGTTACCACCTCTTTGAACTGTGGTGACGTACGATAGTGGAGCGAAAGGGCTAAGATTGAGAGCGACAGAGATGCGATAGAGGGGGTTTAGATTATTCGCGGTCGGTGGTGGCATAAGCAACATAGAGTCAGATGTCTGTTGGAAATATAGTCTGAGGGCAAGCACTGTACAGCGAGCCCAAAGATAGGACGCAGCGTGGACGCTGGATTAGGAAAGAGCTGTAGTTCAGCTGGCCCGTGCGTATTGATGAAAATAAATTACTTACATCTTTACTTCCATTTTTCTTGCGACTTATAAACCTTCGTAGCAACCATACTCACCTCAGTCTTTCCCCCCGAAAGCTGAGGTGAGTATATGTCTGCCTATATATGTAGTTTAACATTTTACTTACCTCTGTACCTAGCATATTGTTTTGACTAGGTAGGACCTGAATATAGCTCAGTCTTTCCCCCCAAAAGCTGAGCATATTGTTTTGACTAGATTGTTTTAAGAATGTCCAACCAGTAAATGTGTACGCCATGGGCTGGAACGGCCGTTTATGATAGTAACTGATCATAAAATTTTCAATAAGTAACTGAAATATGCATATTAATCGTATCAAGGGCATCAGTAAACGCACCTTGGGGGTTCAATAGCACCTGGTTTGGATATCTCAGTGACATAACTTGACCGAGAACGTAATGAGGTGAACTCAGGCTACGTCTACGGAAACCCACGCAATTGGCCATTTGACCCCTGGATCAACCAGAGCCCGAACGTCGTCATTGCAGCTTTGTACCAAAGACCTTCAAATTGTTTGGGGGGGGGAAGTCTATAATAAAACTAAGTGAAACTCAGCCGCTGCCCAAGAGGCTATAGAAACAACTTTATTATTTACCTAAGTGAAACTACAATAGATGTTAGTTTAAGGTGATCTCTAATAAATGTAATGTAACATACCTCAGCCACTGCCCAAGAGGCTATAGAAACGACTGAGGTATTCCTATACTAAACCCCCTACTACTTATAGTCGGAGGTGCTACTCGCTACAGTATAATGACTCCTAGGAGTACAATTGTGCTCCTAGGAGAACAATGGTGACTCCATGGAGAACAATGGCTGCTTTGGCAGAGACCGGGTTTATCCGGTTTTGTCACTCCCACTCGGGTGCAACCGTAGTCCCATAGCTTTAGAGAATTTCCAGTGTTTTTCGTGAGTGAGGGGTTTAGTGAGAATGTCGACAACCATATCTCCTGTAGGAACATATCTGATTACTGCCTCTCCCTTTGATACTAAGTCATCTCGGATGAAATGATATTTCTGTTGAATATGTTTTGTGCGAGCATGGAACTGTGGATCTCGTGTAAGAATGATAGCTGCTTGATTGTCACAGTGCAATGTTGTAGGTCTATTTTGAGCATGTCCAATTTCTTCAAAAAATATCCGAAGCCATGCAAGGTGTTGTCCAGCATTGCTCAATCCAATGTACTCTGACTCCGTGGAGGATAAAGCTACCATGCTTTGTCTTTTGCTTGTCCAGGAGATTGCTCCTCAGATGGTGATAAAGACAAACCCTGATGCTGATTGAGACGTATCTGGGTCTCCGGACCAATCTGCATCTGAATATCCATAGAAATCCATGTCTATGGAGACATCTGTGCCATCATATTGTAGTTCCATGTCCCTGGTTGCTTTCAGATATCGGAGGACACATTTTGCAGCTTCCCAGTGATGGCTCCTTGGAGCTGAGCTATGTCTGCTTAGTATTCCAACAATGTAGGCAATGTCTGGGCGGTTTCCGAGCATGGCATACATGAGGGAGCCTACAATTGAGAGGTATACACTTGGCGCCCTTTAATATGCATTTTGTGTTGCACAATTTTTTCCCCTGGAGCATTTGCAAGGAGTTTTGATCCATGGGCCATTGGTGTCCATACTGGTTTGCAGTTCTTCATACCAGTACGCTCCAGGACTATGTCAATATATTGGCGTTGCAATAGGGATATTATTTTGTTTGAACGATCACGTTGGATTTCTATTCCAAGGATGTATTTTGCTTCTCCAAGGTCCTGCATTTTGAATATGGATTCAAGTTTGGCTTTTGTGATATCCATGAATTTTCAGGATGAAGCTCCTAGGAGGAGGTCATCTACATAGACAACAACAAAGCATATTTAATTGTTGTCCTGGAATACATAGAGACATGTTTCTGCATTTAGTCTTGTGAAACCGAGCTCCTGGAGCTTGCGATCAAAAGTTTTGTTCCATGTACAACCAGCTTGTTTTAACCCGTAGATGGATTTTTTTAATCTCCAGCAGTATCCAGGTTGGATAGGAACACCCCCTGGAGGAAGCATGTACAGTTCTTCTTCAAGTTCTCTATTGAGATAAGCTGTGGATACGTCCATTTGATCAAGTTCTAGGTCGTACTTTGCTGCCAGGGCTAGAATAATTCAGATTGACTCTAAGTTTGCAACTGGAGCAAAAGCCTCCTGGTAATCAATCCCCTCCCTTTGAGTAAAACCTTGTGCAACAATCCGGAGTTTGTATCTCTCAATGTTTCCATTTTGATCAAACTTGATCCGGAACACAGGTTTTGATGTGATGGGTTTCACTCCCTTCAGAAGTGAAACAGTGTCATATACTGCATTGGTATTGAGACTTAGGAGTTCCTCCTCCTGTAAGGACCGTTTTATTATTTTCCTATCTTCGTTATGTCTTGGTTCTCAAACGCTTTTCCCGTTACACCTCTGGCTCTAGGGCTAGAGGTATCCTTTGCCATCTTACTTCTCATAGCCCTCACAGGCTTTCTTAACCATCGCTACCACTTTATATCACAGATCAGAGACTGGACATCGCTTCCAGCTAGCCAGCACACTGGGTAGGGACTGGTAGTAGGCATCTCGCCAACCAGCTCCAAGCCCCAGTAAAGCCTGGTAATACTAATAACGCCTTATCTAGAATCGTACCTCATTATGAGGATACGGTTCTTGACCACGCGTGACAATCTTCTATTATTAGTACAAATCTCTCACCTGCTGATTAATCAAGTCAGAAGTCGTACGATAGTTACCTCCCC